CCCGGTTCGATCCCGGGCACGACCTCTCCTTTTTTTGCTTTTTGGATCTTTTACTGTTATAACCGGAATAACTTTACCGAGGCCTAATCAGCTCTAGCGTGGAAAAAAAAAGACAACACATAAATACAACCGGATCTCCCGCGTCTTTACTCTTTTTCTTTTTCTTTTCTATCAACTTCACGGGGCTCCACTTTGTGGCTTGCTGAGGCTTATCCGATGGCTTCGGCCTTCATGGGTTTTCTTCCGTTCCCGGCCCTGGAGAGTAAAGGCGTCCTCTCTATACAACACGTTATAGCTATGCTAGAGTATCTTTCGAGATATCCCTTGGGCGCTAGCAGTGGGGAGGACGTCACATACTGTTTTCAATTAAGTGATTTATATAGATTTAATATAGAAATTTGCTCTGTTTAACTATCAATCTTTTTACAAATTCGTAATATGCGTAAACTGGAGGCAGCATGAATCCTGATAATTACAAAATCGGGTATACCCGAAGTCCAGTGCACGGATCAAGGTGCATCAGAACAGTTCAGAGTCATAAGATTGTTCAGCATCGAGGAAGCAACATCAAAGCCAAGGCCGCGTAAGTAGGTAGTTACTGTTACGGAGTAAATCTGTCTTATTTGAACACACTGACAAAAAGCCCATTGACAATGGGGGTAAACAATGGGAATCTCATGTACAAACTCAGTATGTACTATGCTAAAATCAGAAAACACTGGACCAAAGTCCTATGCCGGTCAAGGATATCTTGAAAGAAGTAAAAAAAAAGAAAAGGCTGATGATGCGCAATGCTGCATGGGACATCGAAAGATCTGGAATCAAAGCGTCAAGAGAAGCAGAAAACGCCAATGTCAGTCATAAATCCATCCCCCGAATACGGTATACCGACTCTCCCATAGCACACCAAACACCGACAAAACCAACTCGACATAATTCCATGACCCACAAATCCAATGCAACGGAAGAAAGAATCCTAACACGTAGTCAAAAATCCCCGGGTATCTCAAGTCACAGACACGTGTGCATCGAAAGAGGGAGGCTGGCCTCGAGAAAATCAGAGCACGCCGCCTGGAAGATTGATTTGTCCTTGTCGGCCGCCATCGAAGCCGGCGCTGTTAGGTGCTGATGCACCAGGCCCTGGAGTGCCTGAAGGGTTGTCCACCTGCATCTTCCGCAACATGAACATTGGCTTTCGTCCTTCCTTTTCTAGCTGCTTGAACAAAAGAAGAGGTTTCTCCTGCAATTCCAGGCAACGCTCTTGATCTCCATAGACAATATAAAGCGCATAGTGTTTCCAGTCAGAGTTGATGTTGTATTTCTTCAGAGCAGCTGGTAGAACCTTGTAGCAGGGGTCCTCCCAAGAGACTCGGAATGACTTGAAGATTTCCACGCTATTTGGATTCTCGCCGCCGCTGCCTCCACCACCCCGTGAGTCAGACCTATCGAGTCGTGGGTCAAGACGTGATGCAGTGGATGGTGTTTCGGCGCGAGACGCTGGAAGCTGACTGGGAGTGAGCCGATCTCCTCTAGAATGTATTGTCGGGGTTTGTTCGGCATAGTCATAGGCTGTGTTGCGGTTGGCGCTAGAGAGTGGTTGCGTATATGATCGTGGATTGAGTGTCTGAGGATGAGTGTGATGGTAGTGGGGGGACGTTGGTGAAGGAATTCCAGGTGATAGTTGTGACCCTCCAGTCAAATGGGATGAGGCGGCCAAGGCAGCGGCTGACGGATTAAGGTTGTCGTGATGAGAGCGTGCATCATAGCTCGTAGGAGGAGGGTGGGTCGGTGAATTGTTTTTGGGTGTGTTGCCATTAGGATGAATGCGCTTGGAGAAAGCTCGCGCAATTTTCGACCCAGAAGAAAGTTCAACTGTGGGTTGAGGAGTTGATGTGAGAGTGGCCGTGCTGTCATGCCAGTTCTCTGAGGATTGCCCCCCAGAAGAGGGCGGAGGTAATGGATGTGACCGATCTTTTACTATTTTGATAACTGGTAAGATTTCTTCGCGCAATCGCCGGTAGTCGTCCGTGATTCGGCGCAGCTCCGTTTCAACCAACATGAGCTTTTCATCTCGAACTTGGATCGATTTGATTAAACGCGCGAGATCTTCTTGTGTCGCAGTTTCATTCATACTCTGGTCCGCCGCTGCAAGCATGGGTTAGAAATGAGGTCAAATCGGAAGGTCTGAGAACATACAAAGTGGAATATAATGGTCTGCATCGAGGGGGACATCTTGCTTGACTTTGATTTCATACACGCTTTTCAAAATCGTCAATCGATGCCCCACACTGTTGATGCCCATCTCCTTCAACTCCTCATGCTTTAGGGCAATAAGGGCTTCACCGACAATTGCATTTTCTGGGTCATAGATTATGGTTAGTAGAGGGCGTGACTAAATATGCTTGAATGGCTCTGCTTACCTCGGAATATACCATGATATTGTAGCAATCCAAGCGATGTCAAAAATTCCTTGCATTCATCGACTCCCCACTCCGTGATCAGTGTTCGTGGCGAGCGAGGACCATCGATCGGATGTCCGAATTTCGTCGGGGTGTGTTCTGATGAATGAATGTCGGAGTCCGTGGGAGAAGATTCACAGTCGATGTGAAGGTGCGGTGAAGTTATCACACTGCGCTCGTATTCATCGTCCGCATCTGAATCGGCGTGGTAGGAGGTGTGGAGAGACATGGCGGAGGATCTTTGGCGGTAAGACAATATTCACCGAAAGTCGGGATTAATGGTATGAGGGGTTCACAGGCGCCACCGCCAGATTCGAGGTACTTGTTCCAGCAAAGACAAACGAAATGAGTATTGGCGGTAATGCGCCGAATGCCTATTTTATAAAGCGCGGGCAGAACGAGGGTACGTCAAGACTCGAATGTTTCAAGGCGAACATGGACAGATTTGCAATATCTTCCAACAGATCCAGGTTGTACTATGCCTCTCGTAGGTTTGCCGAAATAAAATCTCGACACTCCTTTGAGGAGGGGTGTTGTTGAGTGTGAAGACGCGGCAATCAACAAGCTGAGCAAAGCGGGGAAGGTTGGCGGTTCAGGACCACGGCGGGACAGGGGCGTTGGAAGATAGTAAGGCCACCGGTCAAAGCGAGTGATAGGTCTATGTAGCTTGACGCCAAATGTAAAACGACGCTGGGAGCAAGCTTAAAGCAAAGGTCAAGATTAGGCGAAGAGGACGCTGGTCTGATGAGAATGGGGTTCACGTGACTGGGTCTGGACTCACAACGGTGGAACCTTGGGAAGTATATCCAACATCAACTTGATCTCTTCTTCTTTTTCTTAAATAAGATGTGTTTTCAGTTGGTTCGGAGAGCTTTGTATAAGCATAATACATTACTCTCTCTAGACTCAATCTCTCTGGGATGAGCGAATCAAACTTCTCACCCGACCCCGCCTTCATCAAAAGGATGCCAAGCACCTACAGCCTTGGAGCGAACTATTATGGCTTAGCAGTTCTCCCTGTAGTCCTCCAACCGGGTACCCATTGGTCTTCAATAATACCAAACTGAGCCTTTTAAGTGCTCTTGAAATAATCATCCTTGGTGTGGTTGGCATCTCTGCCCATGAGCTGTGCCTCGCAGGCGACACTTACTGCTGGTATATCGCCAGTTTGCCTTATGAGAGCAAATATTGGTATTGATTATTCGCATATAATTCGTATATGTTTGCCCAAGATGAAACTCACTGGTGACATAATCCAGGAATCATAATGTCAGTGATGATAAAACATTGGTCCCGGTCTACAGTATGGGGTTGCTTGCGGAGATGATAGATGGCCAATTTCCATGTATACATTGTGCCAATCAAGTTGGTGTTGACAATTTTGGGTTCCGGCTTGACAGGAGGCTCCCTGATATATGTCAAAATGGGTCAGAGATGAGTTACTACCCCTGGAGACATAGCATGGGATTGAATCTCACCATCTAAATGTGACAGGTCTTCATCAGAGGCACGACTGATGCCAGTAATGGCTATGGGAATATCACAACTCTTGTGTGGAGGTTTGGCAATTGCTGCCTCATAGCTTCGTACCTGGTCATCCCAGGAAGTGATATTGCAATCCACACACTGGAAATTGCTGCACAGGAGGAAAGTATTAGAATTCGAACAAAGAAATACTTCTCAAGACTTGGTGAACATACGAACTCAGCTCCCTGGCTATCCCCTGGCCTCAGATTTCATCTGGATCTACAATATTAACAAATTCCCCAGAGACAGTATTAACGAGGATAGTCTTGCATTTTCCCTTAGACTATATAACCTTCTGCTGCAAAAGCGCGCAATGTTGCTTCAACCATGCCATTGGTATGACTGAGGTTAGAGCAACGATTGAATATTTAGGGATGTAGTAAACATACCCCAGTGATAATAACACTTTTACCCCCCCCATACTGCCCGATTTGATGGAATGATGCAACCCACGGGGCCGGTGTACTTATATCGAGGTGATTAGGGCATATTGATATCGGTATTTAACCCCTCAAGGTTGGTTCCTTGCTAGATGCACAGAATGGAAGCTTTCATCTATTGATCCCACACGATATTGCCAATTTTGAGCCCTTGATCTCCAGTCTCGGGCTAATGTCCGTGAGGCTCTGCCCGGCACCCCCCGCGTTTCAACCGAAGGGCTGAATCCGGCTATCCGAAAAAAGTAAACCGACGAGACATACAATGCTTTCTCACGAGAGCATCCGATCTGCGGAGATCAGATCGTACAGACCTTGTGGGGCCTGGAGAACCTACTGCGTCATCGATCTATAAAGGAGGTAGGGCTTCAGGTACAGGAAATGCGGTGTTTCGAAAAAGGGTATTCAGAACCCCAGTGTGAATTGGTAGTCTATTCAAATGCAAGAGCGCCCGTAGACTTGGTATGTAAGCCCATGATATTTGATGCCAGGCCAAAACAATCTGTACTCCCTAGAACGAACCCGCCATGCATGATCACATTTTGAAATGTTGCTTCTTAGCGCCCGGTCTCTGTAATTATTTCTTGTCGCCGTTGGGCGCGCTCTCGCCTTCCAAGTCGGCCACTTCTCGTATAATATCCTTCAACCCACGAACGCCCTCGTCGACCACTGTCTCCGGAATGCGGATATCGATTTCTTCAATGTACTTCAGAGGATCATAGTGATGATCTTTGGCTTTGCCTTTCTTGATACCGTTCGTCTCCTTTGTTCCATTTGTAGTTTCACCATTGGCGATGTCGGACCCCAGTGCGGGGTGACTTCGCCCCTCTGCTGAAGCGAGCACTGCCGCCATCACATCATCGAAGGTCTCACAGCGGCCGGCGCGGAGGAGTTCTGTGGCGAGGGTGGTGACTTTTTCGGTCCAGCCCAAGCGGTGGAGCGATCCGAGCAGGGTTTCCTGCAGATCTTCAAGTGCGCAGCTGGCAGAAAGCTTGACGAGGAGGTCGGATTCGAGGGCGTCGGGGGTGGAGGAGGCCCCGTTAGTGGAGGCGGAGGCGGAGGGGGGCATTGTGGAGGGTAGGGTTCGAGTTTCGCAGGACGACGCTCGATCAAGACAGAAAGACACGATATGAGCTTTTGTGACAAAAGCTCTAGTTCTCGCGCACAAGAAAAGAGGTAGCGCTTTGCGCAAAAGCGATGGTCGGAGAGGGCCCGCCCTTTATTTCAATACGGGGTCGAAGGTGGATTAGAATTACATTGCATGTAGTGAAGAACAGACATGCATAATGACCAGACAATTGAGGAACAGAAGATATGGAATAGGAGCGTAGATGAATCAGAAGACTCGCATTGACGGCCCAGATCGGACAATCGGCATTGTGGGTCCGAGCGGTGAATCAATCGCCTGATGTCTGCTATTGATGCCTCTCCTTATTCATCGAATGAAGCTGAATTCTTCAACTCCTACTATTCTTTTCGCCTGGCACAAAAACTATACCTTATTTGATTTTGCTTATAGGGCAGTTATGACTATGATCTAGTTGATATCCAGGACGAGGATCCCGATGTCCATTGACAGATTCCAAAATTATGTATGCGTATTCAGCCTACAACTCAGTCTTTTGCCATGGATATGATCTCAAATGGACCAGGTACAGGATTCGTCAGTGCCCAGGCAATACCGTCACTCATTACCTCGTCCCATCTCTTGCTCTCTGACAGCTGCTCGTTGAACATCCTGAATGCATGAGGCACACCGGGGAAGACATGAACGTTAGTGGGGATGCTGATAAAACATTTAGCTTTTGAAACTTTCACAATCAAAGAATATGGAAAACTCACCCGTTTGCAGCAAGATGCTGTCCATAGAACAGACCCTCGTCTCTCAATGGGTCATTTCCCGCGATTCCCAACGTAGTAGGAGGCAAGTCCTTGACTTCTTCTGCGAGGGCATTTCCAGGGCTCAGCCGACGATCTCCAACAGCATCCTTGGTATCAAGAATTCCAAGAAGATCTTTGTACAAGTCCATTTGAGCCACTGGCAAGATAGGCGCGTTGGCACATTGCACATAGCTCGACAAATCAGGACTCTTTAGCATCTCCAGCCTTGGCGCATAGTGGTCCCATTGCACAACACAAGGAATCATGAGGACCTGTCCTGCAATCTTGGGGCAGGCCGCTAAGCGCTTATCTTCGCCGCGGAGCTGGGCCAGTGCCAACGACGCAGTCATCCATGCACCAGCTGAGATGCCACCCACAACCACCTGCTCGCTGATCCCGCCAATTTCGGCAATGTTACCATGTAGCCAGACAAATGCATCTTCGACGTCCTCCCAAGCAGTGGGGAAGGGATATTCGGGTGTGTGTCGGTAGTTGATATTCAAGACTACGACTGGGGTACCCTTCTGGGCACGCGAAGTGACAATCCGCGAGCAAATGGCATCTTCAGAAGAAAGTGTTCCGATAAGAAAACCTCCGCCATGAAGGTGGATGTAAACGGGCAGGCGCTCGGAGATTGGGATGCCGACGGGGCGGTAGGTGCGTGCTTCAAGAGACATGCCGTCACGGGCTGTGATTGTATAGTCATGCAGCTGAACTGCAGCGCTGAGACCGCTGAGCATATCTTTCGCGGCGGATGCCTCCCGGGTTTTGTTCAACAACACTTTCAACTGTTCCACCGAGAGGTTCTCGGGGGGCTCAGGCAGCGTAGGCTCGAGGGCGACCCATTCGGCGCTGGGTGTACCATATTCAGTGAAGTCGGCCATTTTTACAGTGACGAAGGGTAAATCTCTTGCTAGAAGGAGTATGAGGAGGAAGTAAGAATGTCGCTATAAGAAGTAGAAGTAAGGAGTAATCAGGCGTCCCACCATCTTCGGGATGCGATAAACCCCGCAAAGTAACAACGCATAGTTACTCATGGTGAGACACTCTATACATGCCTGATGTCAATCACAGGGTTATCAGCTGAAACAGATAAGAAAAAAGCTGAGAGACACCCAGAAACACCAACTTATACTGTTGTATCGAGCAGAAGGCTCATTCAGAAGGAGACACCCATTCTATCTTCACCTCTATATCGTTATATTGTCTATCAGGCCCCTACTAGGATTAGGGAACCAACGATTCTAGGCAATCTAGTTTGTATTTGATGGCGTTGATATGAGGGCTTAAAGTTTTGGGTTCTCGGCTTTTTTTTGGGTCTGTCTCTGCTGCCGTGCAAGGGCCCGTGTAAGGGCCTAATCACTTTGAGACATATCACCATCAGCCTGGCCATCAGCCTTACCCCATACATGGCGTTCCGCAAATTCCAGGGCCCGGACCCCTATGGGTCTTCGAAGGAGTCTTACCGCTTATAAATCAGCCTCTCATGATGCTGTAATCTAGCCTTCTACCTACTAGTCGTATGGAATTTGTGTTTGTAAGCCAGAATAATCACCTTTAGCTCTATAAGTGTATATTGCTAATCTAGACATCTGACCTATAGAAGTTGGATTATCGCGGAGACATTGATCTAAATATTTGAATAAAAGATATATATCTAGAATCTAAGCGAGAGTATTACCACTTTCTGGGTAAGAAGTCATTAATAATTCTTCCAGTGGACTTTATACAGGCCCATGGCACACCGGTGGGCCCAAAGATAGGGCTAAAGCCCAGCCTCTTGGAGGCTGGGTCAGGCTGATGTTTGGGTATTGTGGGCTTTGCGGAGGTCTACCCATAGATCACCTCGGCTCGGCTCCCGGTAAAATGATACCTGAGCATTCGGTAACCCCGCATGAAGATGGACTATTTAGGTATACCGTGAATGAGAAACGGCGCAGGTATATGTAAAGGTAAATGGCATATCCACCTGTGTACCTTTTGGATGTAGGTCACAAGTGAGCTTGAAACCAAATCAAATCAAAAATCATGGAGTCTGGTATTCCATCCGATCCCCCTTCGCGTTCTTTAACCGGTAAAGTCGCCATCGTAACAGGCGCAGGCTGCCTGGGTGATGGGATCGGAAACGGACGTGCGATTTCAATACTGCTTGCCCATGATGGCTGCGACGTGATCTGCGTTGACCTAAACTTGGAGTGGGCCAACAAGACCGTTGAATTGGTGAACTCGAAGCCCGGTCATGGACGAGCGTTTGCGGTTCGCGCAGACGTCACATCAGAAGAAGACTGTCAAGTGGCAGTACGCTTTGCAATTGAAAAGTTTGGCCGACTAGATATTTTAGTCAACAATGTTGGAATTGGGGGCGCGGCGGGCACTGCAGTGGAAGTTGACATGGTTCAATGGGCCAAGAGTATGGAGATCAACGTTGCCAGTATGGTCCAAATGGCCAAATATGCTATCCCCGAGATGGATCGAAATGACGGGGAGATCAAAGGGAGCATTGTGAACATGGGCAGTGTTGCTGGGTTGAAGGGCGGGACACCTCATTTGTTATATCCGACTGCCAAGGGCGCCATTGTCAACATGACCCGTGCTATGGCGGCCCATCACTCCCCTGATGGGATTCGCGTGAATTGTGTCTGTCCAGGAGTATGCTTGACACTTCCGCCGTATCAAACTGAAGCTGATGTTACTAGATGCTGTATACCCCGATGATGTATGGAAAGGGTATGAGTGAAGAGGCGCGTGAGGCTCGTCGGAAACGAAGCTTGTTGGGAACTGAAGGGAATGGATGGGACTGTGCTGGAGCTGTGGTATTCCTTGCTGGCCCCCACGCTCGATGGATGACTGGTGTTATTCTGCCAGTTGACGCGGGGACAACAGCTGCCGTAGGAATTGGCATGACGAAGAGTGCAAGTGTTAATGCCTAAATTAAGGCCGGATTGCAGCATTACTCAAATGCTCAGCTCTTCTCTTCTACATATTTATAAATCAAATTTTTTCTCACGTATCTCGTGGTCTATTGCTATATATAGGCTGAGATAGCAAAGACTTTTACACGGTTTACATGCTTTACCGACTTGTGTTGTCGAAGAGTGATGACTCCGGTATGTCAACCCGTAATATTCATCCTTTCCATCATCTTGAAGCCCGATTGCTTAACTTATTCATTATATTCCGACGTTTAGGACAGAGACCGCATACACGACCGACTACTCCTATGCATTGCATATCCAAATCTACAACCTTTGAAAAATTCAGAGATCCAAATAATTTGGTCATATCCTAATGCAATTATACAATGTCTGATACTAGCGCAATCCGATCTTTGATCTTGCCCTCTCCCAATTCTTTGAGAACTCTCGGGAAGTCCTGCAACTTGCCCAATTCCACCCGGGGCTGAATGACACCCTTTGCAATCAAGTCAAGCACCTCTACTAGATCCTGGTACTGCCCACCATATGTGAAGATAATGCTCAGTCTCTTCCGAATTCCGATCTTCATGTCAAATTCATTAACAAAATTGAGGGTGCCAACACACAGGATCTTACCCCCAGGACGAACTGTTCGAGAACGATATGGTGTTAGCAAAATATGGCCGGGAGTAACATCTAATGGGGATGATCACCAATGTGCTGTGCATCCTGGCAAGTTTGATGACTGCCCACAAATTCCAGTACGGTATCAATTTTCCCCTGCAACCCATTTTCCTTCACAAAATCTTGCACCGACTTTCCGACTGGAACGATATCCTCCAATGGAACACCTAATTTCAGAGCAGCGTCCAGCTTTTCCTGACGAAGATCGGAAACGATCACTCTAGCACCGATAGAGTATACAATTTGGAGCGCATTGAAGCCAAGTCCACCAAGTCCAAAAAGGAAAGTAGTTTCTTCTTTCTTGACCTCGGCACGGCGGGTAATACCATGGTAAGCTGTAGTGACAGCATCAGTAGCAACTGCAGCAACAGCTGGCTCAACACCTATGACCAGAGTTAGATTATGTAGTTGACAGTTTCACGGTAACAAACTTACCATCAGGCAATGGAACAGCGGACCGGACATCGACCGCAACATACTCAGCATAGAAGCCGTCTTGACCAATTCCGTGGTGCAATCCAGCTGGGCATAGTTGTGCCAGGTCCCTTGAGCATTCAGAGCAAGTGTCTAAACCACATCCCGGGACAGAAAGAAGAGCCACTCTGTCTCCCTTTATTTCTCAGTTAGTAAGGTCTCAGTACCTGGCAGTGATATTTCTACCGATTTGAATCTCTTGTCTGTGACCCCTTCCCCTATCTGTATGATCTCTCCACATCCTTCATGGCCCTGGGAGAAGAGGTTAGCTTTGCTCATGAATATATTTAGTCCGTGAAGAAACGTCCATACAAGTGTATATTTCTCATTGAACTGCGGCCGGTCTTCAATGTCTAATAGGGGCTGATCGCTATGACACACTGTCATGAACAGGAAAGATCAGAAAAGGAAAACTTAGGATCCCAAGTTTGGTGAGAACCGGGTGGTACCTCCGGATGCCAGTATCTTGACCAGAAACCCCGTAGTGGGGACCGAGGGCACAGAAATTTTTTCCCAAACCTATGAGTGTCAGAGATGTATGAACTTGCTTTGTGAACTACAAGTGCCAGCACACTGGATTTGGATTCCCTTTATGCTTTCTCCACGCATGCATTGTGGATGGTAGTGCCGTGCTTCTCATGATTTCAGAATTGACTACCATAATTGGCTGTAATTAACAAAGAGATTATCTGTAAATGTGGATAGGGACCTGACTACTTATGTCTATGTCAGTCGAAAGACCAAAAGTAGCGTAAAGAGCCTCCCAGAAAGGACAGCCGATGCCGGCCGGCTTGGCTTCCCCGCATGTTCATCAGGATGTCAATATCATGACAGGACGGAGCTCAGTCTATCAATTAGGCAAAATGGTAATTTAACAAAAAAAGTATGTTTCCTCATGCCCTCCAGGGCTTCGACTGTGTGCAAAGCCAGCAGCTTTACGACTGTGTGTGAATACCTATGTAACTTATGTAGAAATGGATACCGGGGTAAAACGTCAAGCAAGAGATAAATTACCGGTAACAGACGCCGAAGAGCCGAGGGTATCGCGCTTGGCGAGAGATTTTGCGGGGACAAGCTGTTCCCCGCCTTTCGCAATTTGAGTATGGTCAAGTAATTGCAATCTTGTAGAATTTCAATCATGTCTGCACCGCTTTGGCTACAATTCACTGGTAATCAAACTAAACGGAAGCGTGCAGAGCTCGCCTGTGTGGCATGTCATAGCAAGAAGGTAAGTGACCAAAATCTAGGTCTCGGCAAAGATACTTACGGCTGCAGATTAGATGTGACTTGCAAGCGCGAGGGGCTCAAGGGTATAATAAATGCACCAAGTGTGAATCTGGCGGCAAAGAATGCCGGTGAGTGACTCTTCCTAGGCTTTTCGGATGTATGGCCTGACCCGGTCACAGAACGAGACCATCAAAACGAGGTCGGCCCGCTGCAAGTGTGGCCCCATTGACACCCCCGGTAACTGAAACCAATTCCTGTGTCCAAATAAATCGGCATGGCTCTATTCCGGATCATCTTGCCGTCAATCCACCATCTGGACCGCCCGGTGCCCGGTTAAGAAATGATAGCCGGTCTTTGGACTTCCCTAGAGATTTGCTTCAGAGATCTTCCATCTCTCCGGCACATGTAGAACAAGCAGGAGCTCAAACTTTCGAGAATATCGGATGGTCGATGAGAAATGACATATCTCCGGGTCAAGTGCCCCCTGATCCCCAGGGCAGGCCTGCGCAAGCAATGACCAATGATTCCCCTGCTACTCAGCGAACGGAAGACCACTCGGAGCATAATGATAGCTATCCAATTGGTCATGTTTTTCTACCAGAGCTACAAACAAATGCTCGAGCTCAGGAGCGGCTCATTGCTGAAAGAATGTCTGAGGTGCCCAATCTACCTGATCCAGACCTACAACAAACATTCGCAGAAACATACTGGGAATACTGTTATACATGGTGTCCAGTACTGGATAAAGAGACCCTATCAGAAGAGCTCGCTCGATCTCCCCTACTTGTCAATGCTTTGGCAGTGGTTGGTAGCCATATCAAACCGCCCATGATTCCACATGATGGGCCTGCCGGGTACTACGATCGAGCTCGTACCAGATTCTACAACGATGAAGAGCCAGACGTTATGACATCGCTAAAAGCTATCTCCCTTTTTTATTGGTGGAGTCCGCGGCCGCCAACTATCCTCCATCGCCATTCTTCTTGGTGGTGGACATCGGTGGTCATCCGGCATTGCCAACAACTAGGTGTACACCGGGAACCAGCGCAAAACCATCCACTGCGTCAACAGATTAATCTCAGTCTCCGGCGTCGAATATGGTGGACGGCATTTGCGCGTGAGCGATTGACAGCTTTGTGTCAAAGCAAACCATGTGTCATTGATCCTGAGGACTGTACCCTGTCAGAACCCACATTGGAAGATTTCTCACAGGACACAGATAAAACTAAAGCCGAAGTCTTCATATACTGGGTCCGTCTATGCGCTATCATTGGCAAAATTGCAAAATACCTCGCTCGTTCCAGCGACGCTGGATCTTCCGCATTCCCAGCATCTCTGGCCCGCGATCTCATCGGTTGGGTCCAATCACTCCCTCCCCATCTGCAACTACCGATTGGATCAGATCGCACAACTCATTTCAATAGAGATGTACATCAGCTTCATCTTCCGTATCTCGCCGTCATTATCATCATTCACCTCCAGCGATCCTCCCCCTCCCAGCCTCTCCCGCAAGCATATCCACCAGCGATACTCGCCGCGTCATGCATGGCTCGCATTATGCGGGATATCCTATCTCGCGGAGGAACTCGATTCCTCATGGCCATAACAGGCTGGTATTGCGGTACGGCATTTATTGCATTGTTACAAGCCCTTAGAATCGAAGGTCTGGCCAAGAGTGCCAATGAAGATCTAGATATCTTAACTCTAGCCGTGGACCAACTGCGCATAATGTGGCCCACTGCCGCAGTATTTCACTCAGGATTTGGTCGGCTGCGGCCTAGTGCTAACGCGCCGGACTTTGACTCGCAACGAGCGCCTGGTCCAGAACTCGGTATGGGTGATGGAACAGTGTATATGGAGATGGCAGATGGTATTGATTGGACTGCCTACTTCCCGTTCGCGACTACTAAGACTAGTGGCATCGCTGGTAGACTGCTGGTTCCACATACCGAGGAGCTTTTCTTTGATGACAATGCCTTCGCTGATGCTATGCTTCAGTTTCAGGATCTATTTGAGCCTTGCGATACCCTTACTGAGATGAATCTTTTCATGTAATTATGTGAAGGTGCTTGAAGTGTAAAGGTAATGCACTGATTATTTAGCTCTTCTTTTTTGTAATACCAGGATTTGAGGCCCTCTAGGTCCTTAGAATTCTCCAGACTACAGATGAGGTCCTTTTGCAATGAGTGACACGACAAAATATACCCATATCCGTAGGGACAATAGATTATTGATTTGTATCAATGATGTGGCTCATGTTCTGTAGAACTAAAAGTATTCCCTAACGATGGTTCATGAAAATATCATTCAAGTATCAAATCCTCATAGTCTCTCGTGGCAACCTGCTCCGCACGCTTTCGGTACCCAGGCGCAGGACCCTGATATCGTGCAATGATTCTCTTCTGCTTATGCGCCAAATTCTTATTGACACCAGTCATCCAGGAGTCGACATCATTAGCAAGCAACCCAATCGCGCAAGTATGAACGTGCTCAGTCCAATCCAAGACACTCTGCCGCGTAGCTTCAGCGAATGTAACACCCCGATCACGACAGAACTCGATAAACCGTGCCACCCAGCTCGCAGCATACTCCACACTGCGAGGGATATTCCCAAACATTTGGTGTGGCCCCATGACCATCATCATATTAGGAAAACTTTCAACAAACAAACCCAAAAACGTGCGTGGACCCTCACTCCACCTATCCTTCAGCAGAACCCCATCCACACCCCGAAAATCAATCGCCGTAAAAGACCCAGTCACTGCATCAAAACCGGTGGCATAAACAATCATGTCAAACTCGAAGCACTCATCCTGCGTCTTGATCCCAGTCTCGGTCACGCATTCAATGGGGTTTGATTTCACATCCACCAAACGTACATTGGGCTGATTAAAAGCCTCGAAGTAACGCGTTTCCATAGGCACCCGTTTCGTTCCAAAACCGTGACATTTCGGAATAAGTATTTCCGCCGTGACGGGGTCATGCACGCGTTGACGAATCTTATTCGCAATAAACTCGCTAAACAACGCATTTGCCTCTTTGCTCGTATTGATATCGCCGAAATTACTCATCCACTTCGCGAACCCGCGTTGAGCATACAGTTCCTCCCAAAATTCCTCGCGGTCTTCGGAGCTCAGGTCGAAAGTGCTTCGCTTATCGGGCACGTGCATAAAGCAGTGCCAGGATTCCGCGCATTTACGGAAAATTTCTGGGTAACGAGCTCGGATCTCGTTCATTTCTTCTGGGGTAAGAGGTGCGTTTCGGAGAGGTAGACTCCAGTTTGGAGTTCTTTGAAAGACGGTCAGATGGCCTACCGTCTTGGAGACTTCCTGGATTACTTGGATGGCAGTTGCTCCGGTGCCGATAACTGCGACGCGTTTGTTTGTAAAGTCGACTTCTTCTGCAGGCCAGCGGGCTGTGTGGAAGGCTTCGCCTTTGTAATCCAGGACTCCGGGGATATTGGGAAGAGTATAGTTGTTTAAGATCCCAATGCAAGTGACGACAAATCGGGAGGTGTATTGTTGTCCCTTCTCGTCTGTGACGAGCCATGACTTGGTATCGTCTTGGAAATGTGCCGCCGTGACGCGCGTGTCAAATTGCATGTCTCGGCGGAGATTGAATTTGTCGCACACGAACTCGCAATATCGTAATGTCTCAGGTTGGGAGGCGAAATGCTCTGACCAGTTCCACTCATCGAGGACTTCTTGGGAAAATGAGAAATTGTATGAGTAGCTTTCGGAGTCGAATCGTGCGCCTGGGTATCGATTCCAGTACCAGGTGCCACCTACACCTCCACCGGCCTCCAAGACCTTTGTCCGCAGGCCTAATTGTCGCATTCGATATAGCGAGTAAATGCCGGAAAGACCGGCGCCAATGATAAGAACATCGTAGTCGAGGTCTTTGTTCTTCTGGCAGAAGTCTGGCTCTTCGATGCTACCCATGAATCAACTATTCAGAATGAAAGTGAACTCCATATGATTATTATGTTCTACCTAGCCATCAATATATGGTTATCAGTTTGGATTAAACCTTCGGCTGATAACTTTAAGCCGGAGGCATGCCGCGATGGACCATGGACCATTTGCGGGGGAGACCCACATCAACACAGCCGGTATACGCTTGTATGAACCTTGGAAAAGCCCTGGAGCCGAGATGTCTCTGCCTTTGGTGTCTTTCCGCTTTTGTGCTCAAGCCTTGCCGCTTTTTCCTCAAGGGCGGAACACGCCTTTGAGTGCCCACGAGCATGCCCGCACTGACGCTCCCAAATTTCTCTCTAACCCCGGATTGGTGGCGGTCCAAGCCGGGAACCGTCGGGACCTTAATCCCCATGGTGGTTCAATGAAACAGACCATAATTGATAAGATCGAAAGGGAACGTCATAACTTTCATAAATATAGCGGGGGAAGTTTGGTAAAAACAACTATGGCACGAGCTTGTCCAGGGCACTTTTGAGCAGGCTGAAATGATTTATGAAGTGGGAGTGTCCAGGTATTAGGAGATGCGCGTATTAGAGCAAATAGTACTCAATAATGTAGATCATACTCCTTTAATATGCTTAGCAGGAAACTATGCCCAATAGATCAAATAATTTCTTTTTCCTCTCTCCAATTCCCAAGACAACCAATTGTTATAATCATCCACGGCGATCGCCCCCTGCGCCATTTACTTCTCGGATTGTTATCGGAAAAGCATTCAGATACCCTATGATCCAAAATCTCGGGCAGTTAGACAACCGCGATGATGAAAGTGCAGAGCACGGCGGTTTATCGGACAAGTCCTTACTCGGTTCGGGATCTGTCATGCTGATCAATGCCGATCGGGATCAACATCAACTCAATGTTACACTGCGTCCAGATGAGACGCCTTCTAAGCAGCAGCTCATTCGTTCTTTTGTAGTTGAACAATCAATGCGAAACTCAATTGCCTCGGAGTCCGTTTGCTTGTTTGTTCGATGAGCGAATTTACAATCCACAGTCTGGGGCCTACTGCAGTTGTTGAAGAATATATAAAGATGCTCAGCATTTTCAGAGAAATATTCCGAAAGAACACAAAATTATCCATACATTATGTTAACATTCAATCTTTTGACCGCCTTGTTGGCACCAGGTGTGCTATCAGCTGCCTTGCACCCTCGACAGGAGGCTGATCTTGATGGATTCATCAAGTCGGAGTCTACCCTTGCTCTCAAGTCCATTTTGAGCAACATCGGCGCCGATGGGTCTGCTGTTTCTGGAGCAGGTGCTGGTATTGTGATAGCGTCTCCATCCAAATCGGACCCAGATTGTGAGCTCCCCTTCCCCAGGATGGAATGATGGGAACTCATAGCTGCTAGACTTTTATACCTGGACCCGTGATGCAGCCTTAACATTGAAAGTGTTGATTGATGATTTCCTCGCCGGAGAAACCTCGCTGGAATCTACCATCCAGGACTACATCACTGCTCAAGCAAAGCTACAAGCCGTGTCTAACCCATCCGGTGACTTGTCCGACGGAGCAGGACTTGCAGAGCCCAAGTATCAAGCAGACGCAACTGCCTTTACAGGTGACTGGGGCCGTCCCCAGCGCGACGGACCCGCTCTACGAGCGACAGCCATGATTACCTATGGCAATTCTTTGATTTCGAAGAAAAAGGAGGATGTCGTCAAGTCAAACATCTGGCCTAGCGTTCAAAATGATCTGAACTACGTTGCACAATACTGGAACCAGACCGGTTTCGATCTGTGGGAGGAGGTCGAGGGCTCCTCATTCTTCACTATTGCCGCACAGCACCGCGCGTTGGTTGAGGGTAGTGCATTTGCCAAGTCGCTGGGAGAATCCTGCGAGGGGTGTGATTCCCAGGCACCTCAGATCCTATGCTTCCTGCAGTCCTTCTGGAACGGCAAGTCTGTCGTTTCCAACGTGGCCGATAATGGCCGATCTGGTCTGGATGCAAACTCCGTGCTTGCTTCGCTCCAACTGTTCGACCCTAAGGCTGCTTGCGATGATGTAACCTTCCAGCCTTGCTCTTCTCGGGCCCTATCGAACCATAAGGAGTACGTTGACTCGTTCCGTTCGATTTATAACGTGAACAAAGGCAAGGAGGCTGGAGCTGCCGCTGCTGTTGGACGGTATGCCGAAGACACTTATATGGGCGGCAACCCATGGTATGCAAATCTTCCATTTTCATTCAGGTTTGAGCTTTGCTGACCTTTCCAGGTACTTGACAACACTTGCTGCCGCTGAGCAGCTGTATGATGCTCTTTATCAGTGGAAGCAACAAAAGTCATTGTCCATCACAGAGACCAGTCTTGCTTTCTTCAAGGATCTGGATTCATCTGCTGCCGTCGGTGACTATGCCAGCGACTCGGAGACTTACACCTCCCTCACTGCCGCGGTCAAGAAATACGCCGATGGATTCGTCTCTGTCGTTCAGGAGTACGCGCCCAAAGGTGGAAATCTAGCCGAACAATTCACTCGGGATGACGGCACCCCAGCCTCTGCTAAAGACTTGACCTGGTCCTACGCGGCGTTCCTGACTGCTGCTGAGCGTCGGGATGGAACTGTTCCCCCTACTTGGGGTGCGTCTGATTCTAAGGTGCCCGATGAATGTGAGGGAAGCTCGGCCAAGGGAACATACGCGGAACCAGGGGCTGTCTCATGGTAAACATCAAGAGACAACAGTTTACATATACCCGATTTTGATAGATGAGAGCGCGCATATGTGAAAACTACAGATAGAGTGGACCGAGATTCATTATCCAATGCAATTCGTACTACAATACAATCACTTATTTCAGGAATGTCTTGCGAGGTATGGTATATCTAATCGTGTCATCGGTCTTGAAGCGGTATGTTGGTTTCATACTCAAAGTCAAAGTTCAACATATTTATACTCTTGAGCCACCTGGGCGAATGAATCAATTTACCAATTCCTATGTCAAGGATAGAGGTGGCGTACACGGCTAACTACAAACTACCTAGGTACTCAATTCTTGATCCGGAAGGCTGACATGCATTCTGCATATGCATGTAGAATAGTTCAAATTTATACCGTCAATAGTCTAGATATCTAGAGCTGTACAAAGAATTCTTAGCTGGAAATGTACCTAAGCGCATTATTCTTCCAATAAGCCTTTGTATTCTTCAAAAAGTCAAATGCACTAGAAGAGTGAAGTGCTATTGCTCGGATTTTATTTTTATTCTTATGTCTAATTTCCCCAACTAGGTCTATGCCACCTTTTTTCTAGGGCGAATTGGAATACCCCAGGAAAGCAGATATCTCTCAGTATTCTCATCTTTTTATGGGATTCCAATCCAAGATCACCAACCACACGCTATACAACAAGCCTAAATAATTTCACGGACTAACACTATTCTAAAATGGCAGGCTCAAAAAGACCAGACAATGAAGACCTCTCTCTAAGATCTTCCAGACGTGAACAAACTCTCTCCCATCGACACAATTCACAACAACGAGGCACTTAAAGTTGTCGTCAACTACATAGGCGATGATAAAAGGGCAGAAAAAGAAGAAAAGAAACTGCTACGCAAAATAGACTGGAGGCTGATGTCACTATTGTGCGTAGCATATGGATTGCCATATTCTGACAAGACGATGTTCTCACAAGCCGTACGTCTCCACCCTCATCACTAGCTCCACAGCTTTTCTAATAGGATCCAGGTACTGTTTGGCCTGCGGACAGATCTAGACTTCAATGATGGAAACCGATACTCGTTTTCTTCGGCAACCTTGTACCTCGGATTCATGGTAGGAACATATCCGGCCGTGACCCTGGGGTCCCTAGCGCAGAGATTCCCAGTTGAATGCGTCGCCTCAGTTATCATCACGCTCTGGGGTATCTGTCTCATATTCACACCAATATGCCTCAATTACAAAGCGCTTTTTCCTGGGCATGCTGGAGAGCGGTATTAGCACCATGTTTATGCTTCTCATTTAAGTCGGGACTCCAATCAAAAACAAACAGATCGGATGGAATCAACGGGGTTGTTTATGGGAAGGTTGGTACGAGAAGAACCAACCGGCAATGAGAATGGGGTAGGTCAATCACTTCCTTCTCACAGGCAACACATATAATCCCCCAGAATATGGTACTGCTGTACAGGCTACGTATCTGTCTTCTCGGCAATAAGAACTTAAGGACTGGGCTATATAACAGGCACACTATCCCCCTGGAAATCCATCTTATTTACAGCAGGTGCAGTGACCGTAATTTGGAGACTAGTCCTAGTCTTCCTTCCATCAGACCCAGTCCGAGCCCGCGGGTTCGACTAACGATAACGCTACATCGCCGTAGCTCGACTGGGATCGAACAACTCCGGCGTGCGGAATACATACAAGGGCGGCCAAGTCACTAGACATACGATTTTGGCTGATCTTCATTGTTGTATTCCTAAGCATGAAATGCTACGGGCCTGTATCGATATCCATGCCTATCATTATCAACTTGTTTGGGTTTGGCACGCTTGATTCACTGCCATTTTTTATGCCGTTACTAGCTTCTTGAGCCGTATTCGGCATATCGGTTTGATGAGGGTTGGGTGAGGGCTTGTATTGCCTTTGGTGCTCAGATGGCTATTACAATTACGGCCTTTTTGCTTGTGGTCCTGCCGCTTGATGCTACTGGTGGTATGATCTTTGCGTGCTATCTTCTGCCTGCTGTTGGGGGTAGATATGCTGTTCTTAAGAGATTGCTAGTATTGTTGAGTATTGTTGAGTATACGAAGCCGTCTATTGGTTCGTCCGGACTGAGTTTATTTTTCGAGTTGTGAGCGTTTGGTAAAATCGCAAGCGAGATCAGTCTGGGACTGCCGAGGGATCTGAAACTGCGTGCCAGGACGATTTGAGTGATAAAACGGTGAGTATAAGAGCTGGTTTATTGGCTTGTTCCTTGCTAACTGTTGATTGTGATTGGAACCCTCAATTCCGGTATAGCTCATAGATTGAACTCCATGTGGTATCACTGTTCGAAATCAGCTTTATCCACAGGCGTCACGGCCTTTTTTTGCACTTACTATATGTGGTTTAAATCGATCCATAGATGTGCAGTCAAACCGATCCCCGATGATCACAGGAGCTGCCACTGTCCTGTACACTGTCCTGTGAATTATCGTCAGAGATTGTCCGTGGAGAAATTGTGTCTATAAGTTTGCAAACCCAACTAGGAAATAGAAAGACCCAATAAACCAGAAAATGCCGAGGCTATCCAGGGGAGATGCAGCCCTCCTACGGCCAAAATATAAATAATATTTAGACATAATATGGAGCAAAGAGAACGCGAATAGACTAGCCAAAAAAGACAACAACAAGATAATCACTCGCACCGAAGCAAAGTGCTACGAACAAAGGATTCTCACAAGGATGCCTCGTGGGAGGAAGAGAAGAAGAAGAAGAAGAAGAAGGAGAAGAAGAAGGGGCAAGTATCAAACGCCAGTTATACATTCCAATCCATTCCACCAGAAGTATGCTTCGCTTGAGATGATAAGAAACGCCATTAAATGCCGGGGAGAATTCGTGGTATAGTCATTATAGATCGCCGTCCGTGTCAGTCGCCACCATGCGCTGTTTCTGCTTATCTTTGCTCTTCATCTTCAGTGCATCAATTGTATTCTGCACTTCGTGTTTGGCTTCTGTTTCGAGGTTGGTGCGTTCATCCGGCTCAAGCGTTTCCTTGTTACCGACCCGCTCGTATAGCATGCGAGAGATGGACCGGTTGATGTTCGTATATTGCTCTTTCGAAATGATCTTCTTTTTGTAATGAGGTTTCAATCCGGTGCCCACCATTTTCTGGATGTCGGCTTTGAGGGCTAGAGATGGACCAGATCGAGTAGGGGATGAGTCGGGTGAGCGGCAGGCTCCCATATACAGTGCGCGTTGGGGAATGCGAGAGCGAGGACGGCCTGGCTGGCGTTGTGGGTTGTCTTCATTGGTGGCATTTGTCGATGGACTACCCGATATGGACACTTCGGGTGAAAAATGTGGAGATGAGGGTTCGGCGGGGGAGGAGAGCTGGAGAGGAGAAATGGGATGGCTCCGCGGAAAGGGTGGCGGAGTGGCCGCTGAAAGGAGAGGGGAGGAGTAGCGAGACGAAGCGGGAGAAATAGAGGGGGAAGAGGGACCAGGAGATGGATGATCGGTCAGAGCGACCGACGCTGAAGCTGAAGGTCCATATGAATGACTCGGTGCGTCTTCGACTTCCTTCAAAAGTGATGATAGGAAGCTTGGTCCGGTGGTAGTGTCTCCACTCGGTCGGACATTGGAGCTCGTAGCCCTGGATGATTCACCATTTTGACTTTGCTGTGCGAGAGCAGCGAGCTCCTGTGGCCTTCTCGTTCGAGGGCGCTTCAACTTGCGCTCTGGTTCTGTGGGCTCGGGGGACGGCGACAGGGTCGGCTCTTTGCGCTTCCTGGCTGCGCTCGGGTTGTTTTCGATCTCTCGTGCCCTCTCGAAGGCGTTCCAAGCCCGCATCTCCTCGAGAGACTCGGGCTCCGGTGTTGGAACTCTAGGCGCTCGAGGTCGCGATGGTCGCGCATGGTCAAGATCGAACAGGGACGCCGTGTCGCGAAACCGGCTGCCACCACCTTGTCGCTCAGCAACCTCAAAGCGACGTTGCCAAGCTTGAAATTCGCGCTGATTGGCCTGCTCGCGACGGCGTTGTTGCATCGCACGTTCGGCAGATCGATCGTCATCGAAAGGGAAATCAAGATCGAGATTCAGATGATCCCAAACAGATTGCCAGACTCGGGCCCAATGAAGAGAATTCGTCTGGGTTCGATTCTGAAGTCGTCTCTGCTGAGCCCTCGTTCGTCGACTCCGTTGCTCGATCGCCCGAGACGGCCGTGCTGATACTTCAGGAGCCGGTCCCATGGCACGTAGCTCCATGCATTGTTGGCAATACCATGACCCCGAGGGGATCTCGTCCAGCCCTAGGCAGTATAGATGAGAAGGCCCATCACACCCATCGCATAACAGAAGAACATCCTCGTTGTCGGCTTGTCCACAAATTGTACATGGCTGGAAATCGGTCAAATCATCCTCCACATATTCAATTATCATAGAAGGATCAACGTCGGCCACTTGAGTTCGATCTTGGACAGCGTAAGATGATGTGACAGTTCCTATAACAAATCAATACAGTCAGCACTTGTGATCAAGAGAGGACCAGTCCATGTCGTAGGTCAAATGAAGGGGGAGCGTCATACCTCCAACACTATCGCTCAACTCCACCATATTGAAATTGCGCCGACATATTGGACAACTATTTGCTCGCTCAACCCATGGTTTTAAGCAATTATTATGTAGGATATGACCACAGGGAAGTAGCTGAGCGATCTGAGAGTCTCCATTGAAGTCGCCATCCTTCAAATCAAGGCTCACAGGTTCAAGAGGATCGCCCGCTCCTTCACCAAGATCTCCTAAACAAACAATACAGGTATCTGACATGGACGACGGATTTATAGGGAAAGGCGAAGTCCATGAAGAGCGCTCAAGAAGTGTAGAAGCGAGAAAGGTGTGGGGAGCGCCTTTTGAAGGTGGGCCGGATTACCGGACTAACGCAAAGCAGGAACGTGACGGAGGCGAATGATGTCCTAAAAAGGTGGATTTGGGACTATTTCGATGGTATTACAATCCTTCAAATAGAATTCTTTCACAAAACAATGTATTCGAGTTCTTTTTGACTACAAAATACGGCTGTAGAGTAATATTCTCAAGTACTGGAGTACCCAAGTATCTAATATCGTCATGGACATCTTACACCCTTCTAACAAGGTCCCTGTACAACACACAACTACACAACAGTTCCTACTAAAAAAGCAAGGTGGCCCAGGCTACATTCAAAAGTGGCTACATTAGGCGCCCATGACTTGGCTGAAACCCGAATCACAACCGTGTCAATATTCTGGACACTTCGCACCTTAGTCATCGTGGAAGATCTGCAAATCACCGACATGCGACCAATCTGATACCAGGGTATGTATCAAGCGGGTCTGAGTATGCCAGACACTCAGGGCAAACGTCCAGGTGCAAATCAAAAGTACGAAGATATGGGCCGGAACGCAGTCAATTTCAAGACTGCGATACGCTAGGAAGACCAGGTGACCTCCAAATCAAGATTCGTCAAGTCTACGTGACTGTCCAACGCCCGAGAAACCGCACAAAGGACCGCCGATCTGCAATCATCCATATGATCCACACGGTCGCAAAACATCGAAGTAATCAGGTGAAGGATCTTGGATTGACCGGAGGAATTGTCTATCATGTAGGCAGCGACCGAAGCGAACTTTTGGGAAACCAGTCACATCGATATACGGTAATACTCGGGGCGAGGCGGGTATTGCACAAGAAATTCGTAATCCCGAATTTTTTTCATTCATTTTTGGTATTCAAACGTAACCGTAAAAGAGAAATGAAACCACAATCCTCCCATTTAGACCTCAGCGATCTCACGCAGACGACGGATGGTGGAGCGGGTGGCAGCGGCAGCGGGGGTGCTGTAGAAAAGTGAGCTGTTAGTAATCCTTTTTCGGTTTGCGTGTTGCGGATTGCGACTGTGTGCGCCAACCCGGGTCGATTGCCGGGTTGGATCAAAGTGCCGATCCTCGCGATAGGTGTGTGCGACTTACGAGACGACGTAAGCACCGCCGGCAACAGTCTTGTCGCAGCCCTTGCACTCCCAGATACCGACAGCCTTGCGCTTGACGGTGTTCTTTCCGCAGAAAGTGCAGACGTAGCGGGCGTGCTGGGTGACTTCCATCTTCTTCACCTGCTTACGCAGGGAGGCACCGTATCTGTTGGGGAAATTGTTAGAATCCGTGTCGTTGGGTGTCCGCTATGTGTCGTGTGTCTCGATCGAAATCACAGTCGTGTGGGCGCGAGTTGGGCGAATGTCATACCTGGTACCATATTTACCGGTGATGCCGACCTCTGTAGAAAATAATTAGCATTGAGCAATTCGGCTGGCAGTGTGTTGAATTTGAAGAGGAACATACTCTTGGTGCGCTTCGTCATCTTGGCTGGTGTAGAGGATGAAGATGGGTATTCAACAGGAGACCAAAAAAGACGCTTTGAATGAGGGCGGGTTGTGCTGTGGATTCTCGCTTAGGGCTCTTGGCTTGGTGCGATCACCTGACCCTTTTCGAGTTAGTGGGCTTACGTCAGGTGGATGGCCTCAGGTTTCTGATGCTTACTTTGTGTTTCGAAGGTCCACAAGGTCCACCAGATTGAGACGATGACGGTGTGAGTGGATGTAAATTGCAGTGAATTTGGGGTCTGATTTGATATTCAATTTTGGGACTTGAATTTGAATTTTTTAGGGGATTTTATTGCCTTTTAATTAAGGTGTCCAAGTCCGTGTCCACGTCAATGGTTCCCCTCTATATCGACAAGAAGAATGACCCCGTTGAAGTCTTTAGATTGCCCTCATATCAAGGTCTATTTTAATTCGGCTTGATTGTGTTCCAGACCATCCACTCGCCCTTCCTCGGGCTAATCAATCTATCCGGTCACGTGATCCGTTCTTGCTGTTCGATATAAACACCAGTTCCCAGTTTCAGTTAGTAGAGTCTGAATGTGTAACATATCCAGCTACTTCTAGTGTAAAGCTCCAAATCATCTTTGGCTATCTCGATTTATCTCCCGTTCAGCCACCACACGCCAATTTTAACCGTGCCAAGGAGCCTGTGATCGTGCCGAGGGCTCCCTTGTTCTACAAAACTACATCATAGACTCCAAACCCATCAACTCAGCCACCATGACTTCCAACAGGCAGTATGATCTGATTTTGCTGGGTCCAACTGGCTATACTGGCCGACTTTGCGCAGAGCACATTGTGCAGAACCTTCCTACCGATCTCAAATGGGCTATCGCAGGTCGTTCCGCGCAAAAAATCGAGGCTATTGCCCAGGAACTGAAGGCTCTTAACCCAGATCGTCTGCACCCAGGTACATAACCTCACAATTTCATTTATATAAGAGTGATATATCTCAATGCTCACTCTGGTGTTATCATAGATGTCCTGGTCGTTCAACTGAAGTCCACTGAGCTCAACGAGCTTGTTCAGAAAACGCGGCTGGTTATCAATTGTGTGGGTCCCTACCACCTGTACTCAACCCCAGTCGTGGAGGCATCCGCTGTCAATGGAACTCACTATGTGGATGCGTAAGTTTTTGCTTTCTACTCGTTCAGGTGATTTGAACACTTGCTGATCGTTACAGTACCGGAGAAACACCCTGGGTCAAGTCGATCATCGAGAAGTACCATGAAACTGCCAAGGTTAATGGCGCTATTGTTCGTTATACGCCTGGTTTCTGTAAGATAGTTTCATACTAATCTCAGACAGATGATCCCTTGTTCTGGAGTTGAGAGCGTCCCTGCTGATATCCTGGCCTGGGCTCTGGTTAAGCGAGTCCGAGAGGACCTTTCATCTCCAACCCGTCAGATCGACAGCACCATCAAGGAAATGAAGTATGTAACCTTATGTCCGCAAAGAAGCACATCTCTAACCAACTCACAATAGATCCTCCGGTGCCAGCGGTGGGACCATAAGTACCATTCTAACCACCTTCGAAGCATTTTCAATGTCCGACCTATCCAAGTCAATGACTCCTTTCTCGTTGGCCGCATCCCCACCACCCAAGAAAGTTCCTGGTGAATCAATCCTGGAAAAGCTGCTCGGTGCACGCTCAATTCGCGACTTGGGTACCGTGACGACCTCCCCATCCGGCATCTGCGATATGACCATCGTGCACCGCAGCAGCAGCCTGATGCCAGAGCTGTACGGGCCGCATTTCTTCTTCCATCAGTTCCTGTCGGTCCGTAACGCGCTAATTGGTGTTGCTATCCATATCGGCTTCCTGATTGCAGTTTCGCTGCTTGCGCTGCCGCCGGTGCGCTGGCTGGTGCGGAAGTTCGTCTTTGCCCCTGGCTCTGGCCCGACCAAAGAAGATTCGGCAAATGATCTTCTCGAGTACCATGCCATTGCTACTGCAGATAATCCTTCAGCACAGCGTGTCTTTGGTAAGATAACTTACCACGGCGGTATGTATCCCTTTACTGGGCTGTTGCTGGCTGAGGCAGCTATGGTCATTCTTAATGACGAGGAGAAGATCAGAAAGGTCTCGCGTGGTGGCATTGTTACTCCTGCCACGCTGGGTCAGGACTACGTAGACCGCTTAGAGAAGGTCGGCTGCAAAATCGAGACAAAGGTGTTTCAGTACTAAATAGGTTCACTGTCTACGGGGCCCCGGCCCTGTACATTTATGCTGGCCCAAGCAACTGCTCGCGACTTGTGATGAGGGGCATCTTCTTAATACATTGACGATATGAGATACGTACTTTCGCGATAATCAATCACTGCTTTCCAATGTGCCACCATACCTACCATCTCTCTAATCAGAGTTTGCCAGTCCTTCCGTCGGCGGAGGACTGGTCTTTCAACCAAGTTCCAATAATCTCATTGACTTCCTCAGGCTTCTCCCACAAAGCCCAGTGCCCGGTATTAACCTGCTTCAGAGTAAGTCGCGGGACCTGCTTGGCCATAGATTTACCCAAATGAGGTGGCAGAGCTTGATCTCTCAGTCCCTGGATAAAAAGTGTAGGAACCTGGATCACCCTGTCGAGAATAGCAAGCTCGTCTTCGTAGTTCACGTCGCGAGTGCGGTACCAATTGACTGTAGAGATGATTAGCAAGTACCTAGTACTTAACCACCGAAACCAGAAGAAACCATACGTGGTCCATGAATGCCACTCCGAGCAAACTCATTCGTGTAAAAGTCGAACTCCTAGAGAAGATCAGCCCCATCCCCAGCTCCAAATCAAATAAACCCAACTTACCTCCTCGCTCAACAACCTCGAAATCTTCAACTTGCCAATTGTATCAACCAAAACACCTTTATTGGCATCAAATCCAAATTGGCCCGCCTCCGTACGACCCCCGTAAAGCGCCAGCAAAAACTGGCGGATCTCATCCTTGGACCGAATAACCTTCTCCAGCTCTCCGCTCTTGAATTGCAACTGATATCCAAAGTGCGGTGTCACGGTGCGAACGAGGTCTTCGATGGAGATATTCTGCGCCATGGGTCGTGCATAAGGCACGCAGACTGTGAACAGGTAGCTTACTAGTTCTGGATACCAAAGGGCAATACGGTAGGCGAGTGCTGCACCCCTGCTTCGTATATTAGCTGCGCGGTTCTAGGAAAGAATATTTGCTCGGGATGTGCTTGCCAGTCATGTCCACCAAGGATGATCTGGGTTTCGCCCAGATGCATTGCCAGGGCTTTGATGTCTGCTGCACAACTTTTGTGCGAGTACGGGGCGAATTCATCTGGGGCATCCTTGTTGATTTGCTGTTAGATTGTAATTCCTGTGATGTGATGAAAAGACTCACTGTTCGTCCGTATCCGAGACAGTCGGGAGCTACCACGCGCAGTCCCATGTCTACGAGCATGGGAATCTGATACCGCCATCCCATAGAGAGATCGGGGAAGCCATGGATCTATGGAAAATATACATCAACGCTTGTGGATTTTTGTATTGAACTGGCTGCTCACCAGGAAGACAGTGGCTCTGTATTGCCCTGATTTGGGCTGGCTGAGGAGATAAGCTGCAAATTGTCAGTTCTGTCTTGTTATAGTAGACATTGAAGTATAAGCTATTCAAATTGTGGTGTGCTCACAGTAGTTATGACCGTTGAGAGTAGCAGTCTTGTACTCAATACGGGAATCACCCGATACTCGGATCTTGTCGACTGGCATGACGAGCTGATTCAGGGAGAGGTATCTCAAGTCCGTCTTGAGGAACAAGGGGATTTATGTACGGAGGACTTCAAAGTACCTATGAACACCTTGTAGGTCCAAGCTTTGAAATATTACAGCAGTACAACCCCACAAGCTATTGAAGATGAAAATATATAAATTGATACAAGTTAGGAGAGAGATGAGTATCAGAAATGATGAAAGATGAATAATCATGAAGCTGCCCAGGTGGAGATCCCCTCCCAGGTTGACCTCGGCACGTTGGAAGCGCCAGGTGGAGCGACAAGACATTAGTGCAAACCCTAGTTCACGAGCATATTGTACAGTTATAAGGTCTGTTTTTCATACAACTTGACATTAATCTATCGGTGACAGTCTTGCAAAATATATTCTTGGTTCATTTCTAAGTGATGTGTGACTGGTACGATATCAGCGCGAGTACCGGCAACCCTGATGATCTGGGAAGGCAGAGAAGATATCGAGTTTGATAACTAGGAAGGGAATATGATATTAAAGGTGGACGGAAGCTCCTCTGCGGGTCAGGATATAAAAGGTACGCATGGCGTGCTAGGCGTGGTGGAACACAGAGGGCCTAGGAGTTCTCCAATATTTGCGATGATGTTACCGAAGAAATGAGAACATTTTGATTTTTTGAATGAAAAAAAATCGTTGTCGCTGACCACTTGTATGCATGGAAACATGGTTTTATTCATAATGACTATTGAAACTGAAGCCAGTAGCTCCTTGGGGTATAAGGTCAAACAAGAAAGATATTTTTGAGATAGCGAATCCGTGCACGAGGCCTTCAGACCGTAGATTTGAGGCTTGGGCCATGCCATACCCATTGAGGTAATCGACAAAACATGATCGATACTCGAGGGGTATCAATCACGAAGCCTGCAGGGGTTGCCTCCAGTCTGACTGCTCAATCCAGAAGCCTCGCTGGGTCGTCAAACATCTGAGCAGTGTTCACTGACCCTCGGGTCTGAGGTTCCATGGCGCCATGCCACCATCTCTGCCAAATTTTTGCACAGCATTGCACTATGTTACAAAATTAGGCCAAGTGACAGGGAAGTCTTGTCGGATAACATCGGGGTCCAGGGTCCATGTGCTTGTTGATATCCTCCACTTGTCGACTCGTTGCAAGCAGGTAGTGCCAGATAAACTCAGTTGGAGTGAGTTCAGATAGAGTACCGACATGAGGTATTCCACGTGCCCATGTTTGCAAAGATTGTCGAGTCATTTTTGTCGTCGTGAGGCTTAATATGGTAAACCCGCCAGACCCATGCTTGGCTCCCCTCCACTTGGACACCAAGCCACACGCCAAGATCATTGATTCCTGAAACTTTTCTTTTGATAGAATAGATCTGTCCTCGAACTTCCCAAATTGATGATTTTGGGACATCCATCACGGTCCTTCTCGAGGCGCGTACATTCAAAGCAGTAGAAAGCATCACTGATGCCCTCACCGCCACAGACGACACACTTGTTCTGGTAATTGCCGAAGGAGCACTCGTCGCAGATGCGGACTAGGGTTGTCGGGCGTACGTAGGAATCGCACACGGGGCATTTTCCGTCGCATTTGTCACACAGACGGCCGATAGAGATGCCGGGTTGCTTGCGGCACATCACGAGATCGGGGTGATGACGAGACATTTCGAGTAACGGAAGAAGAAAGTAGGAGTGATAAACTTGAAGAAGGTGGAAGGAGGTATGGAGTGGCAAGTTGTGGGAAGTAAAACGAGGATAAGTGCAAGAGAAGGTAAGAGAAGAGAAGCCGACGGTGGATGGAAGGCGAAGTGGTCTGTGCACGTGATTCCAAGCCGGGTGATTCTAAGCAGCGTGTCGTCTTGTTATTTTGCGCATCTTAACCTCAAATCCAATATTTGATCCAGATCAGAGTTTATAACGTCGCTCATTTCTCCCCAATTTGTTGTTTGGTACAGCGTTGTTTGCCGATCAAGATGTCTGAAGGGTATGGCTACCTTTATCCCGTGCAACTCACGCGCAAGCGTTGTAAATTGAGCACTCTAGCTAACGCGCATATTGCCTGAATAGTCCCGAGACACTCGCATCAGCAGTGGCTGTGCCCAGCCAGGACATCATTCACGAGTCTCCGGAGTTGACAGTAAAGCGACGAAAGTCTTCAATTTCAGAATACGACACTAAGCGTCGACGACTCAGCTCTACAGACAATACTTCCCCACATTCTCAGCGGCGTCGGCCATCATCCCCGCCGCCTACAACAAATGAGTCTGTAGGAACGAAGTCTACGCGACCGCGCGGAGGTCGAGATGAGGATCGCAAGCGGGGCCAGCGGCTATTCGGGGGGCTGCTTGGTACTCTTTCGCAGAGCTCAAGTTCCGCGGCACAAAAACGGCGCGCTGATATTGAGAAGAAGCAGCAAGAGAAGTTGAAATCGCTAGATGCCGAGTACGGTGAATTGAAGAAACGGCGAAAGGAACAACGTGATGAGATTCGGAGGAGGGAAATGCCGTTGTATGAGCGAGAAGTTGTATGTCATGTTCTATTCACCTGCCATTTTGATATATAGTGATGAGCATTTTCACTAACTTTTTCATTTTCAGATGCAAACACGGCATTCGAATATGCTTGCCATGGCGCATTTCCACAAGACACAGGCAGAGCCAGCTCTGGTGAGTTATTCTTTCCTAATCATATATAGTAGCCATCAACTAATCCTCCCTAGTATTACAAACCATGGCAACCTAGACCTGGCGACGACTCAGCGATAAAGCAGCAGATCGAAGAAGCAGAGGCGACTATTGCCCGAGAAGTCGCTGAGTTCGAAGCACGATATCCACCAGAAGCATTTGCGCCTGAACAGCCAACCCAGGCTGAAGCGCAGCCAACAGAGCCAACCGGGACTGAAACAAAACAGGCAGATGAACAACCGCTTCAAGGGTCAGAAGAGCAGGAGCAAACAGATGGTCGTCAAGACCAGCCGTCTCCAGAGCACGAGGCAGATCTGACAGATGTAAAATCTAAGGAAGCGACTCAGGGTGCTCCGGATACGGTGGGTTCAGACAATAATGACCAGACCTCTGACCTAGCTAAAAAGGATGACACCGCTGCTAACGTGAAGGAAAGTGCCGTTCAAGATCAACATGATGACGGCGGCGAGGTCGTTGAGGATAACGAGGACACTGTGATTTATTAATTTGTAGTCGGTTGTGGTCGACTTTTCAAGTCAAATCATGCGGTGAGATGGCTTTAGTCTTTAGGCCGACACTGACAAATACCCGGAAGTTTTCTTTGTTGCTTTGGATATGTGTATGTGACATTTCGTCTTGAAACTCGTTGTTTAAGGCAATACACTATTCATATAACATACATGACCTCGTAGGACCTACATCAAGCAATAACTAAGGATGTTGTTTGTATCACATTGGGTGGCCATGGCACGGTTTCTTTGTCAAAATGATGCACTTCAAAGGAGGTGTCTGAGGATCTGATCAATGCCTTGGCCGACCTATGAGTAGAACTTGCCCAGAGCCATTTCTACCTATGTTCGTCCTGTGGGGACAACCAGTTACCAATATTTAGACGACAACCTGGCGAGAGTCTAGCACACTTCTGCTATATTTACTGCCATTATTGAATCGATGCCCGCCGAGGCTCGGGGTTTTCCGACCTCATTAACAACGTAGCCTATCTATACAATAGCGATTTACCGGCCGGGGCGACGAGGTCTGGCGAAGCCTCGCGTAGAACCCTGGTCTCGTGACGGGGTGACTTCCTCTTGCAGCCGATCGCCGGTGATTTCGTCAGGGCTAGAGGCCTCAATCTGGTATCTGTGAGCATCAAAACAACCAAAAATCATGATCCACAACACGGGCTTGCATACCTTTTTCTCGATTTTCAGTCCTTCCTGCTCAGCAACTCCGATGGCGTTCCTCCGCGAACTGGCATGCAGCATACGATCTCTGATCGATGATCCAACGGGACAGGTGTACGCGAAGATCACAACATCGGTTCCAGGGTAATGGTAGAAGGAATACCGCGGTGAAGAGGAGGAAATGTGTGTAGCAACAGCATCCGGCTCGACTCCAGACTGTGAGTCGGCCAAGATCATCTTCTCCGAGCGGAGGTCAACTGTCTGCTTGAAGTTAGCCTCAAATCTTACAGGTCTCATGTACTGCCCATCCTTGCAAGTGGCATCTACCCTCTCAAAAAATGACCACGACCTAGGATAATGACTTACAAGTTGTACCAAACCACTATCCTGCAGACCTCTCAGCGCAGACTTAACGTCTTCATCAATCGCTACAGAAACCCTCATCCCAGAGCCAGTGCTGGGTCCAAAAGTGCCGCCGATACCAATGTCCCTCCCGGGAGTGCCACTCCGTGCCTCGGCCTCGGCCCTGCGAACAGCCTCCAGCTCTCTCTCCTTCTCGCCCATCATATCTTCACGAGAGATAGCATTGGGGCCTTCGCCATCACGCTCGCGCCACGCATCCTGACCCAGGATCTCGTCTTCCTCGGTAGCAAAGACGGTAGAAGCGAACTTCTCCGTGCCCAGTTCGCGGGTCAGCGTCGAGCGAGTCGAGGCAAAGAGCGTCTTTGCTCGCACAGGCGCATTGGACGGGATGTAAGTCAGAGCAATGAGTGCAGTTGAGGCACTCGATGGGCGCCGGAGGAGGAGGTAGATGGGGGTTTTAGGCTGAAGGACGGAGGACAGCTGGGGAAGGGCTGAAAAGAAGGCATTTGGCGAGGGAGTTCCCTGGAAGGAGATTGGGGCCAGTGGTGTTAGGGTCTCTGCTGTGATGGTCACCGGCAGGCAGAAGGTTGAGGAGTCGGAGTTGAAGCGGGTGAATGCATCTTGCAGCTCCGCGGAGACTAGGTGATTTGTTAGTTGGATTGACTTTGATGGACTTGTGCTCGAATTTCGATGTTCAAGATGTTCAAGTTTCTTACCTGTAATTCCTGACTGCATGATGCTGCACTTGAGGATGCAGCTGAGTTGGTTGTTGTTGTTTATGAGGGGGAGCGGTGAATGAGGGGCCGATGACATGTCAGCGGTCAGGGCCACCTAGGCTGCCCGGACCTTACATCTAACAAGTGTCCATACAGAAGAAGCAATTGATTCATCATTATCCTCACTCGATGGAGATACATTGCAATTCTTGTGGGGTCGTTACATGAGCATCGCTAACGGTATCTACAACCACTTCACGGACAGACCTAAGCATCCAACTACCTTGGCGAACGACACTTCAAACGTTTTTGAACACTCTCTATTTCAGCTCGAGGCGCACCAGACAAAGTGGTATACAAAAAGAACTAACGCACAGCACAAAATATTTACAAAAAAAAAGGCCGTTTCAACCGGCTTGCAGTTGAACATCTGAGACAGTCCAACGCGCGAAACAGACCACCATGCCGGTCAGGTATCACAATGCTTTCCAAAAAGACAAGAAATTTCGGCACGTTCACTCCTCAAAACTGCCGCCGACGAAAGCCCAGTTGGAGGCTTCTAGCTTACCCTTAAGGAACTCGTACACGGTGAAAGTGACAGCCTGACCGGGAGCAACACGCATCACACGGGGAGTGATACCCTTGTAGAAAGCGCGAGCACCCTCCGTCTTGAACATGTCCTTGGCAATGATCATGATACGGGTGACAGCGGATTGACCGGGCTCGGCACGGGTCTTCTGAAGGCGGGTCTTGATGGTATCGATGGGAGCGTTAGAGAAGGGGCCCACGGCACCGGAGATCAATCCAATCATGGTGGTCTGGTAAGCGGGCAGCTGACTGTTGCTGTACTCGGGTTGCCAGCGCTGCAGGGCAGCCTTCAGTTCCGTGTAAGCGGTGAAGTTGGCAGCCTGGTTGGTTCCTTGTCGGAGGGCTGTCAGGGAAACACCGCGGTACAGAACGCTGAAGCCCTCTTCCTTGACCACGGTGAAGAGTGCGTGTGGGGCGCTGCGGTACTTAGGGGCATCCAGGGGATCAGCCAGACTGTGGTGCTGGGCCTGCAGACGAATTTTGATGACTTCCATGGGGTTGACGACGGCCACGGCTTCGGTAACACCGGCGGCGAGACCAGCTGTGGGGAAGGTTAGCTTTCAATTTGCATTTTTCAATTTGTTGAACGCTTCACATACCCAGGAAGGTGGCTTTGCTAGTCACAGTTCCTGTCTCCTTATCGGCCAGCATGCCCTTATATGACTCGTATGAGGTGAATCGGATGGCCATCTTGGGGATGATACCACCAAGCACGGCACCAAGACCCTTGTACAGACCGAGAGCGGTCTCCTTTTGCACGATTTGAACACCCGTGGCCACGAACCCGCGTGGCTTAACCTGTTCCAGCGAATATGATTAGCAATGGCTCTATCAAATATGATTTTCTTCAACTCACCCCGGGTGCTGTAGCTCTCTTTGACAGCTGCATGCGGACCTTGATCGTGTCTAGCGGATGGCACACGAGCGCCTCCATCATACCGGCACCACCACCAGCTAATCAGGCAAAAGTCAATAGCTGTATATCATCCTAAAAGGGGGAGTCTACTCTACCGATCAAGTTGACCGCGGGCGATGTGCGCTTCTGATTCGCAGTCTTGGCAGACATTGTTTTTCAATATGTGTTATATTATGCAGAGAATTTGCACTTTTGTTCAAGAAGACTTCACGGAAATCTTTCGGCCGTCTCGGAAATCGAGTTTCGCAGATCTTCCGATTGTCGCAAGGGAAAGCCGAAAATTGCGGAGAAGCGGAAGTATACAATGCCGGGGGAATAACCAGAAACAACCTGCGATTGAAAGAGATGGTATATCTGGAGTGTCTGAGCGAGGACAAGAGATCAATTGGAAAGATCTTGAATCTTTAAAAGAAAAGAATGCCGAAGTTCCACAGGTATATGATTCACGAGGCAAAGTGGCGGCAGTGCCAGACTTTGTGGGGAGCTATGACGGGGAAGCGGACGAAATGGACGAACGGAAGTATATATAACCTCACACAACCAAGAACGGAAAAGGAGAGAGAAAAAAAAAAGGAAGAGGTAGAAGACTAAATGATCTGCCGAGGGAGATATCTGCTATATAATAATTATGTGTGTCTTCCGAGTACAAGCTACACGCCTCCCAAGACAATCCCGAGGCCTTCGGTAACAAGGGCGGCTCTCTATTCAGCGCGGAATGAATCACCCCAGATCTCCAATGATCTGATTTCACATGCCTTTTCAACTGTCGTCATAGTTTCAGCAGCTTGTGATTCTATACTTTAATTCCAGATTAGATTGTACAATGTAAAAAACCCGTTTTGAAATGCTCGTCCCTCATTCAACTACTTGCACATTATCTTACACGCCCCCTTTTCCCATAACCTACCAGTCTGGAAACACTAATAATATATTTCTAGGGGGCTACATTACTCCGGAGATTCTGAACAGTTCGGGAGTTGAACTTGGCCGAAAAGTAGCGAAATTCGCTGGCTATTTGCGGAAGATCTCGGACCAACGCTGGAGCTCCCCTCAGCCGAGGTCCATATCCAGAGGTCATGGGACGTTCTGAGTCAGATGGACAATTAAAGTATTCGAAGGTTGGACGTGGGGTTTGCTGTAGGCTTGGCTTAACTTATCATTCTGGTCCGGGGTTTGTAAAGTTCTTACATACATCCATATAGATATGCTCACGGGCATAGTTGCAGACGGTGACGTTGGTGCCCGTCATTCAGTCGGAGAAACATTTTACCGAAGCACTGGTTCACTCATACGGAACTTTGCAACATTGGAAAAGATCTAGTATCGACGAGGTATACAAGATATGAAGTATAAAATATGCAACATTCGCAACATGCTCTGTATGTTGACTCGAAGTACGGGAGTACCTTCACGTGCATTGCCTATCACATCCCGGGGTCATTCAACCCGACTGAGATAGATCGGCTACCCGATCTCGGCGACCCCGTTCTGGAATGTCAGATTTGATATACGAAGATGCAAGGATTACTCGGTGCACGAATTCCTAATGACTGTTACTACAATTTACATCAAAATAGTAAAACGTATAGCTTCAAATAGATGATGCGATTCTTAGACGCGCTATCGACTCCGATGGGATCGGACCAATTCCGATAACGCAATTTTCAACACCCCTACATATCATCGACATACCCCTATATGATCAACTCACCTTGTGGAAGTGAAAAAATCCATGGGAGTACAATGTTCATTTCCATATTCCTAAACTAGACCAAAAAGAATGGAAGCAGCCCCAGACATCGCACAACCGCGGTGGCAGCGGGGGTTGAAGCGCATCGCAAGTCTAATCCTCCACCAATGGCTCCTAATCGGGATCGGGATCGTTTGCGCCCTGGCATATTGTTTCCCAAATGTGGCCAAGCATGGCGGCACCATCCGTTCCGAGTACAGCATCATGTACGGCGTGATAGCGATCATCTTCCTAATCTCCGGCCTGAGCATACCGCGCCAGAAGCTTATCTCGCACGTCCTGAATTGGCGCCTTCATGTGATCGTGCAGGTAATTTCGTTTATATTTATCCCCGCCCTGGTGCTGGCCATCGTGCATATTATCCTTGCTGCGGATCCTGGGGGAAAGATTGATCGCGCCGTGCTGGCAGGGTATATCTTTACTGCTTGCATTCCGACGACGATTGCATCCAATGTTGTCATGACGAGGTCTGCGGGCGGGGATGATGCGGCTGCTTTAGTGGAGGTTTTGTTGGCTAATATTCTTGGTCCGTTTGTTACGGCTGCATGGACTATTGCGTTGATGCCGAAGATGGCCGAGTTTTATCCGTGGCGGTATGGCGGTGGAGATTTGGGGAGTATGTACAAGGAGATTTTTCAGCAACTCGGGCTCAGCGTGTTGCTACCGTTGTTTGTTGGGCAGCTTGTGAAGTGGACTTGGCCTGATCGCACGGCGTTGGTCCTGCAGAAGACCAAGCTGCCTAAGCTGGCTACTGTCTGCTTGTTATTATTGATTTGGTGAGTACAACGAGCATTCTGTGAAAGCCTCGGGCCTCTTTATCGCTCTTTACATTTCTCACCGACATTCCTATCAATCAGGGCCACATTTTCTTCCTGCTTCGCAACAGGAGCCCTCCAAACACTTTCCGCGCAGAGCATAGTCTTCGTGGTGCTGTTCAACATCATACTCTACACCACCTTAACGACGGTATGTTTCTTCTGCTCCAGACCGCCGCAGATCTTTAGCTCTCGCCGCTGGTCCAAGCCCATATTCAAACGCATGTCTCCCGAGGAGACTATTGCAGTGTGCTTTTGCGGACCAGCGAAAAGCACTGCACTCGGTATTCCGCTGCTCTACGCAATGTGGCAGCCGGTCGATCTACTTCTAAAAGCAAAGACATCGGTGCCGGTATTGCTTTATACTACGGAGCAGATCTGCGTAGCGCATTTCTTTGTTCAGTTGTTTCGGTGGTGGCATGCTAGAATTGTGGAGAAAGAGGAGCTGGATGACCGTACGGGTGATGATGTTGGGATGAGTATTGTTGAAGACCCACATAGAGATCACGCTGGACGTGGTGATGAGCATACGACTGTTTGATGCCCCTTTAGAGTAAGTTATTTTGGTTTTATCCCTTTGTGGCCTGGACTGCTCTTTAGATCGAGCCTTTCATTGTTTACTTTTGCTTTAAGTGACGAGACATATGCCTGTTAGACTTATTCCATGAATACCAGTATCTGAACTTGGATGCATAAGATAAAGCCAGCCAGCTAAGTACATTGTACAATCTAGTTCAATCAATCTAGAGCCCAATTTAATATTGATCACAAATAAAGTCATTTCTATCTGCAGACGCCTACACAATACTTGTATCTTATATCTAGCGGTGGAACTTGTCAAGATTCTAGCGCTTTTTGTTAAGGCAGTACCAATCTGTTGTGGATAGAGAGATCGCCCCGAGATACAAAACACCCACCAAAAACAGATCAAGCTTCAAATACGATGGATCGGCATAGATTCTAGACAAGAAATGAACATCCTCGTCATTTTGCCTCACACAATTAGCAACATGACAAACTTCTACGGCCAAGCAGACAAATCCCTAACAGCAACCATGCATAATTTATCCCAACCAACTCGATTTCTGAATAGGTAAGGGGCAAATCCTGAGTCCAGTTGCTGATTAGCCTAGAACCTTTGACTCATGCGTACAGCCCCATTAGAATCATATACCTAATATGATCCTCGAAGGATATGGTATCGATCTGTGACTATAAGTGAAGGTGATGTGGGTTGAACATCTTCCCGAAGTTGCTCCGGATGACGTCCACCTGCAAGATGATTTGTAATGCGAGGTTATAAATTATCCATGATCTATAACATATCAACAATAATTCTTTCTTTGATCTCTATTAGAAAGGCTTAATTTGATATAGTTAAATCCATCAAAATGGCTCTAAGTGGACAAACTGCCCTCGTTGTAAGTTGACTGCCCACCATCACAAAGAAACTCTCATATTAAATCTACTTCTATAGACCGGAGCCTCGATGGGCATCGGTGAAGCGACAGCAAGGGCTCTAGCCGAAGCCAGTGCAAATTTAATTCTTCTTTCTCGATCCGAGGTAAGCATCTTGTATCTCAGTGCCCATCGAGATCCTGAACATATGAACTGACATACATGGTACCCAGGACAAACTAGCCAAACTCACAGAAGAGTTAAGCAAGCAATACCCTCAGATAAGAGTGATCTACCGGACAGCCGATGTAGGGAACTACGAAGAAGTTGATACAGCTGTCGAGTCATCAGTCAAAGAAGTCGGTGGCATCGATATCCTCATCAACAACGTAGGCTGAATATCTAAATCTCCAAGTATCAAACTCTCTTATAGACTCTTACTAACAAATCCCAAGGCCGGTCTCGCCCTTGGTGCGCCAAACGCCTTTCACAACCTCAAGATATCAGACATCCAAACAATGATCTCAACCAACGTCAACGGCCCAATGTACGTGACTCACTCTGTGCTCAACCGCAGTATGCTTTCGCGCAAATCAGGGACGATCATAAACGTCACCTCAGTCACAGGCCTAGAGGTTCCTCCTTTTACGGGCGAAGCAGTCTACCATTCTAGCAAAGCGGCGCAAGAGGGATTCACTAACTCATTGAGGAATGAGTTGAATGGGTCTAATATCCGGGTGTTGGCGTTGAGGCCTGGTGTTGTTGCGGGACATTTCCATGCTCAAAGGATCGGACATGATCAGTCCCAATATGATGAGTTCTTGGACGGATACACGTGGGTTTTTGCTTTGCAATTTACTCTATCCGATCGAGGGGATTTGCTAATGGTAGTGTTGTTAGGCCGCTTATTGCGAATGATGTTGCTGAAGCTGCGGTTTATATGCTTAGCCAGCCTCTCAACGTTTCTATTAAGGCTTTGGATGTTGTTCCTTCGGGTGAGTACCAAGTCTCCTATCTTGGGATAGATTGGATATCTTATGCAGAAAACAAGCTAACGTTCATATTCCATAGCTCAACGATCTCTTACTGTCTTTGATCGGCAGTGGAATGAACGCACTGGACAGTGAGCCAAGACCCAAGAAGGTTGTCTTCGAAGATTGCTGGCTGGAACAAAGAGAACGTTGGACTTGGATAGGAGTAAATTCAGCCACACCTGGTGGCAATCTGGTATGTATGCATAAAATACATGGACATAGAGAATCACAAAGGGAATCACAAAAGAAAAGTATGCAAAAATAACCACCAAGAGCCCTGCAAGAGCTCTAAGAGTGTCAACTTGATCAAGAAAAATATACATGATGACCATGCAACGTGCGTGGAGATCGAAGTGGCCTATATCTCAAATATAGCTCACTTTGACTCCCATTCCGGCCGTAGCTTTGACCTTCTGCCAAGCGCCGTCCGTGACCCGTCGGATACGATCACGCACACCCTGCCGGCTCATGGCCATCAAGATGCCGATCACGAAAAGCAAAGTACGCACTAATGACATGGGATTCCCTGACACAGTCCGAATTATGTGACGATAGAGGTTGCGCAGTCCAGTGGCCATGGTCCGAGGTGAACGGCCTCGGGCTTCAGCCTTGTCCTGCTTCTTGACATTCTTGGAGCCGGAGGATGAGATAGAAGTTCGTGGCTTGCCATTTGGCGACTTATCTGTCGATTGCCTGGCTCCTTTGCCTTTGGGAGAACCATGTGGGCGGCTTTTCTCAATACCGTAGTCGACTTCGCTAGGATTGCGTTTATGCCCATTGGATTGTAGTCGCGCAGCGGCTGCCGCGGCTTCTTCTGCTTCGCGGCGTTCATCCTCTCGTTGCCGTTCAAGCTCTGCATCTTTGGCTTGTTGTAATTCGACTGCACGCATTTCACCCCGCTCCTTCTCTTCCTTCAGCCCCTCTAGAGTCTGTAGAAACAAATCCTTTCGTTCCTCGTCGAGGACTTCGCTCAAATTGATGAATTCCGTCGAGTATTCCCACTCATCGTTGCGCGGGAGGACGTGCAAAGTAAAGAGCTCGATGATCTTTACTCTGGCAGTTAGATCTTTCGGCGTATCAGCTCCGCTAGTCGCACGCAGAGGGCGCTGCTCGTAATCATCAGATGCATCCTGTAGACGACCCATAAGGTCGAGGTTGGGTTGTCCGTAGGAGGAGAGATAGGTTTCAAGGCGCTGTTGATTCAGGGATTGCGAAGAGGAGTGGGTTAGAAGTAGGGTAGCACTATTATCGCATTGTCAGTATGTCATTTTGGGCCAGTGGGGGTGAATTAGAATACTGACAGGTTATAGACCACTTCGGCATCCACCGAACCCTCGTGGCCATGGTACCCAACGTCGACGACGGTCTCCCAAATTGCACCTTCTCTGACTTGCGAGGCAATTGCTTTCCACTCCTTCAGTCCAAATTGCTTCTTTCCCTCCTCTGCGCCGAGATCGACTATTGCGCTGAGGAGGGTGATGTACAGGTTCCACACCTTGATCCTCCACGTGCCGGCGGCTGTGGCAATCGGCGCAACCGGTGTTGAGCTGTCGCCATTTGTGTGCTGGTCTTCTTGTGGTACTGACGGTTTAATAATCGGTTGAATATTTGCGAGGGCTTCTGGTAAACGTCTTGTGAGGTAAAGTTGGGAGGCTTTCTTGTATGTTTTGGAGAACAGCTTTGTGGGGGAGGCCGAGGATGAAGAGCGGTCGTGAGAGTGAGACGACATGGGGGATCCGTTAGCCATTGCGGAAGCCGTATCAAATGAAAGCAATATTTATTTGTTTAAGAAGGAGTAAAAGGAGTAATTATAAGAGGGAAACCATGCAAGTGAAGCGTGTCGGGGTCGGCTTTCGTTTTCCCTCGGCTCATCCAAGTCCGGGGTCGGTCACGGGACTGGCCTGTGAGTATCTACCCGTGATATCTAAGCGTGTTTACTCTTCTATCACTTCCTAATCTATACATTATTTTTACATCTATTGACAGTTTTGGGATGAGATGCTTTCATCCTAGGAATTCTCGGTCGCCCCTGTTGCGGTTAATGCATCGCAGACTGGATCTACGAGATTGACAGCCTCTATTTTCGTTCCAATCAAACAATGGAGGCATTAAACAACATCACTGGGGTATCGGCTCGATCGTATATACCCTCGTTGACTGATTTAACGCCCATTTCTGATATATATCTTGTCTATGGGGCTAGATGATACATCTCTGAGGCAATGCAGAATGTATATCGACAGAAATTAGTGACAAAATGTAGCTATGTAGTCGAAAGTGCGCATACTTGCTACAGCATCCATATATATTCTAATGCAGGCGGTGGTATTCCAAAGCTTGGAGGTATTTAAATAGTTTGGAATCCTCCATTGTATCATCACTTCCTCCAACTCCCTTCTTACTTCCTTCCAATCATAACTCTGATCTATAAGACTTGATACACACCCAAACAGACCAGCAAACTTTCAAACTATCAGTTTCATATCAGATCAGATCACCCTTTCGACAAATTGAGAGCATGACTTTTTCTGATCAATGAAGCTTGGATACCTGCCTTCCGAAACCAGGCTCTCGTTTTACCTCTGCATCAATCGGTTTTCAGCAATCAAGACTTCAACAAAGCCAATCAACTCTCGCCTTTCGCCTCTTATCTTCATTCACCAAGTTCATACTTTAGGGCTGCTCTCAACTTTGAGCCAAGATGGATGTCACAGCTGTCACCTTCCCCGATTGTCTCCCCTCCATCCTCAACGACATCGCCACCAGCTGTTTCGTGTCCATAGATTTCGAGCTGTCTGGGGTGGTTTTCAAACCAAGTGGACCACAGTCCCGGCTCCAAACTGTGCAAGAGCGATATGTGGAAGCCAAGGCAGCCGCAGAGCGGTACCATATTCTTCAAGTTGGGCTGACAACATGTCATGAAGACAAGGGAAATGGTACGCAATTCACCCCATTCAAGACATGTCCCGCTAATTATCTATAGCCACCTACACCCTGAAACCCTACAACATAAACTTGAGCCCCATCACCCAGCATGAGATGGATGTAAATCGAGACTGGACATTCGGAAGCCGCTGTATGTTCGATATCTACGATGAATGTTTAGCATACCACTAATATCGTCCTGGCCAGCAATGGAATTCTTACTGGCTAACCACTTCAGCATTGACCATATGTGCTCCTTCGGTGTCCGATACCTGTCTCGCGAGGAAGAAAAACTGGCAATCAAAAAAGCTACGGAGAAATGTCAATCGCGTAATTTCGTTCAAGTTGCAAATATTAAAGAAGATGACCATGAATCTCTGCAGTTTCTTGAAGCCGTTCGAATCAGTATCAATGAGTGGCTGGCCCAGGGCGAGGTAAGATGCTATGGCAACTGTCGGTCTGAGTAAATAATTGATATGTATAGAAACGCCGTGACTGGCTCAACATTCCACCACCCAGCAGTCTGCAGATTATTCCGGGCCCCATTCCTACCGGGCTGAGCAGTATGCAGAAATGGCTGATACATCACCTTATCAGCGATGAATACCCCAATTTAACGTCGCGGGGTGCGTCAACCTTTGTCCAAATCGAATTGCGAGACCCATGCAATGAGCAATTTACCTTTGATGCGAAATTGAAGGTCAAAAAGGAACGAGTCCGGAAGCATATCGGGTTCCGCTGGATTGCAGAAGGACTTGTAGGCGGAAGCCTGGAAGAACTCGAATCAGACGCTTTCCATCCTCTGATGAAGATAATCGAGCAACCAACGTTCGGAATCCAGCAGTTGGCAGACAAGGTGAAGAACCGGCTGAAGGAGAACAGACCAGTTCTGGTCGGCCACAACATGTTCTGCGATCTGCTCTTTTTCTATAGATGCTTCCTGGGCCCGTTGCCGAATACCCTCGCGGAGTTTCAGACAGTCATCCACGAGCTATTCCCCGTGCTGGCTGATACCAAATACATAGCCACTCATGACTGCGGTTCTCTGAACCCCATGTCATCGCTGGAAGAGCTCAACACAACTTTAGCTGGAATAGAAAGTCCCAAGATAGGTAAGGCATGATTTGAATCATTGACAGCAAGAAAGCATGACTAACCATCTTGCAGAGATCGACCCTCGCTTTGCGAAGTACAAGTTCCGTAAGCGTACCCATGAGGCAGGATATGACAGCATGCTTGCCGCCATGGCCTTCATCAAACTAGCAGGCGAGATACAGCGCGGCCCTTCCCAGCTGACCGTCAGAACCCGACTGCACGCCACAACACCTAGCTTGGCTGCCGGTATCATGGCACAGCCTAGTAATCAGACTGTTCCCGGAAGCGAGTTCAGCAACTTCTTTGATATTGAGACTGAGACCATTCCGACGATTCAGCCAGCTCAGATTGCTCGAGCTGGCGCATCCCTAGCCAACACTGGTTCCGGGCGTATAGCTCGCCTGGTCAGCCAGGGTAAATTACTCCCGCGTCTCGGAGATCCCTTCTGGGATATCTATGGAAACATACTGCGGGTCTTCGGTACGCAGGAGAGGATGGTGCAGCTGGGAAAGCAAGTGCCAGAGCAGGAAGACCTGCTGTTGGAAATTTGAGGGCAGGTAGCGATTTATGGTATTTGGGGAAGAGACCAAGAAACGATCTTAGATGGAGAGGACAATTGCAATTTAGTAAAAAAGATCGAAATGGACTTTTTATTGAAGTACATAATATGAGACTAAAATAGGGATGTCCGCGACAGCTATCTAACAGTACGCCTTGATTTTTAAAGAAGGTACCGCTAGCGAAAATTGGACGCGACCTCAGGGGAGCTCAATCTGAGCACCTTAAAATGATCAACCGGCCGTAGAATACTGGACGCAGTGATGATAAGAGATGCTTGGAGAAGAAAGGAAAAGCGAAGTTGGATTTTCACAATTTAAACCACCCGGGCGGTGACTAAGCCCAATTGGGCCTGGCGACAACGTGACCTGGTTGGATCTTTTTCTCGGGGACAAGACACTGATCAGCCTCAAACATACGGCCATTCCACCCTTGAACATGTCGTCAGGATCTAATGGTGCACGGCGCGTAGCCTCGCTACTGCGTATGTCCAATTGATGTTTTTACGGGATTCCTTAGGTCCAAATACTGACTCCGCGCGCAGGGCCATCAATAATCGACTCCGGCGTGTGCAGAAGCTGTAAAGAGACCCTTGGCCGCCGCAGCTATTCCGCCGCAGCATCAGCGATCGAATCGACCTCCGCATCTACAGCAGCCGACCCCGCCGTGAAGCCAGCCTACATCATCAACGCGGGTGTAGTCCTCTCCCGCCCTCCCCAAATCACCCGTGAACTCGAACCATTCGAGAAAGCGTTCTTTTTCTACCAGAAGCGTCTCAACGAGCGTCTGGCCCTCCCCTTTACGAAATATTTCTACTTCAAGCGTGGAACACCAGCCGACGAAGACTGGAAGAGAAAGATTCAGGAGCGCCGGACTGCCGCGCGTGATATCGGAACTTACAACGCGTACGACAGCGATGCATGGAACGACGAGCTCCTGCTAGGAGCGAAGGAGTCTGAGCCGGAACACCAGGTTGAGGCCCTTGTTCAGGACGCAGAATCTACTGCCAATGCGACTTCCCAAGATACTAGCAAAAAGGAGGAAATCCCTCGGCCGTACCCTCGGATTACAGAGGCAGACAAGAAGAACGACCAAAAGAGTCTCGATCGTTTGCTTTCCCGTACCCTCTACCTCCTTGTTCAGTCCAAGGAGGGACACTGGAAGTTCCCCAGCTCACCGGTTGAGGAGGGCGAGACCCTTCGCTTGGTAAGTGCTATATTTGTTTTCGACCACTCTGAGTTTGGAAATTATACTGACATATCATGTTCCCTTTAGGCTGCTGAGCGCACCCTTTCCCAGTCCGCCGGTGTCAACATGAACACCTGGATGGTCGGCTTCCACCCGATCGGATGGCACTCCTTCAACCCGCGCCGCTCGAAGAAGACAAACGAGATCGAGGCCCCCGGTAGCAAGATCTTCTTCTTGAAGTCTCGTATGATGGCCGGCCAGGCCGATCTGTCTGTCAACACCCAGGACCTCAAGGACTTCAAGTGGCTCGCCAAGGAGGAGATTGCACAATACCTGAACACGCAATACTACAGCAACATCAAGAACATGCTGGCCGACCGTTAAGAGGTCGATACCTAGAAGCAGCTGAGAGGCTAGAGTCGGGTGAGGAGAACACGAGGTTCCAAGTTCTTCAAGTGGAGATGAAAAGGCATACTTGTTCCGATACTATAGCGCACCATTTGGGACGCATTGCATATACTCTTATTGCGCATGCCATGTATAACTATTCCTGCACTGTCAAATCAATTTATTTTATTTCATTTCGATGTCGATATTGATGTTCATATTGATTCCATGATATCATGAACGCCCCCGCAAACGCCATGCCATGCCATGTAGAGAATAAAACAAAATAAAGAAGTAAATGTTACAATCACCCAGGTCTAGCCTGCAAGCACCTTAGGCCATATTGAACTTCTGTCCCTGAACAATAGGCTGGTCCTTGGCCGATTTCCCCGCCAGATTCTTGCCGCACATGGCACAAGCTAGTATTGATATCAGCATTCGCTACGAAGCCAAGAGAAAAGAATAGAGAAGCCTACCATTCCGCTGATAAGCGCACCGCTGGCAGAACTTCTTCCCCTGCTCGGTCTTCACTTTGCAGTTATCACAAGACGAAGCATAAGCCGCATAAGGATTCTTCGCTTTTGCGCTGAGGAGTTTGCTCTGCGAGGGGAGGTCAGTGCCAAAATTCGTCCCAAGTAATATTTAATGTAATATAGAAGTGAAAGTTCTGTAGCATACCTTTCCGATTCCTGTCGCGCCTAGCGTTGCCTTGGTCTTTCCCTTGCCTGCACCGCCACCCAGCGTACTAGATGGCGAGCCATAGTACATGTCATTCTTGTTCTTGACGCCGGGTGTGGCGAGCTCGGTAGCTTTGAGCTTCTTTTGGCATTTGGAGCAGACCATTTTTATTTGCTGCAGGGAGAGAAGTAAATGGGAAATTGTTGATCAAGAGAGCCCGCGAAAATGAAGATGATGTTATCGCGGGTTTGTTTGCCACCGCCTGGTGTCTTGCCAAGATGTCATGTCTACTTGCTTCCTCGCATGTTATGACTGGCTTTGTCGATTTATTGTTATTTTTTTTTGTTATTTATTTATGGGTTATTATTTGAGGTATACTAGAAATATTTTTCATGCAATGGTTTATACAAAAATGGTTGCATTGGTATCATTCGCATCGTTCCTTGGGTATCGACATTAAGGTATATTAAAAGAGAGTATGACTGCATGGAACTCTCATATCAAAATATAGGATAATCGCGCAAAGTCCATGAGGAAATTAATGAGTACCTCTCAACAGAACCTGACCTCAACTTCAACCTTACCGAGGCGAGACTTGGTGCGAGTGAGTGTGAGGCTGTGCCGAATAATCCTGGTAAGGAGCAGTACCATACGGCTGATGCTGAACCGGAGGATAATTCCCTTGGGGCACATGAGCCGTGTTCCGGGGTGGGAGTTGAGTAGGTTGGTACTGGGTCTCGTACTGAGGCGCAGCATAGCTCTGCTCGTCTCCGAGTCTGTGCCATTTCGCACAACACAGGAGAATGCCAGTGTAAGTGCCGGTCCAGAAAATGAACTGGATAATGGCTTTAACGAGATCCAAGTATAACGGCCAAGCATCGGTAAGGATTAGGCTATAACGAATGTATATGATCGCCCATGCGAAACACACCGCAAACCAGCAAACGGCGGCATTGATGAGTGCAACAGCGGGCATCTGAAAACAGTTAGTTAGTTGGCCTGTTGATCTATACAGGAGTGGCTATACTAGGACTCACCTTTGAGACGAAACGATGACTCCCAGCCTTCTTAATCACGAAGAACGTCCAACCGATCACCTCCATGGACAGCAGCCAGTAAACGATATAGATCGCGGCACTCAATTTTCCCGATGGCAGCATTATGAGTTCATAGTCTGCAATCACGGCCCCCACCCAAAAAGCGATATACAAGGCGCATTCGGAAAGAGAGGCCACGAAAATAAGAGCAAAGAGGAGATAATGGATGGCGGTCACTGCCACGTGCGGCTTGCCGGAGGGTACAAGTAGGCCCAGGAAGCGATGGATGAGGCTCCAGAAGACGTAGAAAGTGAGACAGATTCCCATCACCATGAAGAAGTCCCGGAGCATCAAGGTGATCATATAGTACATCATCACCTCTGCATCGGCGATATATAAGGATGCCCAGACGATGGTAGATATTTGGGAGCTGGTAATTACGTTGCTGGTTAGCGGATTTTCTATCTAGGTGCAGGTCTTTCCACATACCATATAAAGGAAGTCAGGGCACACATGATTCCCTTCAAAGGGAGACTGCGATTCCTAATTGTACACGCCCAGATGAGGAAGGTGATGAATGCGACGAGTGAAAAGATATCAAAGGCAAATTGGGCGAGAAAGAAATCTCTACCCTGGTAGCCATCCAGCGATAACCAGATTTTTTGGCTCCATGGATTGTCTTGGTTATAGTAGCCCGAGGAATAGCCTCCGTCACCGCGTCGAGGTGCCATTCTTTCAGTAATTCGATATGCTTAGCCTCGAGAGATCTAACAGTGTACCGGTTCTAGTTTACGAAATGAAGAGCTTTAAGTAATCAGATCAAGGGGGCTGAAGCAAATCCACACTAGCTAAAATTGAGGCTTGACGTCCGGAATACGAAGCCAAGATGTTCCTAGCACGGGGGTGATTGGTCTAAGGCTCTTTTTAGCATTGCCAGGCAACAAGCAAAAGACCTGTTGACTTTGCCCCGTGTTGATTTTGGAGTTTTCGTGTTTTAACCCCCTTTTGGGGACCTGCACTTCGCCCCGTGCATGTTCGGCTACAGAGTACATGGGCGCTTGCTAGTGCGGGGGCACTGTAGTTGAGATTTGGAATTCCATGGGAGAAAGGGAGAAGAAAAAGACGAAAGCTTTTTTTGACGTTAGGCAGAGAAGGACAGAAGAGCCCAGTTAAGTTGCGCCCGAAGATGCCAACACATCACCGTTTGAATGACTTCGAAGGTCAAGTCGATCACAAGCTAAAGCCTTGGCACTCTATTAAAAGAAACATATCAGCTGATCTGTATCTTTGACCTCATAAATTAGGATGACTAGGACGGGGATTTGTGAATAATACGTGAAAGAGTATAGTAGATCTAGTAGGAGTCGGTCAGGTGTTTGGGGAGACAAAGTTCTTATATCATATCTTATAATACTCCCTTACATCTTATGTCTTATATCACTCATCTTCCATTGAAACATCCACCCTTACCCTCTCCAGCCTCGTGCAGACCGCATAAGTGGAGAGAAAACTCGCGTGGCGGAGTCTGCAGAGAGTAAAATAAAACCCCCCAAGCCCATTTGGCCTTTTTTTCCCCCCGTAAGCTGTCAAACCACCGATCAGGGAAGACCCTAGGCAATTCTCAGCTCTCCGAATCTGAGTTCAACCCAGTTCATGCGTCCTGCATTATTCCGATTGATCCTCGATGGGTTGAAGTATAATCTCTCCCGTGCCAAAGATGCTGAAAGTCCCCAACTGCACGTTCTTTCACGTCTGACTAGTGTCAACGGCACAATTTCGCCATATTCCTTGTTTTTTTGTGTGTCTGGGTCCTTTAGGCCTAGAGGACTTTTGATTCTCCTCTCAGAAGCTCCGTCACATCGTGATGGATCCTCCGCAGATGCATGGTGACCCCCCCACTTATGAACTGGCCTGCAGCTCATCGAAGCAATGCAAGCACGCTTCTCGAGTGCCCTCCAAGGAATTGACCATAAAGAACACGACTCTAGCGCCTCCGCGAGCCCAACAGTTCGGTTCGAGTCTCCAGCACTCTGGGTCTGCTTCCACGATAGGCTCATCCCCAGCGGGACGTGAGAAGATCATCCCCTGAAATCCAGTAGGGGGCAGACAACACACTCACATAAATACTATCTAGTTCCAAAATAATTTATTCCATCATCTTTACTCTTCTTTACCTTCCTTTTGCTTTTTTGGTGTTCCCATTCCCAGGTCTGGCGCAGCCCGCATTCGGCGTCTCCGCGTATCCCGATTCTCGACTGCGTATCCCAACAATTCCTTTTTTTTTGGCATTCTACAGATCTTGCATGCTCTCCTTTTCTCGGATTAGTGCGCTTCCTTAAAGAATTAGAAGCCAATGCTGTGACCCCAGCGTCATTGCCGAGAATTTAAGAGTATCAACCGCTGCATCTCATCGGTGTTCCAATTTTCAAGAAACCACACAGTGTGACGCTCCAATTATTTTCCTTTCAGTTGAGCGCGCTTGGAAACCCAATTCAAGGATCTCGAAATTCAAAAAAAAAAAAAAAAAAAACCCCAGAAACAATGCCTCCAGATGGATCAACCTTCACGGCTCTAAACCTCCCACCGACATTCGAGCTACCCCAATGCATGGAGTACTTTACACTTCGAGCGGGTCCAAACACAGACCTGTGGCGCAAGCCTCCTAACGGCGAAACCTCCACCGCCCCAATCGTCTTCACATCCCTCCGACACGCCTTCGTCGTAGCAGAAGTGACCGTGAGCGCAGACTGGGAAATGGAATGGGACCAAGGCGGCCTAGTCATATTCGCCGGGGCAGCACCTCAATCCCTCTCCTCCGAAGTCGACGGTCCACCCGGATTCCGCAGCACCCGCTCACCCTGCAAATGGGTCAAAGCCGGGATGGAGTTTTCGTCGGGGACTGTGAACGCGTCGTCAGTGAGCGCGACAGCGGATGGCGCAGACTGGTGTTTGTCGCCGCTGGCGCAGTCGACACAAGCAGGACTAGCGATTCACTCGCTGCGCATCAAGCTTGAGCGAGTCGGTTATGCGTTGTGGATTTGGTATCAGGTTCCGTCGGCGTCGCCATTCGCTATGTCGCCTGGTGCGGTGGGGAATTCGTGGAAGAAGTTACGCGAGGTGACGTGGTTCTTTTATGGAGTTGAGGATAAGTTCGTGCATGTTGGGGTTTATGCGAGTCGGCCGACAAGTCTGTCGCGTGGGGGCACTATGTGGGATGCTATGCATGGTATGAGGCTGGATACCTCTCTGCCGGCGGGTTCGGCGGATGGGTTGGTGGTTGAGTTTGAGGATCTAGAGATCTTATAGCTGGTGTGTTTTGTTCTCTTCTTTGATTTTTGGTTTGCTTTGATGCGCTTACACTTTGGGTTTTCTTTTGTCGAGTCCTGGTGATACATATTCCCCATCAGCGTTTCATCAGTTTCATCGAGCGATTATGGCATGTCTGGAGTCGTTTTTTGTGATTTTTTTGTGAACCTTTCCGTTGACAAGTTTCATGTTTATGTCATTTTGAGGGCATGATTCATGATGCTTGAGCTGTTGTTGACACTGCAGTGGGCAGTGGAAGTGTAAGTTCGCTGCCCAGATGTATGATCGCGAGCAGTCGCCCGTGGACGCGTCTGCCTGGCACGTGCATTGCTCTTCTGGCTTCGAGATTTTTGCATTGATAAATTTATTTGGTGACTGCTATGAGCTCTCTTGATTATTTTGCTATATCAGATTTGAAGTAAAATAAATTGAGAGAAAAAAAAAGTCATTGTTGATGTAATATGGCAGTCGTCGATGTATATATTGGATGAACCCTTGAAAATCAAGCCCCGATAGATATATTATATATATTACTCAAATCGAACATTGATGCACAAAAAGAGAAAACAGGCCCCGAGCACTACTAATATCTAAACATATCTAGAATCTCATCGGAAAGAAAGATGGAGATATCGTTCAATGTCACTGAGATATACTACTTTATGTCACTAACTGAAAGCGGACTAGATCGGGTTCGTGGATATAACCGGGGAAGTTGCCGAACATCGCAGCTTCCACGTCCTCAACCAGAGTAGATTAGCAAGACAGCTAGTTGACGATGCAATATGACTTGCTTCGCTTTCAAGTCCTGCATGCTGCATGCAGAACTTCGACATCTGTGGCAGGTCTGGAATGGGCTGATGTTACAAGCTGAGTCAGCTGACTACGGGAAAGCCGTTCCCGAGGCCCGGGAGCTAAAAAATTTGCGTCGAGGGTCTCCAGCTCAATTGAGGTCCAGCAACACTAAAGATTTGCAATAAAGTAGCTCGATTGTCTTATGAACCGTCTCTAGTTTACTCTCACCGTCTCTTTTAGGCCAATGGATGGTGGTTGTGGCGTAGTCGCTCGTTGAAGAGCGGGTCAAATACACTGCAGGACCCGTAGCGACATCCGCTATAACGGGGGAAGATAGCAAGGCGTAAACGACAGAGCTGTTTGTTTTGGAGATCCAAACTAGTGGCCCAGCGGGGTTGAAGCTTTTAGAGCTTGTCTACGTGGAGTTCGGAGCTTTGGAGCAAGAGCAGATTGCTCGTTGAAGCCCCCAATACGTGTTGCATATTTTCCCATTCGCCCCGTGGGGAAGGTGAAAATCTAAAGGGAGAGGAAAGAGGATATTATACGGCCGTCAGACGCAACACACAGAGTTTTTGTTTTGGCTCTTTGATAGGTTGGATGGTCGATGGGCCATATAGGACTCTATATGTACAAAAAGAAAAGTGTTGTAGATGACGCTGAAAGTAGTACATGGTAATACATCACGACCAAATACCCTCCCCGGCGGAAAAAGAGATTCTCTCAAAAAACCCAAAATCCTTGTTTTGATGACATTTCTCCAAGAATCCGAAAACCCGAGTTGTAGATAATTTAGACGTACTTGCACATCATGGCAACCATGAGATCGAAGAGACCCATGGCCTCGACGAAGGCAAAGCCGAGAATGGCGTAGGAGAAGAGCTGGCCACGGAGGGCAGGGTTGCGGGAGACACTCATGAGGAGAGCGGCGAAGACGAGACCGATACCGATACCGGCACCACCGAGACCGATGGCAGCGGAACCCATACCGATGTTCTTGGAGACCTCAACCATGGCGGAGGCGACCTCGGAGGAGTACTGGCGGCGGGCGGCAGTCTGGAAAGCCTTGGCCTGGAGGAGAGTGGGCGACTGGATGCGCTTGGGGGCACCGAAGGCGGGGGCCTTCTGGGTGAAGGTGCGCTTGGTGGCAGCGTTGAGCTGGAAGCGAGCAGCAGGGCGAGCGACCTTGGAGCTCTGGGCCATGACGGAGGCCATGCGGGAGGCGAAGACACGAGAGGTGGCCATTGTGATGATGGGTTATAGAATTAAAGGGTGGGTGGAAGAGAGGAGAAAGAAGGAAAGAGGAGAGAGATGGACTTTTCAGGGAGAAAAAGCTGGGAAACTACGGGAGACGGCACTCACTAGGACATAAATACTCTACGGCCAAATTTTCGCCCGTCCGCCTCCTAGTCGGTCTTAGTGTATGTGTAAGGTAAGAAAAAAGCCCTAGGTTGTGCGTGGACTCCGGAGTATTTCATACGCAAATCACACTATGAAGGAATGCTGGGGATCGTTTTGGTCTGTATTCGTCTCGTTTTCATCGGTTTTGCTTTCGTTTTTCCCATTCTTACCGTGTATCGAGACCTGTCGGAATCAGTCGGGTATCGTTCCAACTGGGTCCACTGGTTTTTTTTTGAGGGCTTATGGGTCTTCTTTCAGGATGTCCCCTGCATGTAAAGATGACCCTTCACTTTTTACAGGGGAACTTACTTAGTGTCCTTAATTCAATTGGCCATATACGTATGCCCGTTGTGGTATAAGACGCTGAATAAAGGGATGAAATAAAATTACATGACGATTAAAAAAGAAAATAGAAATAAAAAAGAAAATACTAATTCTGCCCTTGCAGTGGATCTTAAGCATGTTCCAATCCAGTGGACCGGTCCACTAACAAGCTGCTCTCAACCAATCATAATCCACTCGGGTCCGCTATTTTCCTTGGATTTGTTCCCGGCGTCGCCCAAACCGGCCCGACTCGGATTCCAGGTCCACCAACTACGGAGTCACTGGGCAACCACCAGTGGACCGGCCGAAAGGAGACAAATAATGTGGATTGAGGGTGGATATTGTCTCCCCTTTCATCCCTCGGGAATCCACCTCACCGAGTGGTCACATTTGGAACATACGTAATTCTGGACGGATCCGGTACCCCGATAGCTTTCGGTCTGATGGCTTGCCGAGGGAAAGAAATCATGCATTGGACCTGCAGGTACTGCTTGATTCTTATATAGATTTATGGTAGGGGGTGAGCTCAGATGAAAAAAAAAGACAGGGAAAAAAGGAGTTAAAAAAAAAGCAAAAAACCGGGTTGTCGTGTCCTCGCTTTCGCCGGTCCACTTAGACTGGAATTTTGACCCGCCATAACCCGAACTATCGTGAAAACTGGTCTTTCCGGATTGCCCTAAAGGAGATTACAGAACATTCAGAGTAACGCGGTGAACGGTCATTCAATCTACCCTCCCTTTGCAACGGGGCTGGTGACCCTTATATAGACAGGCCTACCCCCAGTCAAATAAAACTTTCACACCCAAATTAGAGTGTCCCAAACGGGCTAACCAGAGGCTCTTCGCATTTCTTCCGGAAATTCGATTTTTGGTAATTTCGGCTGATCGCAGCTTGGCGGGACCCACACAAGCTCGATTTCAGGGTGCAGTCGTTACGCGCTTTGCCTTACCTGAAGTAATTTAGGTCATTGAGATGGGAATTGAGCATAATTGTCAGAGAGTATGAATTGCAATTGGAACAAGACAATTGAGTATCAAAAAGAAGCTTTGAGCCGGAGCTGTCTAGAGGTATCGAGATAAGGGGCTCCGGAACCGGGTGTAATCGGGTAAAATACAAAATTACGGTATGGTAATTGCATACTCGGCGACTCATCAACTCATCATTGACATGCCGTGAGGTCATAAGGCCAGTTGGCATCCCGTATAGCCTCAGTATAATCGTATACGCAGTATTGCCGTAAATCGATAAGACACACACAGTATCCATAGCTTAGTCTCTTTCTTAAATATCCACTCTCAATTTCACCATAAGATGAACTGTGCCCCCAGTCAGCACACATAAGCTTCCCTTAAACCGCACCACGCCCTCGGCAGGAACACATGCAATCACAAGCCTAGCGGCAGCGCGACCTGTTACAGCTGATGCGTTGGACAACGCATGCCTAATCTCATAGTCGTTATCTCGTCGACATATCCGCCCCCACGAACTCAAAATGCTAGGATAGAGTATTTCGTACTAACATCATCCAAACATGTTCATCACCCAACGCGTCTTTTTCGAACGAGAAAGGCCATGAGCAGCGGCCTATGATCTGCCAGAAACAACACCTACCGCAATAAGGGCCAACCACCCTTCCCGACCTGCCCGAAAGCATCAACCCTCGCAACAACCACGGTGTACACACGTCCTTGATCAGCGCAAGTGTGATCTTTATCTCTGCACCGGGTATTGCACCGAAACCACCCGATACAGTCTTGATCCAGTTCGCCGAAAGCTGTCACACAACCAGCCCTAAAGGTTCACCGTCCCTGTCACATACGGCACTAGGGGCAGGCCTGCACTATGTAGACGGGTCATTGGACATATTGTAGGCTCCAGGGTTTCCCGTCATCACAGATCTAGCCATCTCGAGGCTGTGAATATGATGTGCACCAACCTGCTAGATCTAGACTTGTCTGGGAGAGTCAGGTAGCGAGGAATCGGGCGCGGAGCGAGGCGCTTAGCTCGGTAGAAAGCGCTATGCATAGCTCATGTGCCAACAGAGTATCGAGCACTCGAATCGCGTTCGCGTTGAGGGATGCGTGAGCTGTGAACGGATACGTCGGATACATCGGGTACCGGTACGAGCGTGCTTTTTCTATCCCCTTGAGATGGGTTAGTTAATTCTTTCGGGGAGATTCAAATGGCATAACTCACGGTATTGACGGGTCGCAAGTACTCATTTGTGCAGTTCTCTGAGACATGTTATCACACGGATGTGGGTTGTTTGTCCTCAACTTTGTTGATCAACAACTGCCATGGCACTGAAAGTAGGGATCAATTCTTGCAAAATGATCTTCCGAATACACATATGTAACCTGCCTTAATATGTGACTGTCTGTTGTAGGTAGTAATTGGTGTCTTGAAGAGGCTTTTCATCCAAGTGACCCTTCTCCAGCCACTAACACAGATAAGATCGTCCGCATCCACCAGCTATACGCAATTAGGACTAGTCTTCGATCTACGCGATCGAGATCTGACACCGCCAGTCTCGAGCCCTAGAAGGTCGTTCGAGCAGAGTTGCGGTGAATAAATAGTCACTTGGCCATAAAAGCTCTGCGGAGCACACACACACAATATGTTCCTGTTTGGCTAGAATTGCTAGTAGAGTTGTTTGATCGAAGTTTCATGAAATAGACCGAGATTGAATTGATAAAATTGCAAGACATATTTGGTCTTCGTTGAATCAGAATTTTTGTTATAGCTAAGGATAGTCTCTAATAGTAATCAAAGCTAGTAAAGACAGCATGAAACCTTGGAAGATAGCAAATATTAGTGAAGCAAGAACACGCCATGCCAGCGTACATCTCCTAACAACCAGCCACAGCACTCTTCAGAGCACTCGTTAAATCCACATGGAAGAAAGGCCGATTGATCCCATCGACAACAGCCATACCAGTGCCGACACCAGATCGACCGCGGCGACGATGAGTGTCGATCTTTGCATCCCTCTCCCCAGCCCGCACAACCTGAATATCATCCTCAGAGACACCCATAATCGACGAGGAAGCACTCTCCTCCTGCACTTTCAGGCCAGTCTCCACATCATTTGACCAGTCCTCTTTCAGCCCGATGACCTGAGACTGAGGTTCCGAATTGGGTAGACCGATATCCAATATCTCCGCAACGTTAAAGATCGACCTCTGCCAACGGGGACCTGATCCGTCCGAGACGGCGAGGAACCCGAACCCAGCGGCTGCGAGAGCACGCTTCGTCCATCTGTTTTGGATGTGCGCGAAGTGCCATTGCACGCTGTCTGGATATGCCCAGCGGTCTAGTTGGTTACGGACGTCGATAAGGTTCTGCACGGATGTGACATCTACATTATTGACGGCAGCAAAATCGAGGATTATGGCGCGGAGAGTTGGGAGTGGGGAAGTGGGTGCTTCCACTGCCATGAGGATTTTGCGTTCGGCGCGGGTTGGACCCGGGTCGTTCCAGGGTCTGTCACCTGGTGTTTCCCATGCTTGCGGGTTTGTACGACGGGTTTCTTTGAATATGTGGGCGACGAGGTGATCTGTGTAGTGGTTTGCATTGGGGTAGTTGAAACCCTCGGAGACTCTGTAGATGAATATTCCTGGGGCTGGCTGGTGAATCTTGATTCGGGGGTTTGTGCCATCTTCATTTTCAGTTGGAAGGTAGACTCTTCGGGAAATGTGGGTGTCATCTTCGAATGCAGTCTTCGAGTCCTCTTGGAATGCGTTGAGAATATGGTCACCCACGACCGAATGCACCTGGACATAGCCAAGGAATTGGCCGCGGGCTTTCGCGAGTCGGAAGAGGAGTACTGCCAGTGATACGCCGATTGTGCAGTAAATTCCGGTTTCGATAGTTGAGAATATGATTACGATAACGCACATGAAGAAGATGAGTGCGTCAATTGGAGATACACACCAGAACTGATATGTGACATGTGGAGGTGTGATGAGGTCGCCCACTGCGTGGATGATCACGGCTGACAAGGATGCTTTTGGAATGAAGAAGAACAATGCTGGTAGCGCATATATGGCAAGAAGTACGACAACGGCAGTGATCACACCCGCGAGGGGAGTGCGTACGCCGCACTTTGCTTTGATGGCAGTTCGTGAGAAGGAGCCTGTAGCTGGGTATGCACCCAGGAACGGACCTAGTAGGTTTGATATGCCGATCGCAATAAACTCCTGGGATGGGTCGATCGTATAATTGTTGACACGACCGAACGATTTCGAGATAGCAATGTGTTCAATCAACAGAACAATCACAGCGGCAGGGAGCTCACCAACAAATGCCTTGATAATTGGAACATCTATTTTAGGAACCCCAGCGGCCTTGAATCCCCGGGGAACATTACCAAGGAGCTTAAAGGCAGGGTGATTGCGTCGATGGAGATTGACCGCAGCGCTGATCATGGTGTAAAAAAGAACGACGAAGGCAGTGCGCAATGTGGACAAAAAGAAGAACAGTTTAGCCTTGTGGGGCTTCTTCCTCATTCCATAGTTGCAAGCAGACCGTATGCCATAGAGCATTGCCAAAGCTGTGAGACCCATAGCAGCGTCCATCCGAGCGGATGGAAGGTGCTTCAGCGTATCGATGATGATCTTGTACGTCGCCCCACGCGTAGAGAAATGGGCTTTCTCTCCGAGAACCGTCTTTACCTGGCCAGCACAGACATTGATCGCGGACCCAGTCATGAAAGCAGTGATGGCAGGGAGAGGAATAAAGTCGACGATGAAGCCAAGACGAAGCAACCCGAGGAATAATACTATGGCACCACAAATGATTGCCAGAGCGGAAGCAAGGACTGGTGGAGGGATTTCGGGGTGAACAGCTTGAACCCTGATGATTATTGAACCCATGAGCGTAGACATGACCGCCACAGGCTGAAAGTGTCAGTCTTTTCAATTACCATGAGAAAAAGAGGGATTGTTCTTACACCAATAGTGATGTCCTTAGACGTTGCAAAGAACCAATAGATCAAGACCCCCATGAATGAAGAGTACAGACCGTACTCTGGGGGTAACTTGGCTAATTCAGCGTATGCCATACCCTGTGGAATGACCACAGCACCAACAGTAATGCCTGTCGAGAGCTATAAATCAGCCTTGTCTCTGTACAGATTTGACCTGTCCCAATCAATTTGACCTTTCTCACCTGCCACGAGATCTCCAATCAGCCATTGCACATTGTAATACCCGATCCAATGGAGGAAAGGGAAGAGACCCCAGATGTAACGACAAATTTGAGGAGTGGTGGGTGTATGACCTCGAAACCAGTCGCCCACGGTGGGTTCATGCTCGTAATAGCCATATGTTCTGGGTTCGTCTCTCACAACAGGAGTTGAACTTATATCAATTCGTAAAAGCTTTGCGAAAGCGTGGCCGACTCGAGTCGAGATAGTCTCCGCCATTGTTGCGTCGGGTCTTCTTCGGTTCTTCGTAGTCTGGAAGGTCACCACCGGCAGCTCTCCAGATTGCTAGAGAGAAGATGAGCTGAAGAAAGAAGAAGAAAAGGGGAATGCCCAGTAAGAACGGCCATATTGAGTCCATAAGACCCGGACCATAGGGCTGATAGCCCATATACTTCGGTACCGGCAATGTCGTGATTTTAGTGTTGATTGACCACGATGATTGACTTTGACCAATCACGGCAGGTCTGGAAAGTAGGTCATTCTCGCGTCAGACGTGTCTTGGTGATTAGTTACTCCGATTTGAGAGAAACGGTGGGACATGAAATATGGGAGAGACGATGATGATTCTGGTGCAAGGGAAAGTGTCAAAGTCTCATAGGGCTGAACGCTTGGACCCACCATAGGGCTGATCTGTTTACTCCTTACTCTTATAGGGCTACCTGTAGTGTTATAGTGGTTCTACAACGACATTAATTTTGCTGCCTAGAATCCATTGCAATGTTGATTCCGTTGACATTTGGGACTAGCTTGTGGAACGTGCCCTTTGCAACCCCGTATCACCTTTGACCTATGATGATTTTGAACGGAGGATATTGTCCTGATATACGGAGGAGGTACATGTGGACATAGGGACATGCGTATATACATGTAGCGACAAGGAAAATAGGTACCTGGTGCCTGAGCTACCCCACATATTCTTGGTGGATTACCTCTTCCGGTTAGTTTTGCCTTTTTGGGCTTGGGCCAGTTATCTATATTCTTTGTCCGAAGCTTGATCATTCGAAATTCTGATTCCTGTTCAGATCTATACCACTGGAGCTGATAGGAAAATTATGTCACTTTGCATTTATATGATTCATGATTTTATATCCACAAAAAATCAACTCTGAAATCAATTTTGGCTATAAACAGTTTGCTTTGGATCTCGGCGAAAATGATGACTAAACTGCATCGCCGCCACTGCCCCACTCTCATCCGGTGGGATATCCGGTGGGATGGCGATACTTGTACTTCTCCATGTTCACATCTCCTGGATTTCTAAAGATTGACCAAGGTGATAATATGCCACAATTTCAATGCCAGGTTCCTGGCTGTACATCGAGCTACCGTCGTAAAGAGCATCTCCGACGTCATGAAGCACAACATCGTGGAAGTCATCATCGCACTTGTTCAATCTGTGGTCGGGTATTTTCTCGCAGGTAGAGTGATTCTGGAATTAAGATCGCTCTGATCACTCGCTAACAGATAGCTATTTAGTGACAGTCTTAGACGTCATATTCGTCGCGACCATGAAACCCCAGGACAATCTCTCCCTCGCGCCACAAAGGCCTGCGTGAGATGTCGTACGACCAAAGCGCGGTGCCAGGGGGGCTTACCATGTACAGAGTGTTCTTTGAGAAATCGCGTGTGTATTTTTGATGGTCCACCCCTCCCCGGTATGGAACCGGCTCAACCAGACCCCGAAGTCTTGGAGGATAATGGTGGAGAGGATCTGATCACTGCTTCCCTCGAGAATACCGCTCAAGTCGACCACTACATACATCTTTACTTCTCGCATTTTCATCAACACTGGCCGATTTTACATCGACATACCTTCAGTATCCCTGACGAACCCCCATTGCTGCTTCAGGCAGTCTTAATGATTGGCCTTTGGGTTAGTGGGAGCCCGGAGGCGCGGCAAGATGCTCGGGATTTGCATTATAAGCTAGGAATGGCGATTTCCTCACAGCGGGTAAGCCCTCGAAAAGCACTTGTTCGGTTTGAAAAAATTGTACAATTCATTGACTGTTGATCCGCAGGACAACTGGGAACAATCGCCGGTGGAAGAGGATCACGATAACGAAGGTCCGGACAGCCCAACGTCACGATGGCCCGTTGGAACCTACCAAGGCATTCTTCTCTACATCATATTCTCATTACTGACATCGAGTCCGATTGGCCTCGAACTTAACCTCAGCTTGGCATTACCTGTGTCCGATCGTCAAATCCTCTCCGCTCTGGTCGCAACCTGTCTGCGAAACAACATCTTTTACTATCCTAATATGGTTACAAGGTACCGAAACGTCGAGTCAATTACCTGCATGTGGGTGGGAGTCGAAGAGATCAAAAGGTTGGGTTTGGCCTTGTACAAGGTTTCTCGGCTTTGTGGAGGGGTGAATTGCTTGGAGGACTCTGATGGTCGACCATTTCGCCTCTCTGATCTACAATTTCCCTTGCCGGATAGGAGAAATTTATGGGATGCTGGTTCGAATGCGGAACTGTCTCGACTACTTTTGATATATTCTAGAAGAGAAGACAAATCGGATGACCCTAGGGATACCAATTGGATCTCACAAAGTGGGAGATTATTGGAAACCGATGAAAATTGGTGGAATTGACCATTTCGGGGTTCTATGATTTGAAAGAGTTCTCCTCTGAGAGTGATTCTTGTCACAACACAGCTGTCTAGGGTTTCTACCGCTCTGAACCTTGGCTTTAGAAGGAACATCAGGAGAAGGCCCAGTGTGAAAAACGAAGCTAATGAATTGAACTAAATATCAAGAAAATAATCAAAACTTTTCGAACATTCTGTCTGATTGACCATACTCAACATCACGAAGAGCTTCCACCTACTCACTACCTTGCCACAACGGGGGTTTCCTCGCCAGGAGTAAGCCAGCAAACCTTCTCTGACACCTTTTCCAAATCAAAGACCTCCGCCAACTCTGCCTTATGCTCAGTGAAATGTTCCCACGATTCAAAGTGGATAGGAACCATCCGGTCGACATTCAGTACACGCATCAAGTGAGCAGCTTGCTTCCCATCGAAGGTGATTTGCAGCACACCGTTAGGGTGCTCGAAAAGCGCATTTCCCAGATTCAAGACGGCGATAGATACATGCCACTTGTTCTTGATCTCCGCCAACTCGTCAATCCACACGGTATCGCCAGAGAAGTATACCGCATTTGGTAGACCAGCCTCATTAACACCGAAAGAGTCGCACTCGATTATGAAACCAGTCACTTCACCACCAGGGAAGTGCTTGCAAGGGGTGCCGGTGATGCGGAAATCTTTGCCCCCAAGTCTGACGGAGACGGTCTGCCAAGGGCGAAGGCCGATGACGCCAGGGCGTGGCTGGAGGTTGTGCGCACCATCAGGCGTGGTGAAGACATGGCGGCCGTCGAGTAACTGGCGGCCTAGAGGATCCAGATTGTCGACGTGATCTTCGTGGCTCAGCAAGACTGCATCGATGGGTGGAAGGTCGTGCAATTGGAGGGCTGGTCCTTCAAAGCTGCGCAGAATACCTACTGGAGGTGCACCCTTGAAGCCAAAGTCAACAAGGTTGGGGGCCTTGGACCAGCCATCGTAGAGGTACTCAGAGCCTGCAGGGCAGAATACAGGATCGGTGAGGAAGCGCACACCGTCGATGTTAATGATCGCTGTGGCAGTCGTGATGTGGGTGATGGAAACGTTGCCTTTGAAGGTGGACATGATGCCAGACTATTGGATTGATACAATGATAGAAGAACGTTGATGTAAAAAGTAGAGCAGCAGTGCTCTCAGAAGACTTATATACTTTGCTATTCCCAATGACTACCTTATTCTTCATTCCGAGGTCCCACCATGGACGGAATGACAAACTGTGCAATGTGTGTCAATTTCTTCATAAGCGGCAGCCCTGATGATCAATTCAAAGTGGAGAGCAATACCAAATGTTTCAGATTGACCTGTCGAGATACGTGTAATCTCGAGTGCCCAGATGAGTCTTGTATCTCAGTCATCATCCCACTATCCCACTATCCCACAGACCCATCCCACCCATGGCATATTGGACCGCGAATGATGGATCTCGCAAGGCTTTCAAATCATCCACATCCACCTCTATTCTTCGGCGACATTCTTTATTTGGTCATTTTTATGTTTAGATGATCGGGCCGATACGCACTGGATAGGAGGAAGAAGTTTCCTTCTAGCCATCTGATACAACCCACCTGGCGCACCCTTAATCTCAATTCATCTCTCAGCACAATATAAACGTATCAACCCATTCTTAAAACGGAGTTTCTCTCTCCCGTGATACAGGTTTTGCTCATGACCTCCGATATTGATGGCCCTCAGGCCTGGATCATCGTCGTCGCTGTTTTCTGGAATAATGCCCACCACTGGGGAATCCTCTCCGTAGGTCAACCAAATTATTAAGAACTGAAAGACACCTAAGAAGGCTAATGAATCTCCAGAGCTATGGCGTGTTTCTAGCCTACTTTACCTCGCATTCGACATTCGTGGGGAGCAGAACACTCGATTACGCTTTCATCGGGGGCCTTGCCGCATCACAAGCACTCATGATTTCCCCTCTAGTCACAATCCTCCATCATCGTTTTGGCCTCAAAATGACAATGGCCTTTGGCGTCATTCTCGAAACCGCCGCGCTGCTAGGTGCGTCCTGGAGCACGAAGATCTGGCATCTATACTTGAGCCAAGGCGTTTGTTTTGGCTGGGGACTGGGAATTCAGTATCTTTCCACAACCTTCCTGATTCCCCAATGGTTCGACAAAAACCGCAGTCTCGCAGCAGGGATATGTACCGCTGGTAGTGGAACTGGTGGGCTTATTTATTCCCTAGCCACGCATGCTATGCTGGCCCAATTTGGCATTCCTTGGTCCTATCGTATCCTGGCAATTATTCAGTTGGTAGTCAACGCTCTCTGCGTGCTCGTCATTCGAGACAGGAATCCGCAGGGGGTGGGTGCGTACCAAATGCCAAAAATCAACTTCCGGCTTTATCTCCGTTACGAAATGTGGTTGTTTATTGGATGGAGCTTCTTCAGTGTGATGGGGTTTATGGTTATCTGGTTCTCGCTTGCCACTTACGGAAGAAGTATCGGTCTGACTTCCACTCAAGGCTCCATTGTCACGGCTGTTATGAATATCGGACAGATGTTTGGTCGTCCTGCGGTGGGTCTCCTGAGTGATCGAATTGGACGGATCAATATAGCTGCTTTTGCTACTTGCATCAGTGGCTTGCTTTGTCTTTTGTTATGGGTGTTTGCTCGAACATATGCATCTCTTATAACTTTTGCTCTGCTTGCAGGTATATTCTTTGGCACCTTCTGGACTGTGAGTCGTAATTTTGTTGATGAGTGTTCTGTTCCATACTAATCCTCGCTAGGTGGTGGGCCCAGTGGCCGCAGAAGTGGTCGGTCTAAACGACCTTCAATCAGGTTTAGCTATTATGTGGTTGACCTGCGCTATCCCTGCAACTTGTATGGCTTTTTTCATGAGCTTCCCCTTCAAGCTTGACTATTTGACTAATAATTGCATACAGTCGGTGAAGCTATCGGGCTTGAGCTTCGCACATCTGGCCTCCGTGAATATTTAGGCACGCAGTTGTTTACCGGCTTCATGTATATAGGGGCTTTTCTTTGCCTGGTGCTTTTGCGGAGTTGGAAACTAAGACATCACGAACTTGACTCATTGACCATTTCAGCGACATCCACGGATGTTGGTACCGAAGAGATGGTTGTGGTAGGCCATCGGCCAGGGAAGTTTTTTCATCGGCCAGAGAAGTTATATGAAAATGTGCGATATGTTACATCATGGGGAAAGGCGTAAAGAAATCTTAAATTGTTACGAGAGAATACATATCTATCCGATATTGTGACAGCTTCAAATCTGCCTGTGTGTCTGCGTAGGAAATTAAATGTTGTTCAGCTACGTATATTGCAGTGCTATTCTAGGTTTTGTAGATATTCTACATAGTAGTTCCCTACATCTGTGACAGTTTTGCCGGTGGCAATAAGATCAAGTCAAGCCGCGAATATTCTGCCCAGGCAAGATCAGTGATTACCACCTCAAAATAGTGTTATATACAGGTCAGTCTATATTCTTGACTGTGAGCCTCTATTGGCTTCCTTTTTATGCCAGGAGCTCTCTAATTGAGTCTAAACATCCTACGTGCCGAAAGAAGACAGAATCAGTCCAATATTTAAGTAGTCTCAGTTGTTCATAAGTTGTAAGTTTCGTGTACAAAAGACAAACTTCAATCCACCAGATCAAGAGCTGATCTCACTTTCAGAGACAATTGTGGCAAATGCATCGCCCAACTCGCTGAGAACCACAGAGACTACAGTCTCCGCATTTGCACCGGGGATGTTGCGATCGCCCACAGCCTCCCCCACAATGAGCACATCATATCCCAGCTCACTACCAGCACGTGTGGTAGTAGAAATGCAAACGTGTGCCATGTAGCCGACCAGTACAATTTTCTGGCCTACTTCTCCCAGTCCCTGCAGGTATTCATGCAGATCGGTCTTGGCAAAAGAACTGGGGAAATTCTTGGTGACCACTTTCTCGTTCGGCTTGGGCGTCAACTCTTCAAATTCCTGTGCGAGAGTAGTGCCGGGTGTGAAGACAGGTGCACCGGCAGGCACTTCGTGGACAACATGGACGATGTTCTTGCCATTTCCATTCTGTCGATATTTTTCCAATAGCTTGGAAATGACCTTGCGAGATTCGCTGACTTTCTCAACAGCGAGAAGGCCTGTGGCGTACTCGTTCTGAGCATCGATGATGATGAGAGTTGAATCACTGGTAGAAGCAGTGGAAGGGGGTGCGCCAAGGATTTGACGGAATGACTTGGCAGCAGACATGGTGAGTGGACAATCAAAGAGTTGTTGAGTTGATGGACCTCTGAACAGCCGAACAGGGTCCTATATAAGGTGAAGAGGGGTGCTGTCTAAGCCATACGTGGGGCCGGTGGGCTTTCTCCGGATTTAGCCCACCGGGAGTGTTTCTGGGAGATCCCAAGACAGTTCATTTATCATCCTCTGAGCATTGATAGTTGGCATTCACAGTCAGCATTGCTTGTCCCGAATCTTCCAAGCTTACAATCTTTAAATAAATAACAAGGCAATGCCAACAGAAAGGGTCCATCGCCGTGCCAAGCACCCAACCTCAGTGCAGACCGCAGATCTCAAAATTTGGTATCTTTTGTATGTCGTACCCATACAAAGTGTACTTAAACGTCATATACAATGTTTATGCGTTTTTCCTTATTGGATCAATTAAGCCATACTCATATCATACGTTCTTACTCTTTGGTTAAAAAAAATCTATACATGGTGCCCAAGTATCCTTTGGATGGGCAAGAGATACAAAAGATACCTAATTTTTAGGGTCCTTGACAGGGTCATCAAGTACTCTGGGTAAATGCCTTAACTCTACGAAGCTTTGACCAGAGGTACTTACTATGAAAAAAATATACCTGGTATCTCAGAATTTGTCTCTAGATAGCAGTTGGCGGTCTTTGAAAAATAGTTGATTGGTCTAATTGAAAGCAAAGAAACGCATTTTGGGAATCGATATCCTCGTTGTAATACGGAAAATCAATTGCCTTTGATCATTGCTTCTCTTTCTGGAACTTCTTAGGCTCATACTCCTGGAAGTCGGCCAGACAGGGTGCCACGAATAGACTGCGATCAAAAGCCCCCTTTATGGTGAAAACAGAGACCACGATCCATAATAATACAACACTAACAGCCAGTATCTAGAATGAGTTAGCCATTTGAAGACGAAAAACTGACCATTCAGATAGCTTACGGTTGCCAGGACCCTGAAGAACCTGGAGGGCATTTCTTGGCCAAGTTGGTTGGTGCAGTTTGTAAAGACGCCGAGCGGGAAGGTGAATGCCCACCATCCGAGGTTGAATGGAAATTTTCTCGACCGAAGAATGGTTGCCACTGCAAAGAACAACCATAGACAACCGAATGACCACATGAGAAGAGCCACGAGGAAGCCGAGGTCATAGAAAGTATCACCTGATCCGGGACTTAACGTCCCTGTAAGCGGGAAGATTCTTTTCACAGCGATCCCCAACTTTTGAATTCTATGTAGGAAAGAATGATGTTAGTGTGTCATTCAGAATTTCCAAATATTGTGATACTAACCCGTAGCCACCTTGACCAAGAGGTCCAAGAGGCAAGAACGTGCTGACAATCACTGCTTTGGGTGGTAGTTTGCAAAACAGAAGACGCATCAAGTAAATAACAATGATCATCATTGCCAGAGGTACTCCAACACCCCATAGAAAATAGCTAGCGATGATAGTCCCTAGAGCATGCTGAGGATTTGGGAGTATATCAGCCACGATACCCCCCGACGCCGCCGCAACGACGCAAGACACGATGGGGAGTAACCAAGCGGCGCCCATCTCCTGTAGTTCGACGTGCGCCGATCGAGTCATTCTAGAAAGCGAGTCAGCCCTAGTATCTTTGAAAGAGAAGTTGTATATAGACCGTACACAATAAATGGTATACCGAAGCACGTCATAAGAGATATAACAGAATCTGCAATCCACAGACCCCAGGCAAAGTAAGCAGCCCAGTTTCCCCAGGCTGGCACGCAGACATAGCAAACCATATTGACAATTGTGGCAAATCCCATAGGGAAAGTCCCAATAAAAAGGGATTGCGCAGGATGGGTAATCATGAGGTAGAAGGCTTTTGGGTAGAGAATATACCGCAAGATAGTGATGGCGAGGAAGACGGCAAAAAGCAGCACATTCAAACAGAATATCACCACTGATATCCAATATAGCCATCTGCCATTATAGGGCAGAGTATGGAGCAGAATAGAAGTAATCCCGGTGCCCATATTGACCGAAAACCAACTTGAGTAAGAGTTAGCAAAGTCGATAACCTACACCCGAGACACTTACGCGGGCGTGAAATTTCGCACAAGATGGCGCCAGCCATGATTGTGCTTTGATTGACTTGGGTAATACTCTACTGTCGCAGTTTCCGGTGACTCTCTTATATAATTAATGTTGGCCTCTTCAATAGCCTCGTCGCCACATGAGACTTCGCTTGGATTGTCTTGCGACATCGTCCCAAAACGAGTTTCAAGCCGGTTTTCGAGATTTGAGACTAATGTAGACAGTCGCCATTCAAATTATATACAAAATACAATAAGACATTGAGTCAGAACTAGTCGGCCAAGATTAATGGTACTATAGCCGTGGCCAAGAGAACCCGTGGACATCACCGATGATTCATAGTGGTATGGCGGACGCCTCTCACAGTGGGTCTATACGGATCCAACGGGTACGTCAATTACGCGCCTCATGTTTTGCTTTTGCATAGAATTTATTGTACCAATACACCAATCTCATATTCAATATATAAGTTATGAATCCAAATACAATTCTTCAAAAGTGAGGTTGAAGTCTATGGAAAGTCTGACGGGTGGCGGCTAGACTGCCGTATACGGACTAGCGGCAATCGCCCGCGGATATCTACGGTCTCATAGACATACACCATCTGCTGCGTTCTACCTCCAAAAATACCTGATGATTCCTTTCTGTACCAGCCGCATCCAAATAATGCATAAAATCGCTGAGAGAAGAGGTGCTGTCCCAACAAGCAGGTAAGAGCATGCTTTTTTGACTGTTGCCTTTCAGCTCAAAGTCTGAGGGTAACCAGCGAACATTTTCTTAACGTCAAGCTCCAAGCTCCAAAGTCTACTTTTAATTGGAGATGTATCCTCTTCTTCAAATCGGAAATTCACATGAAAAATACTATGAAGGATCTATAATGGCTGCTCTAAACCCTGCTGTTTCGGTAAAGCTGGGAACGCCAACAGCGCACGCGCCTTGGCGATGTGCTTGTACAATGCCTGAATATATCTTACCAGAATGTATCGGCATGGATTCATAATCAATACATGGCTACAGTCTCGGGCTTTGAACTTGGAATTCCGAGAGCCCGGAAAGGTCGGCGAATTGGTGGAACCAGAAGCAAGGGCTCACTTGACAGCAATAAACTGAGTGATCTCAGGTATGATATGTTACATTGATCAAGAGCACGTTGTCTCCTCCAATTGTATATAAATATGTGTCATGCATCCTGATAATACTGTACTCGAGACGACATTTTCGAGTTAGCTCAGGCGAAGATCCAAACAATCTCTAGTACCAAAAATGGCGTAAGCTCCATTGCTTTTGACACCGTTGTCAAATCTAACATTAATTGACACATTTTTAAAGGCGATCCATTGAGCTACAGAGTACTGCAGATGTGTATTACAACCTCGGTACATATCATCGTCCAATTAGCACCACCGTGAGCGATGCACAGCTGTGGTTTGACCGTGGATTGCAGTGGTCCTACTCGTTCAACCACGAAGAAGGCGCACGATGTTTCAAAGCAGCAGCAGATTCTGATCCCAACTGCGCCATGGCCTATTGGGGATTGGCCTATGCCCTGGGACCTAACTACAACAAAGCTTGGAGCCGATTCGACCAGGGAGATTTGGACGAGACCGTCAAGGCCGCAAGAGTCGCATTGAAGATTGCCCAAGAAATATCACAAAATTCAAAGAAATCACCCGTCGAACACGCCTTAATCAAAGCCCTGACCGCCAGGTTCCCAGTTGAAGGGTCACCACTTGATTTGAATGCACTAAACCATGCCTATGTCAACGAGATGCGTTTGGTCTACACCCTCAGCCCCGAAGACCCAGATGTCGTTGCTCTTTTCACTGAAGCTCTCATGTGTACACGACCTCGAGACCTGTGGGATGTCCAAACAGGTAAACCGGCCGAATGCACCATCGAGGCTCGTCAGGCCTTGGAACTTGCAATGGCTCAGAACGGCGGCATGGAGCACCCGGCTTTCTGTCACCTTTACATTCACTTAATGGAGATGTCTCCGTTCCCCGAAATTGCTATAAAGGCCGCCGATAGCCTCCGTCGCCTCGTGCCCGACGGCTCTCATCTTCTCCATATGGCCAGCCACATCGACATTGCCTGCGGCGATTATAGCCGTGCAATGATGGCCAATGATGCCGCTATTCATGCAGATAACAGGTTCTTTGCGCGCCAACACAGTTCCGTTCTCTACACGATGTATCGGGCGCATAACGCCTATGCCAAGGCATATGCTGCTATTATGTTGGGAAATTTCACCGAGGCTCTTTCAGCTGCCACGATGGTTGGCCGAATCTTGACTCCAACTTCATTGTCAGTTACCAGTCCCCCTGTAGCTGATTGGGCTGAGAGCTATTTGGGCGTCTTGCCGCATGTGCTGGTTCGATTTGGCCGCTGGGATGATATCCTCCAGCTGGAGCTTCCGGAAGATAAGACGCTGTTTTGCTCAACCGTCGCAATGATATATTATGCAAAAGGGATAGCATTGAGTGTGCTCGGTAAGATCGAAGAAGCACAGCGTATGCTGCTACAATTCAGAGCTGCGCATGCCGCTGTCCCTGCGTCTCGACTGGGCAGTCTTCCAAGTCGCGAGATTGATGTTCTACAGGTTGCTGCAGTTATGCTTCAAGGGGAGCTCGAGTATCGTAAAGGAGACTATGTGCTAGCTTTCTCCAGCCTCAGAGAAGCGGTTGAATTGGAGGATGCTCTTCCATACGGTGATCCACCTGCATGGATCCAACCGTCGCGTCACGCTCTTGGAGCACTGTTGTTAGAACAGAATTATGTTGATGAGGCTGAGCTGGTCTTTAGGGAAGATCTTGGCTATCAACCAGGATTTCCTCGTCGCCGGGCACGGCTAAACAATGTATGGGGCTTGCACGGGTTGTATGAGTGCTTTGTGAGATCCGGGAAAAAATCCGAAGCTCTCTTCATTCGCACGCAGCGAGATGTTGCCATGGCAAGTGCAGACATATCTCTTAATGCCTCATGCTTTTGTCGACTTTCCAACTCTGTCAATGAGGAGAGATGCTGCTAACCAGAAGTACGTATATGATCATGCGAATTTATAAATCCTGAATGATCTCCATTGTGATGTATTACTCTAAAGATTAGAAGAAACGCAGTCATGTAGTAGACTATATACTCCAATTAACTGTAAAAGATACCCCCTTGAGTCAACTAGGAGATAGATGGAGTCCCTTCGATACTCAAGAATTATCCCATCCCGGTGGAGTTGGGAGATGACAAATACAAAACCGAAACTGAACATCTACAACTACTTCATAACCTGCCCGGGAATTTTGGATGAAGCCCTGATTCCCATATTTTCTCTTCAACAAATGGATTCCCCCAGCCAGACAAGCACGACTGCAGCCACATCAGTGGCATGCCTCAACTGTCGCGACAAACATCTCAAATGTGACGGCAATCCAGAGGGATGTGACCGATGTCGCGCTTTATCAATCTTTTGTCACTTTGTTCCATCACGTCGTGGACGGAGAGGGCAACCAAGTGGACTTGTATGCCTCGATACGTGTTATGTCCCAGCCATTGAAGAGACTGCTTTTTTCTCTGATGCGTCATTACCCCCTTTGACTTCAAGTGATCTCTGTCCAACCTATATTTCAGAGCCTCCACAGAGTTTACCACACATGAGCATCCATTTGATAAAAGTATTCTATGAGTATTTTCACCCTGCGCATCCGATACTGCCACCCTTTGATCTCTGGGTTATATCTTCGCCGCCTCAGTATCTCGTGAACATTGTCGAGCTCATTGGATTACACCATATTTCCCCTGGCCAAATCCCCGAGGTTTCAAATGACCTTTGGATATCTACTGAAAGCGCTGAGTTGACGTTGGAAAAAGCGCAGGCATATCTTCTTTTCAGTATCCTATTCCATGGTCGTAAGGTCCCCGAATGTGCGAAGAAATGCATTGGCTTCGCTATTGAATGTAGCTTCAGGCTTGGACTCCATTGCAGAGAGCTCTCTGATACCGTGGAGATGCAGAGCACCGCCCGTGCTGAGAGTATGAGGCGAACATTGTGGGAGATTTTTATCGTGGATACTATCCTTGCTGCCGTGCAAATTGGAGGCACCTTGCAATTCAACATGGAGATGCCTGACGTGTCCCTACCATCGGAAGATGAGAAGTTTGTGGACGGTCACTCCGGGGTCTACTCCATTTCTGCGAAGGATCTGAGCCACCGGGCATTGTCCGATGATGATCGCATTTCATCACTTGCTTATCGTGTCGAGGCGTCACTCATTCTCCGGCAATGCCTCGTCGCCTGCGAGACACATGCCCGTGAAGACACATTGGAAATACTAGACTCAATGATCTCGGCTTGGTTTCACCGATGGCCTGGCGACAGGAGCACTATTCTCCAGATGAATGGGAAAGTGAATCAAGTTGACTTCCAGTCGGCTATGATCATGCATTGTGCCTCTATTTATCTCCACTTCCCCAAATCCCTCTTGGTATCCTTCCTCCCAAATACCGGCGAGGTGTTTTGTTCCAGACCTCCACCTATTTCATCTCCCTCGCCGAATGCGCAAACACACACAGCAAAAATTGTCAATGCAGCCGTCGAGCTGTCCAAGCTCGCTTCTCTTTCTACGTCTGTGACGGGTCATACCCCATTTTTTGCTTGCTCTCTCGTCCTCAGCTCTATAGTGCAGGTGACTGTTCTGTCTGCCCCTATTGGACAGCCATTCGGGAAGCATTACTCATATTTGGCATTGAACATAGGAGTTCTGAAATCGATGGGCAGCATATGGAACGTCGCGGCTTCTGCTGTGGGAAAACTTCGAGCCACTACTCGCGAAGTTGAGGCAGCCTCTGCCGAGGCAGGTCATGAAATCGTTGGATCCATGTTTATCCCTGCTGTACTCCGAAAGTGAGATCATGTTAAGGGTTCCTACTTTACTTGAAATCACCATATTCTACTGTTAAGACTGCGTATGTTTGAAGACTGCTTTAGCTGAGAATGTTTTAGCTGAGAACCCAAATTTGGAGATACAAAGCAAGGGATTTCACAAAATTTCATGCCGAGAATCTTGTGGATCTGGCGGACCCACTAGTCGGCGAACTTGGCATTGATGTACTCCGTAAATAGCGAAAGAGCCGGCATGATTCTTGAAGAGAAGGCTAAAGGTAGGAAAGGTATGGCAATTGAAACAAGCGGAGTCTAGTATTACTGAAAGCCTCGAGCAAGAGATACCATGACAACGGATATCCTCGAAAACAGGAATGGGACGACATCATATGTGATTTCTTTTGCTGAATGACCAATTTTGAAGACGCACTTTCAGTTTTTTTTAAATCCAATCCTCCAAGCTGTACCCATTTCTGATAGCGAGAACATGCTGGGGTCCTTCGGCATCGACCTCATAGCCATAGGCACAGCGACCAAAGGAGACTTTTGGCTGGGACTCATAAAAAAGATCATACTTATGATCTAATGCATCTTTGAGGCTCGCCACGGAGCCATCCGGGTGTAGAGTACTCCAGGGCTTGATGCATTCAGAGCCACGGCATGACTTGAGCACCATAAGGAGAGCATCCAACCTTGGAACTACTTCTGGTATTGGGCGTCCGAGAATCTCCACTTTTGGGGCATCTCTCTTCCAGAGATTATCCACCTGGTAAGGGTCCACCTTTGGAAATTGGTTTAGCTGAGTCAATCTAAAAACATGATGTTCTGAAGAAAACTTACAGTCAAGTCATAGAGCTCATGCTCGTTATTACACCACACAGAGTAAAACAAATTGTAGTCAGTGGAAAGCAGACGGACAGCCTTGTAGGTGTTGTTGGGTACAGTGGGGGTCCCTATGAGCATTAGTACTAAAGAGATTGAGGGAGGCAATGGGCAGACGTACCAAGATTTGACAAGCCACCTTCGAGCATTGCCTGTCCCCAATATTCAACTGCGACATGCTCATGAAGATCACCACTGGTTTTGGAGGTTGGCATTGGTGTCCCATCAAAGTCAGACCTCTGATGAAGTCCGGCGAGCTGGAAGAGCGTGGGTGCAATGTCAATATGTGTGGTGACCGAGTCCTCCACATGGTTCTCTGGGATACCAGGTCCGCGCATCATGAAAGGAACACGGATATCTTCCTCAAAGCCACAGGTCTTTCCAGGAGGAAGCCGGTGCTGAGATATATGGAAACCATTGTCCGAGGTGTAGATAATGAAGGTGTTGTTGATTTTTTCAGATTTCTCAAGCCGTGTAATGAGGTTGTCAACTAGCTCGTCGACACCTTGAAGAGCACGAAGACGCTGGCGATAGTAATGGTCATTGTAGTCTATCACTGACTGGTTTCGATATGGAAGATCTTGGATCCAACTCACGCCAGTTGGCTTTCGAAGGAAGGTTGTTAGGTATCGTATTTTGACATGTCATCGATAACAAGCACTCACATGTTTGGGGTTGAAGTTTGCTGTTCGGGGCACTTTTGCATCTGGGAAGAGATGTTTATGATGTTCTTCAGGAATGGGCTCGTCCATCCACATTGGACCGGCGCCACCTCCATACGTTCCATTCATGTTCGAATGCGGAGCAATGGGTGTCACAGTCATGAAAAAAGGTCGTTCACCAGCTAATGCGTCGTCTAGGAATCCCATCGCCTTCTCGCGCAGAACCTCGGTGGTATGACGTCCCAGATAATTCTCGGGGGCTTCGTGATTCCTCTGGTACGTGGCATTCATATAGTCATAGGTGTAAGGGTCTAGAACAAAGTCTGAACCGTTGAAACCTGCAGGGTACGGGCTGTTGTAATTCTCAAGAGAATGACCGTTCATCAACTTTCCAGTGTAGTAAGTATCATAGCCCGCCTGTTGCATCCAGACGGGAAGATAGTTCTCATTGAACCCACGCTCAATAAACTTGGGATATCCTCCTGAAAATATCTGTCAGACGTAGACCGAGATAAAACAGATAGGAGATTTGGCTTACCCCAGGGTGGGTGGACGTCGGTTACGTTAGTATTATGTGCCTGACGTCCAGTGAGCAAACTGACACGAGACGGACAGCACAGAGCGGTAGTAACGAAGTGATTGGCGAAGGTTGTGCCTTTCTGTGCCATATGCTTCATAGTCAATGGCGTGTAGGAGAGCGAGTCTAATTTCAGATCTTGGTCATCGGTCATGATGAAGAGAAAATTGGGCTTTGGCGTAGGGAGAAGCTGGTCTGATACACTGGAATCCTCAGAGGTATCTGTAGTCATACCGGCTACCAAACAGCCGAAGGCAACGAGGATTTTTAACTTCATTCTCGCTGAAATTGGAAGATAGAATAAGAACAGTGTGCTAAACCGATGTGATAGAGAGCATTAGGGTCATCTTTGGGCACTTTATACTCGCGACATTTTCTCTATTTATCTGTCTTCTTTAAGGGATATCGCGAATCCACAACATGATTGCCCTATCCAAAAAAAGAAAAATCAAGGATGTACACTTTGTAGACTCTGGATAGACCAAGGTCGCCTATACGAAGTAAAATCAGGATTTGCTTCCTAACAAGCCCCACATATTCGGCGAGGTCTCAGGGGAAATGAGCAACTGCAAAATTTGACTCGAAATCCCCGAGAGTTCACTTCGACAGGAAGAAACTTTCCCCAATGGGCTGTGGAATATTGGGGAGGCTTACATTGCTCTGTGACAACTAGATCTCCCACCGGCCTCTACTTTGGGCAGGCTTTTGTCGCAGGATCAGCAATATTATTAAAAACCTGTCTCTATAGAGTTCAGAAGCTGACTACCTAGACAGTATCACTTACAATAATATGGCGTTTATAGTAATAACATGCCCTCTACCGAGCCCTTGGACTGGTCCATACATGTGTTGGGCCAAATAGTACATATAGTAACTGATAGGCTACTAGGATGATAAGACTAGATATGCGTAAGGACTATAGTAGGGGGCTTATTGTGCTTCGAGATTAATTTAGCTTCACTAAGTACGGCGTAGGTCTCTCAGATCTGTCTATAGCAAGCTTAAACAATGTCAATAGCTAACTCGCACTTGATGTCCTTCACGCTGGTTCCCACAAAGCATTTGTAACTGCCGGTATCTACCCTCCAAGATGCGATCTCTTCATCATACCACCGGAGTGTGTCACTTTTGATAAATTCTCGCATCTCGAGACTCCATTGCAGGTACCCAAACCTTGGAAAATCCAGCCAGGGTCTTGGGGTAACTGGCTAGACCTCTTTGACGAATAAACACCGACGGTGAGACGTACACTTGAACAACTTCATGACCATCACGTTGGCCAATGTTGTTGACGGTGATGTGAATAGTAACATGAGACTCGGGCATAGTAGTCATTGTACCACTAAGGTGAATGTTGGATAGCGTGAAGGACGTGTATGATAGCCCAAAGCCGAATGGCCACAGAGGTTCGATTTCCCGCTCCTCAAACCACCGATACCCTATCAGCACCTGTTCACCAAAGACAGCATGGTCTTGTGCCGCTTCAGCTGGAAACCAGTCGCTTGAACCATGGTCACTCAAGCTATTTGGGAAGGTAATCGGCGTCTGACCAGAGAAGTTGCAAATACCAAGTAGCGCGTTTGCCAAGGCAGGACCATTCTCTTGGCCCTGATACCAACCCAGAACAATTGCGTTTGCTTGGTTTGTCCAAGGCATAGCAGTTGCACTAGCGGTTTGGACAACAACTATAGTGTTAGGATTGGCGGCGCAGATAGATGATACAAGCTCGTTAGTCCGACCTGGCAAATCCATGTCCGGTCGATCGCCACCTTCGCCCTCGGAATCCTTGTTGTGACCGACAACCAAGATGGCCACATCGGACTCCTGTGCCGCTTTTACAGCACGATTCAACATCTCTGTCTCGTCCACCTGTAGAGACATCCCGATACGTAGGCCGGACATTCTAGGGAAAAGTGTGTTGTCAAAGGATTCCATGAGCGGCAGAGTAACGACGTTGTCTACCCGCAAGGCGTATGAACGGCCCGAACTTAGGTCGACATAGCAGGTTTGGTCTTTACTGGAGCAGCCAAGGAACTCGGCAGTGGGGCCAGCCCAGTCGGTGTTGTCAATGATGAGCTTATCATCCAAGAAGAGCTTTGCCTTGCCGGTGTTTGCAATGCTGAACACATATTGTCCAGAGACCTTGAGAGTGACACTTCCACTGGCTCTATAACAATACTGATTATCTTTGAGTGACTGAGGTACATCCCCGTCGCTCATCATATACGTCAGAGAGTTTGCCCAGAAACTGGTCGCCACAATGGGACCCTGGAACTCATGTCCCGCAAAGAAATCCACCTGAAGTCCCTGTCTTGAACCGTCTGGGACGGTAAGCGCATCTCCAAGAAGAGCTGGACGCGAGGAAAATGGCACACCCTGTTCATATGAAATTTCGATTGCTGGATTGACTTCTCGGAGGGCACGTTCGAGGGACTCTTCAGGTGTAGTGATGTAGAATGGGTTCACCGCCGCGCTGCCGGAGCCACCTGCGGTTGGCACGTGGGCATTAGGACCGAGAATAGCGACTTTAGTCAACGAGGATGGCTGGAGTGGGAGAAGACCATCGTTCTTCAAGAGAACCAATCCGCTTTCTGCCGCTTCGCGCACAATGTCGTGGTATCCGATGTCATTGGATGCCTCTTCCGAGCTGGTATCTTTTGTTTGTGAGGGCAAAAGATTTGCCTTTTCGAGTAGTTGTAAGACTCGTCGAACGCTAGGGTTCAAATGCTGCACTTCATCAACCAACCCATCGTGGATGGCAGTGAGAAGACGTTCACCGCGGCGGACAGGTGGACCGGGCATTTCGAGGTCAGTGCCGGCGATCATGCTCTGAACGGTATCATTGCAGCCTCCCCAGTCACTCATGACCAGTCTGTCAAACTGTAGCTCATCCCGCAACAACCGTGGCAGGATGAAGGGGCTCATATCCGCGTGTGTACCATTGATCAAGGGGTAGCTGACCATCGCTGTCCAAGGTGACGCTTCAGCGGCCATAAAAAAGGGTTTCATATAGACTTCGCGCAAGGTACGCTCATCAATAATCTGATTGACATTGAAACGACGTGTTTCAGTGTCGTTGAGGATGAAATGCTTCATACAAGCACCGACACCTTCACTTTGAATCCCACGAATCATCTCGGTGGACATCGTGCCAATGAGGAAGGGGTCTTCTCCATAGCCTTCAAAGTTGCGGCCACCAAGTGGGGAGCGGGAGAAATTCATTGTCGGCGCCAAAAGCACATGGCAGCCCTTGCGACGGGTTTCTTGGCCTAAAATAGTGCTGACTGTCTTCACCATGGAGGGATCCCAGGTAGCGGCCAGTGATATGGCACATGGTATCAAAGTAGTCAGAGAACCATCTGTCCATTTGGTTCCTCGAGCACCCGCCGGACCATCTGTCATTTGTAGAGGTGGGATTCCCAACCGCTCAACCTGGGTAGTCTGCCACATATTTTGACCGGCGACCAAGGCCACTTTCTCTTCAATAGTAAGTGATTGGAGGAGATTTTCCACGACGGTGGTGATAGTATCGGGAGCCATGGTCTTGAGCGGGTTGCGGTATGACAACACCAAAAGAGATGAGTAAATATTTAGACGTGCAAGATGTACAAGGAAATGGCGAATGCTGCCTTTTTTGCTTATATGAATTAAACGATATTGTAATGGTGGGATATCCATCACGGCCAACAATACAATGTAGTCTCGGGGATATAGTGGAGTTGACACTCCGCTCGCCGAAATCGTGGGGCCACATTCTATAACATCCAACCAGTTGGATAGAACAGCTTAACAAAGTTCTCTCTTTCTATTCTCCCTTTGGCAAAATCTCTAGTCCCCGGAAATAACTCCCCATGATTTCGGGACAGAATTCGTGGCCGTGGGGCCCCGGTAAAGAGAGGCTGGGGAAATAGACGTACACTTCTGATGAGGTGAATGAGAAATTGTATATTGAACACCTCAATTTGTGATTTTAACTGTGCTAATGGTTCGACTATCTATACTCATAGAAAAGTGTCATAAGAGACATTTTTTAGGTCCCGCCAGTGACTGGCGCATCAGCCAGTTCCATCTCAGCGAAAGCCACTCAGACATCTTATACCCAAAACGGGAAAGTAGTTCGGGGAAACTTAGGCGACATCTTCTACTCATCCCCCAATTGGGTAAGCTATTTGGTTAGTGGCTCTATCAGGATGGACCGAGCAGTTTTGGCATGTACGTTGAGCACTTTGACGTCCCCCTTACGCCTTCAAAAGACACCATTCCCCTTCATTGAAGGGATGCAAATTCGAATTTCTTTCCTTCCACCATTCATAACCCTACTTAACTGGCACCACTATGACACAGACAGAGGCCTCGGGTAGTTCAGTCCGAAATTTGCCATGGCTTATCTGGGTGGTGGTCATTTTTGGCTCCATATCCTCAGCTGGCTTTGGGTTTGATCAAGCCTGGTGGGCAAGTCTCATGAGTTCTCCTCAGTTTGTGCAAAATTTTGGAACACTCGATCCCGTCACGCATACACGCGCCTTGACTTCCCAACAACAGTCACTGGGGACGGGGCTTGGTTACGTTGGAGTTATCATTGGAGTTTTCTGCGGATCGCCTATCAATGAGCTGTTCGGAAGAAAAAAAGGCTCTTTGGATTCAAACAGTCATTGTCACAATTGGCATCATTATTGAGTCTACTTGCAAAGCAAGCTACGCGCAATTCATCGTCGGCAAGCTCATCGTCTACCTCGGTGGAGGCATCGCTACTAGCATCATCCCTGCTTACCAGGGCGAGTGCGCCCCGACATCCTTGCGTGGCTTGATGTCCGGCACATACAATGCTTTCCTCATGATCGGTGGGCTCGTCGCCGCTCTAATTGTGTATCTGTGTCGGCAAATCTCGAGCGACTGGGCATGGCGTGTGGTAGTGGTTGCTCAAATTGCCATCCCCGTTGCCGGGTGGGTCAGTCTACCCTTCTTACCTGAGTCACCCCACTGGCTTGTGTCTCGTGGACGACTAGATGAGGCAGTTGTAGCCCTTCGTCGTCTAAGAGGACCATTTTTCCCAGCAGAGGCTGAGGTAGTCGCGTTGCAGCAACATTTCCAGAGGCAACGGGAACGACTTGCCAGTGCAACATGGGCTGTTTGCTTCACGGATCCGGTCAATCGGCGTCGCACACTGATCTGCGTGGGTGCTCAGATATTCCAGCAGGCACAGGGAATCTCATTTGTCGCAAATTATCAAGCTGTCTTCCTCCAGCAGATAGGGTTCAAGGAAGTTCTCCTGATGTCTGTGGTGGTATATGTCATTGGTGTTGTCGCAAATCTCATCTCCATGGTCACGACGGATATGCTTGGCCGACGGAATGTGTTAATGTGCTCTGCTCTCTTCTTGGGGGCCTGTATGTTCATCATTGGAGGTCTGACTGCGGGCGGGCCCACAGATATGTCCTACACAATGCAAGTTACGGCTGTGGTGATGTTGATGCTATGGTTCTTTGCCTTCCAGGTTACTTGGGGGCCATTGACTTGGGTTCTGACAGCCGAGGTGCCACCCAGCCAGGTGAGAGAGAAGACAGTTGCACTATCTGGCATGGGAGCCTATGTCACCGGCTTGGTCATTGTTTTTGTCAATCCTTACACTCAGGCGGACATTGGTGGACAGGTTGCGTTTGTCTACGGAGCATTATCAATTGTATCGTTTGTTTTTGCATGGTTTTTCATTCCGGAGATGAGACAACGCACATTAGAACAAATTGATGAGATGTTCCAGGATGGTCTTGCAACTCGGTCATTCAAATCTCATATTTGTCGATCGCCTGGGGAGACTGCTGTCAAGGAAGAGTCGGATGAGTTTGTGGAAAATGCCTAATTTGGCTATGATGCTGTTGCACTCATTGGATCTATAGTGAATATATATGCATCAAGTTAGATTGATTAAAGGAACATCAACGCACGCGTCTGTCATTCGCTTTTGTGTGTCTACAATTTCATTCTCTCTACGGAGTAGACCAAGGAGTTGATAGAAACCAACCATTGACCGATGAACATGCTAATCAATAATCAATTGATATCGCATCCATTATATCAAGCTATTCCAGGATAAGCGCACTTATAGGAGACCATTATTCTCCTGCTTTGTATTTCACAAGCGGCGATGCAGAATTGCCCCGGTTTTTGGTGCCAATTTCCCTATCCTCTTCCTTCTCACTCGAGATACTGCAAATAAAACTATGGAGATAGGAACAAATAAAATTAGCCAATCAAATTATGAGGTTGGTTTATATCTCTAAAATAGGCGCCTTGAATGTTTATTCCATGTATGAGTTGAAGAGTGTGTATGAGTCGATACTGAGCAACCGCTATCTCCAGATATACAAGTTTCATTGGATATATGCACTGGATTGACGGACTTTGCTGCCAGATATGTAGAAGATCCATGGTAAAAAGGCGAAGGCAACTGCCAGAAATCCAAGCAAACTCGATGCCCAGGGGTAGCCAAGGTTTCTATACACTGAGAAAGATATAAGAAAAAAGATCAAAAATTCATGGATAAACAGGACAACATACTCGGGAGTGTGAACAGAGGAAAAGAGCCACCGACGAGATATCGCAGTAGTCCGTTGGCTGCCAGTGCCGATGCTCCGTACTTGGCACCGTATACATTTGTCAGGTAAAGCATTGTCGAAACCTGGAAATGAAACCGTCAGCAATATTCCAGTATTGAATGTCAAGAGGTAGCTCACTCACGAAGACTAGAATGTTTGAGAAACCAAACAGGCCTGTTGCCAGAATGCTACTCATCCAATGGATTCCTGGCCGGGCGGTCCACGCAAACCAGAACAATGCAGAGGCCATCAAAGGACCCCCGATCATTGCACCCCACAACATTCGCTCCGGTGGTGGTGTAGCGTTCTTGTACTTGAAGAGGTGTTGTTTCATAGTATAAGAATCAAGGAAAACCAGAAGTATACCTCCAAGAGCACATCCCACAGCAATGCCAATCAAAACCAGCCCAATTTCTCCAGGAGTAAAGTTATATGTAGTGCTGTAGATCAGCGGAATACATGCCAAAAAGCAAAAGAGGATAGAGAAGTTTAGCGAAGAGTAGAGAGAGCAAAGCAGCACAATAGGTTCACGAATGAGCATGTAAAGTGGTCTCACCAGCGTGACTGTGAGCAAGAAACGCACCCCAGCCAATCCAGCTGGGATAGGAGCCGGCGGCACGGGCAAGCCAAGTCTTTTAGCCTTCCGACGCATCACAGGGCCAGCATAAGTTTCCTGTGCTCCTAGCGCAAAGATCCAGACACCTGCACCGAGGAACAATGTAGTCCACAGCGACCATTGCCAGTTCTTGTATTGGGCAATCCAACCGCCCACAAGTTCTCCAAGTGCTGGGCCCAGGAACGCAATAGTCATGATCAAGATCACACCGCGATTGGTGTTTACTCCTGTCCACATATCCATAATTGTCCCTGCACCAACAGCCAGCGGCGCGGAGATTGTGATGCCAGCCAATAGCCGGCAGATGGCAAGAGCCGCGAGGTGCTTCGCAAAACCGGAGCCCAGAATAAATATCAACGCGACCGGGGTCACAAAGACATAAATGAATCTTCGACCAAATGTTTCACTCAGTGGTGCTGAAACTGTCGGACCAAATGCGAGACCGTACACGTATAGCGTGAAGGGGAGGAGGGCGAGAGTGGTACTGGTGTGGAAATCTTCTTGGACGCTCTCATGGGATGGTGAATAAATTGCCAATCCGAATGATCTGCGAAATGTCTCCTACATTAGCGGAGCAATAATGGACAGGATGAATTTTTCGCTCACATCAAAAAACATAGTAAAGCAGGCACCGCGGTGTTGTAAAGCTTTTTGCCGGTCGACCAATTCTTTGCATTGTCAGGGTCATCAACCCAGTCTGATATAATATCATCTTTGTGTGCCTGCTCCGTTGGTTCGGTCATTCTCTCCTTGCTTGCTTCAAAGCTGTCTTTGGACTTATTCGCAAGATGGTATGGATCGCCCTCTATACAAATAGTATTTATGGAGTCCACGGGTCAGTCGGATATTTTTACAACGGGCAATCGGCGGCTGAACGCCTACATTCATTGAGTTCACCTTATGCCGTGTAGTCGGCGAGCTTGTTGTTGAGATTTGCTCTAGTTCTAGGGGTGTATACATAGTAAATGAGGCTTAGATCAATGTCGTGCAAGAGAGGGACCCACTAATTCGGCGACCTCCAGGGGCCGATGCTTGGTATGGCCGATTATATTCCCGCGAGAAGAATCCGAGAGGTCTTGTAGCGCTGATAGTTTTCTTTCACTCTGTCAGGTGCGAAAGGCTATTCCTTACTCCCAGAAGCACCGAGTTTGTAGTCTACTTTGTGTAGGCCTTTTGGAAATACCTCAGTCATGGAGAAACAAGGCTTTATTTGAGACGAAAGGGGAACAGGAAAGAAGAGAAGAGGAGCAAATTTGTGTCTCCCACCACATCAGGATGCCCTTATCAAGGTTAATTGCCTGAGAGACTATGGTGGTTGGGGTTTCAATGAAAAGTTCATGTCGTGGAACTGTGTTCACATGTCCAGATAGCTTCTACATCTTTGTTGATCTGATGCACAATGACACTATCTGTTGTTGTCTGTAATATCTTAGAAATACCATGTTGCCCAAGGCGAATGTTGACCTTGGTTTTCTGGCTGCATCGTGATTACCTCATGAGGACGTAACATGACAAGAAAAGCCCTAATTGATCTCGTTTTGGTATATGCATGGACAGGTAGATAGCTTCATCCCTCGACATGTTGTTATTGATCGACATGGAGGCGCTATGTAAGCTTAAAGACTTATTTGCTAATGAAAACTTGTGTACAATCCCGTTCATTCATGGGCCAATGTCTTAATTTGTTGCTGTCGTAGCCGCTCCTCTGCCGCTACCCGACTCATATCGTAGAACACCTGTTTCTTGAGTTGTTCGCTGTGCTGTTTCGGATGCTCCTCTGCCTATTTCTTCACCTTTCCATCTACCAGCCCTGTGTTGTGGTATACTCTTGCTTTGCCCTCTAACTTACAAGGTATTCGCTGTCCGTAGTACACTCCCGACCCACGCAACGGTCAGCTCCCCTATTCGAGCTCATCGAAGTGCCGAGTGGTGATTATCCATACAATATTAAGCCAATAACAAATGGAGAAAGGTGAAATCTTCTCGCCGTGGACGTAAGAGTTCTATTGATGCGGCTGTGGTGGTCATGTTGATACATTGTGGTTCACGGAAAGAGTATTTGGCTATGATGCAGGTGCCTTGCGATTGGAAGAAAGGAGGAGAAGATCGCTGCCTCTTCACACATTTATTTCAAGCTTGTGCTGGCTGTGGGGAAATAAGCCCTGGAGAAGTAACTGAAGGACTAAGAAAGGCATTCAATCTCAATTAGTGCATACATATGGCTACCTCCATGCAGAATTTATGAGTGCCAGATGACAATTTGATTGGACTAGAATGATGCGCCAGATCATGAGATCCTAGCAGTCCTTGTAATTGTTATCGTGGGTCCTTCACACCTGATTGTAGATCAATATGAAGAAAAGGTTCTACTGCCCTACATCATCGAGCGCGCTTAGAAGATGAACCGAAAGTTTCCGACCTCTAGCCTACCCTGACGATATTAGTTAGGGGGGAAGTCATAAGACTACTCCGTTGTTGTATATAACTTTGACAAGCTATTTTTACTAGGGCCCAATTAAATCCCCCCTGAATACAATATTTTGCCGACAAACTGGGAATCATCTCCCGCGCATACCCGAGAACGGGAAGCCGACCACACCGCCCTGTATATCTTAATGAAAGTCGGTGGGAAGCACTCTGTAGGTGAGAACTGCAGACTGCATGGGCTTTGAGCCGGAAATGCGGCTTCTGTACGGAGTACGGAGGGAGAGGGTCCAAGCTTGAGGCAGCACGCAATGCACGAGAGCTACTAGTGGGAGCTTTTGAAAACTCTAGATTGCCGAATATAGGAATTGTTCAGGGTACTCCATACAGGGAGTGTCCCGAGGTAGAAATATGGAGATCCGTGGTGTTCCGCATAATATGGGTCTGATCCAGAAAAAAAAATTGAAACATCAGCCAATCCACAGACTATTAAAAATTGATACAAAGACTAGAAGCAATAATATGACTCAGGACCATATGACAGGTGGATAACCTAGCCTGTTTATCAGGCATTTTTTAGCGCCCAATTGACATAGGTCTTTCTTTCGGTGCAACCAAGGCAGAAGCATGGGAGGACAGAGTTCTCTGTATTCCTTAGAATCATGTCTGTATGATAACACATGTTTAAGAAAAAGAAGCAAAAATGGCCAATAAACCTCGGTGATATATAGCTTCACCGCATGTTGGAAGTGGATATCCGAATGAAAGAGCCCAAAAAGAACAGCCATTGGGCGTTAAGAGGTAATATTTTAGTATTTTATTCTTTAAGTATTTAGTACTATTTAGTATTAGTTAGGATTTTAGTACAATCGCTGGTCACTATGCCAACTGGTTTTCCCCACTCCAGAGCTGTGCCGTTTTTTTTTGTACTTGGGCTGAGATTTTTTTCTGCCTTTTCCCCCTCTCCATATTCACAATCATCTTGCTCTGTGAGCTTGTGCTTTCTGTACACGATAATCTAGCGTTAAATCTTTGCTGGTCAAATTGTGAAAACCCCCCCTAATACCCAATCATACTTTTTTTTACGACATTACGAACTTGAAACGAATAAATGGCCAGCGTGCAAGAGCCTATTCTCCCGGAAAGCCATGCGCTGCCCACAGATGGCCCAGTTGAGCCCATTTCAAAGTCTGCCGATGCAACGGAGGCCGAACTGAGCGAATCCACGGCCACTTTGGTTGAGCCCGACTCCACACAACAATCCAACGATGCAACCCAACCAGAGGTCCCAATGACCGCCGCCGAAAAGAAGAAGGCCAAGAAGGCTAGGAAGAAGCAGCAAAAGAGACAGGAGAGTATTAGCTCCCTGGCTGTGGAAGCTGAAAAGACTTCCGAAACTCCAAAGGATACTGCCACTACTGAGACTAAAACTGCAGAGCCTGCAGTTGAGGAATCAGCAGTCGAGGCTCCCAAGGAAGCGGAATCCGCTGCCGAGCCAGTAGTTGAGGAAAAAACTGCAATTGAACCAACGGAAGAATCTCAGTCTGCTGAGAAGGCGGTCGATACTACCGAAGCGCCAGTGCTTGAGGAAAAGCCTGTCGCTGAAGCTACCCCCGAGGTTGCTGAGAAGGTTGCCGAGGAGAAGCCTGCAGCTGAATCGACCACTGCTGAATCCGAACCTGCCGAAAAGGTCGACGAGCCCGCCACAGAAGAATCGAAGACTGCTGAGGTCGTTCCGGAAACCGTCGCAGAGCCTATCGAAGAATCCAAGGCCGTGGAAGAGGCCAAGCCCACCAAGGAAGAGCCCCAGACCGCCGAGGCCGTTCCTGAAGTCCCTGCGGAGCCGATCACCGAAGAGACACCTGCTGCGGAAGATATCAAGACCGTCGAGGAGGTAGCTAAGCCCATTGAGGAGAAGCCTGTCGAAGAAAAGGCTACCGAGGTTGTCCCCGAAACTGCCGCTGAGCCTGCCGTCGAGCAGCCTGCTGCTGAAGCCGTGGAAGAACCCAAGGCCGCGGAGGACATCGCTGAGCCCGCCAAGGAAGAGTCAGGACACGCCAAGTCCTTTGCGGAAGCTGTCGCTGAACCGGTCGAGGAGACCCCCGCCGAAGCTGCCGTGGAAGAATCCAAGACTGCCGAGGTTACCCCTGAGGCTGTTGTGGAAGAGAAGGCCACCGAGGCCGTTCCTGAACCCACCGAACCCGCCGTGCAGGAGACACCCGCTGCTGAACCAACCGTGGAAGAAAAGACCGTGGAAGCTGTTCCTGAGATCGCCCAGGTGGCGCCCGCCGTTGAAGAATCCAAGGCTACGGAGGAGGTTGCCGAGCCCACCCCCGCTGAAGCTGCTAAGGAAGAAAAAGCCACCGAGGCTGTCGCAGAGCCTATCGAAGAGACCCCGGCCGTGACAAAGTCCAAGACCGAAGAGGCTGTTCCCGAAATCGCCAAGGAAACGCCCACCGAAGAACCCAAGCCTGAGGTTGCAGAGCCAATCGCCGAGGAGAAGCCGATCACCGAAGAAAGTCCTGTTGAGGCCGCTCCTGAAGCTCTCGCAGAGTCTATCGAAGACACTCCCGCCGTGGAAGAATCTAAGACCGAGGAAGTTGCTGAGCCCGCCACCAAGGAAAAGGCTGTCGAGGCTGTATCAGAAACCCCTGCCACCGAAGCTGTTCAGGAATCGAAGCCTGTCGAGGCTGTCTCGAAAACTGTCCCAGAGCCTGCTGTTGAGGAGACTTCTGCTGTGGAAGAATCAAAGGCCGAGGATGCTAAGCCTGCCACCGAAGAGAAGGTCGACGAAACCGTTTCTGAAACTCCCGCTGTCGAAGAAGTTAAGGCCGCTGAAGTTGCTGAACCTACTACTGAGGAAAAAGCCGTGGAGGTCACTCCTGAACCCGTCGCAGAGCCTATCGTCGAAGAAGCCCCCGCCGCTGCAGCTGCTGTGGGAGAATCAAACCCTATTGAGGCTGCCTCTGAAACCGCCCAGGAAACTCCCGCAATTGAGGAATCCAAGGCCGAAGAGGTTGCTAAGCCCGCTGCTGAAGAAAAGGTCGAACCTGTTTCTGAGACGCCCGCAGTTGAGGAGGCTGCCGCACCTATCACCGAGGAAAAGCCTATTGAGCCCGCCACTGAAGAGTCTGAGCCTGCCAAGTCCTTTGCTGAAGCGGTCGCTGAGCCAGTTGTCGAGGAGACTCCCGCCGCTGAAGCTCTGGTGGAAGAATCTAAGCCTGTTGATGCTGCTCCTGAAACTGCCCAGGAGACTCCCGTAGTCGAGGAATCCAAGGCTGAGGAGGTCGCTAAGCCCGCTGCTGAAGAAAACGTCGAGCCTGTCTCTGAGACTCCTGCCGTCGAGGAATCCAAGGTTGAAGAGGCTGCTAAGCCTGCTGTTGAAGAAAAGGTCGAGGCTGTTTCTGAGACACCCGCAGTTGAGGAGGCTGCCGCGCCTATCACCGAGCAAAAGCCTATTGAGCCCGCCACTGAAGAGCCTGAGCCTGCCAAGTCCTTTGCTGAAGCGGTCGCTGAGCCAGTTGTCGAGGAGACGCCCGCCGTTGAAGAATTCAAGACTGTCGAGGCTGTTCCTGAACCTGTCAAGGATACCCCCGCCACCGAAACAGCTGTGGAAGAGTCCAAGCCTGTTGAGGAGCCAGTGACCGAGCCGGCTGTCCAGGAACCCGCTGTTGAGGCAGAGGCTGCTCCAGAGATCACTCCAGAGGCAACTGCTGTGGAACCAACTGTTGAGGTTCCCGAGCCTAAGGAGGAGGTCATTCCTGAGCCCACCAAAGTGGTGGCTGAGGAGGCTCCTGTTGCGCAGCCCGCCACTCAAGAACCGACTGCTGAACCTGCCAAGGAGACCAAGGCTGTCGAGCCCGTTCCGGAGAAGACCGTTGATGCTGCCGAGGAGGCTGTCGTCGAGGAGACTACCAAGGCCGCTGCTACGGAGACTACCACCGCCGAGCCCGCCGCCGAAGCAGTTGAAGAGCCTGCTGCCGCGGTCGCCGAGGATGCTACCACTGAGCAGGCCGAGGAGGCTACCAAGGTCGAGTCTGTCGAAGAGCCCACCGAGAAGGTAAAGGCAGACGAACCAGTTGTAGAGGAGCCTGTGGCTGAAACTACCAAGGACTTGACCCCCGAAGAGTCCCCCGCTGTTCCCGAAGCCGCTGAAGCTGCTGCTGTTGAGACTGCCTCTATTCCCGAGGAGGCTGCTGCCGCCGCTGCCATCCCCGAAGAAACTCCCACCGTTCCTGAGACCACTAAAGCTGCCGCCAGCGAGACTGCCGCCATTCCCGAGGCTGCTGCTGCTGCTGCCATTACTGAGAAGTCTCCTTCTGTCCCAGAGGCTGCCGCCGCCATCGTCGAGGAAAACGCTACCTCTACTGAGTCTGTGCAAGAATCAGTGCAGGAGGCTATTCCTGCTGAGACTGCCAAGGAAGTCGCTGTTGAGGAGCCAGAAGCTATTAAGGCCGAGGAGGTCACTGAGAAGACTCCCGAAGAGCCTGTCGCTGAGAAGGCCGTCGAGGAGTCCGTTACCGAGACCGCCACCCCAGAGCCGGCAGTCAAGGATACTCCCGCTGCCGAGGAGACTCTTGTTGAAGAGTCTGCTAAGGAAGTTGCCGTCGAGGAGCCCATCAAGCCTTCCACCGAGGCTCCTGCTGTTGAGGTCGAGGAGAAGCAGCCCGAAAATGAGGCTGTTGCTGAGCCAGTTGTCCCTGAACAAACTGAGACTGCTGCCCCTGTTGAAGAACCTGTTTCCCAGGATGCTAAGCCTGTTGCCACTGAAGAGAAGGTTGTGGATGAGCCAGTCGCCGTGGCAGAGACTGTTGAAGCTGCTGCTACCCCTGAGCCTGTGGCTGAAACTGAGGCTAAGGCTGAGCCCATTATTGCCGAGCCCGCTGTTGCTGAAGCTTCTGCTGTCGAGGAAAAGGCTATCGATGAGCCTGCTGCTGCTATTGAGACTGCTGCCGAGCCCACTGCTGAGCCTGTTTCTGAACAGACTTCTGAGGTGGCCCCCGTTGTCGAAGAGCCTGCTACTAAGGCAGTAGCTACCGAGAAGGCTGAGGATGTTACTGAGCCCGCAGTCGTCGAGCCCACCGCCCAAGCTACTGAGGTTGCTGAGGCCCCAGCTGTGGAGGAGAAGATTGCCTCCGAGCCTGTGAAGGTCGAGGAGCCCGTTGAAGCTGCTTCTCCCGAGGAGAAGGTCCCCGAGGCAGCTCCAGTGGAGGAATCTACTACCAAAGAGCTCGAGCCCGAAACAACCGTTGCGAAGGAAGTTGCAACTGAGCAGCCTGCCGTCGTTGCTGAAGAGGCTGCCACTCAGGAGCCAGTGACCACTGAACCCGAAGTGCCCGCTGTTGATGAGCCTGTCGTCGAAAAGCCCGCACAGGAGGATGTCAAGGTCGAGTCCGCCGAAGCCGAAGTTGTGGCTGAGACATCCGACGTGAAGGAGCAGATCCAGCCCTCTACCGCTGACATTGAAGCCTCGGCACCATCCGAGCCCGAAGCTAAGCCGGAAGAGGCCGCTGCTCCTGTTTCTGAGGAAGCTTCCAAGGATACTGGCATCAGCACTGAAATAATCGGTGCTGGCGCTGCCGCTGCCGCCCTTGCTGGTGCTGGCGTGGCCGCTCTTGCTCACAAGGCGTCTGAGAGTGCTCTAGAGACCTCGAAAGATCAGAAGGATCTACAAGCGACCGATGCAGACAAGGGACCCGTTACTAAGGCTGAGACCCAGCCCCAGATTTCGGCCCCAGATGCACAACACACCGACGGTAAGCCAACACCGTTCTATCATTCATCCCAACCGTCTGCCATATCGTTCGAAACTGATCCCATCCTTGCAGCTCTCGCTGGCGACCGCGACGCCCTCCTCAGCAAGCTCAACCAGCCTTCCGCAGAGCAATTGTCCACGCCCACCCAGAAGCCGTCTGCCGCAACAGTCGAGAATGTTACCGAGTCCGAGCCTGCCACCGAGGCCAACAAGGGAACCGCCGAACCCGCTGCCAAGCTTGCTGACGATGATACTCTTGCTCCCAAGAACAACGATGAAGATGCTCGTCCAGCGAGCAGCCAGAACCGGTCAGTGACTGCTGTTTCTCTCAATGGTGCACCTGACAGCTGGCTCAAAGCGATCCTGCGCACTGTCTTTGTGAACTTCTTTGGGGCTATCTTTTCACCTTTCCGCCGTGGAAAATCCTCAAATTAGACAGAATCTTGTGTTTTCTTGTGCTTTCCCCTAGCCAGTTTTGTTTCTTTGGAGCTACTATTGAATAAATCGTCGTCATGACGCAGAATATGCCCATTGAAGCTAATAACTGACTGATCGATCAGCAATTTGTTCTGGATCGCTATTTTTGCCATGCCCGTCATCGCCATCTTTTGGCGTTCGTGCTTCACGGAAAAATGAACGTCGATAGCTCCGGGGACGCCGATCACGTGCAATCACGTGGACTACCGAGCCCCAACTCGAGTCATTTTAATTATACCCGTGGCATTACGAAAGTGCGTGGCATACGGACTATAAACCTCGGAGGTCCAATTTTCAACCACCATTTCATATTCCCCTGTATTATCTGTTCCCGTGTCTTTTCTATTTACGAATTCCATTTGCGCTTTGCTTTTTTTTTATCTATTATGGTCAATGATTTCCTTTTGTCGTCTCCAATGCTATGTTGGTGTTGCCATGGCCGGCTGCTCTTTGATGAATCTGCCCGACTTGCTATGTATCCAGTATACTTCATGACATGAACTTAATGAATAACTTATACTTCCAGTTCTCTTTGTGTTTGTTTGCTTGTAATCTTTTGGTTTCTTTGCCTATCTTTTAGATCCTAGCCCCTGGTTTCTCGTTCTTTGACTGATGCAGTTTGCTTGCTATGCCGTCTTGGTGTCCATGTAAGGCTTACAGTTTGAGATAGTATATAACTCCATTCGCCCAGTTTCTCGAAATAGATTCTCATTAATTTTCATTCTTTTCCTGTTGATGGAAAGCTTGTGTTGCCAAAAATCATCATATGTGGACAGTCAGTCGAATAATTCTATCATGAATACAATGAGATGCCCAAAGCAAGATGGGTCGTTCCTTCGATATTGGGAGAATGGGCCCCCATATTAAACACCCATGCAACTGCCCGTGCCTTCCATTTCGGGGCTGTATTGATGGGGATCTCTGGGGCACGTGGTTGGTGTCGACCCCGGTGTCGACCCCGGGGCTCTTCGACTTCTTATTTCCACTGGCGTCCTGTTTCTTCTTCTTTTCTCTCACCATCATCATTGATTCACGCTGTATCCTTGAAAAGGATTAGAAGAGATGGCAAAGAAAAGCCAAGGTAAGTAGCAGTCTCTTTTCGTGAAACATTCATCACTTGTCACCTCATGGAGGGGGTCTCTTTCGGTATACTCTGGTCTCGTTTCGACCGAGTTCATCCACCGGACTGAGTCTTTTCTTTGAAATCGTCTCACTTCTAGTAAGGTGGAGCCATTCTGTCTCCAGTGTGGTCTCTCTTCCTTGTGGGATGGAGCCATTCTGTCTGCAGGATCGTGTCTCTTCCTTGTGGGATGGAGCCATTTTGTCTGCGGGATCGTGTCTCTTCCTTGTAGGATGGAGCCATCCTACCTGCGGGGTCGCGGGTCTTTCTGAGATTGAGATTGAACTTGCTCTTGGAGATCTAGCTCCTTGCTATGGAATTGGGCATGATTCTTCTGAATCAGATCTCCTTCTCTGGCATTGGAATTGGTTCTTCTTAAGACCGGTCTTCTTCTCCAGAATTGGTTGCTTGGAATCAGGTGTGCTTGACTCTGTGCAAGCAGATCCATTTCTATGGCCGCCCTTTCTGTTGAGACAGGTCCTGTGGGCAAAGAAACCATGCTTTTTCCCACATGGAATGTCTAGAATGAATGAATGAAGAGAGAGATACTCAAAAGCATGAGAGAGATCTATCGCTTTGCCCTCACATGGTCGACTAGCGGCTTTCACTTTCAATTCACCTCAAAGCAAGAAGGAGTAAGGCCACTGACGTTTGGTGTGTTTATAGATACCGATTCGGAAGGTCCCCGCGGCCGTACTGGTCGCCCTGACACCCCATCATCTTCTGCGAATTCGTCTTCGCGTCGCAGCACTCTCTCCCGCGTACACTTCGCAGACGACATGTGCAACCCACTGGCGTCTCCTCGTTCTGACGCGACTGTGACTGCAGTCCCGGTGCCGGTGCCTTCCAAGTCGACCAACCCTACGGTTGGTTTGCCTGCCAGTGTGACGGGCAGTTCGGAGTTGCCTCCTCCTTCCGTTGACAAGCGTAACGCGTTCGCTCAACTCAGAGGAAAAGTTGCCGCCTCCCAATCTTCCTCTCGTCCTTCCCATCCTTCTCTCTCTTCCCCTCGCGCTTCCTCCATCCCTCCTGTGCCACCTCTTCCTGTCTCAATCCTAAAGAACCGTCCCGGCAACATTTCCCTTGCCGATTTAAAACCTCGCTCTTCCTCTGCTCCGCCATCTCCACCCAAGATGGTTGACAATTCTGATGCTCCGGAGGGCAACAACAAGCCACTCCCCGTGTCTCCCCCCGCAGATATGATCCTCACACACCCAGCCCTCGCACACCCAGCTTCGACAAGGAGGGCGTGCGCAATCCCATCCTGCGTACGCCTTTCAGTCCTACTCTCATCAGTCCTCCAAGTCATCGTCCTGGCTTGTCTACTATGAAGGATTTGCCTGAAGCTGTTCGAACTCTTCAGTACCAGTATGAAGCAATCCAAAAGCGACTGACAACGCAGATGGACGATATCCACAAGCTCGAAAAGAAAATCGAGGATTTTTTTGCCTTGACTGAGAACTACATCAAGGATCAAATGGATGCGCAGCTTAAGCGTAGTTCCAATTTGTCTTCTCATCTTTCTCAGCTGAAGCAAGGCACGAAGAAGACCAAGGATGAGGTTGACGAGATCAAGGACACTATCCACGAGATGCGACTTGAGATCAACGGACTGACCTCAACTGTCAATGACCTGGGCGCTAAGATTGATATGTGTCTCACCGGAATTTGGGAGAACACCGAAGAGCCATTCGTGGCCTACCAGCGTCGAAAGAATCAGGAGATCGACGAAGATATGCAGGACATCGGAGACCTGGCTGTGAATAATGGAGCGCAACTAATGTTCTTGAGACAATCGATGATCCGCATGCAACTTGCCTTCAGACTCTTGCAGCATGAGAACAATCTCGTCGTCTCCCAAAACGTACAGCTTGCGCTTCCACAATTCCCTTTGGTGCAAGGTAACAACGTGCCAACCGCTGGTACCCATCAGCCTCCTGCCACCTCTGCAACTGGAGCAGCTCCACCAGCATCGACTACTGTGCCCGCAAGTGCTCCTCCAGCAAATTCTACTCTCTCGGCATCGACTGCTGTTCCAGCAAAGGCTACTTCAGCAAAGTCTACTTCCTCAGGATTAACTACTGTTCCAGCAAAGGTTAATCCAGCAAAGTCTACTTCCTCGACCACGAGTACTGTTCGAGCAAAGACCACTCCCTCGACATCTGCCAACGCGCCAGCAAAGACCACTCCCTCGGCATCTGTCCCAGCCAAGGCTACTTCCCCAGCATCAGCCACCGGGTCCGCAACTATCACCTCTCCAGGATCATCGACTGCAAAGCCAAGCTCGATCCCTCGCCGACCCAAGAAATCTTTGAGTTCTCAGATGCGCGACAAGGAGAATATCGGCAATACCATTGGCTATACGGAGAACAATATGACTGCAGAAGAGTTCAAGGCAAAGAAAGATGCCATCGACGAGCAGGATACATCTGATAAGAAGGGAAAGAGCTTGTTCGGATTCCGTCACCGTAGTGACAGCGTCACATCCAATACCAGCAAACTCCGAGCTTCACGTCAGGAAGAGTCGGTCCCCCTGTCCCAGAGCTTCCTCACGGAATCGTTATCCCCGGGGTGCCTGGAGTAGCCATCCCACTGGCTAATATTCACCCGCTCTATCGCTCTGGTTTCCGTGAGGTCAATGCTCCGGGAATGCCTGCCGCCCCTGCGGTCCAGACTTCGCGCGCCGCGAAGCCCAAGGGACCTGTGTCCCCCGAGACTGGCAAGGATAAGACTCGCAAGTAAGCGAGTCAGTCCAGTACTCAAAAACGATGCTTTCACAATGAAAATCTAAAAAACACAAAAAAAATTTGAAAACAGAAAATCCTCACAAAAAAAAAGTACCATTGAAAATCAAAAAATCAAAAAAAAAAAAAAAAAAAGAAATGAGCTCCCATCTCTGTCAGATTTGGGGGACTTGGACAGGTGTGTTAGATTTTGTGTGGATTAGCATGTCAATGAATTTGTTTGATTACAATTCTCCAAGAAAAGTAGACATTGTAGCTGTATATGCATATCAAATTAATCAAAGCAGTATTTACTTAGAAGAGACCATCATCTTTTCAATCTCCACCGCCGCCTCTCGCACCTGTGGACAGTAATGCAGACGCAACAACTCACCCTCCCACACCGTACCAGCAAAGACATTTGTAGCTTCAATATCAGTAGCATAAGGATGGAACACGCCGTCACCCTTGCGCTCCTCTGTGTGCCACAACGAAGAGATACGACGACCATGATATTTAGAGACCTGGTTCATGAGCGCAAGTGTCGCAAGAGCAGACTTCTCTGGCAACTGGAGGGAAGTTGTCATGAGACGCTTGGAGAAACTGGCAAGTCGGCTCGGGGGCGGAGTTCCATGTGCGCGGGAAAGCAGAGTCGGCTGCAAGCAGCGGAGAAGGAGGACCATCGGGGTCTGGAAGTTGACCTTGTTCTTGGAGCGGGTCTCGGAGAGCTGGGCACCTTCTGCGGAGGAATTGGGGTCGGGAAGGCGGAGGGCTGTATCGGGGTTGAACTCGACGTCCGGGTTCATGGAAAGAGAATAGAGGGATCGGTAAAGGTGCTTGATGAAGAAGTTCAAATCGAGGTGGAGACCTGCGGCTGCTTTGCTGGCTTCTTGGCCTTCCAGCAGGGCGAAGGCAGTCACGGTGCAGAGAAGCGTCCTTCGGCGAGCGTCCCGGGCTGCGCTTTCGGCAATTGTGACATGGTCTTCTTCTTCGTCGTCTTCCTCGTTGACGACCTCCTCGTCACCTTCCACGCCCATTTCTTCGCGCTCGGCGTGATTAATGAGGTCTTTCAAAGCCTCGAGCAAATCACCGAAGAAGTCCTGGTTGATGAGATGGGCATATTTCGCCAAACCCTCGAGCACAGGACCCATCAGTGCGGGAATGCGAAGCTTGAGAATACGGAAATAGAGTCCGAACACAAGCTTTAGTGTTTCAGCCTGGTTCTTGTCTCTTTGTTCGTGCGATACCACTGCCTCTGCTTGTGACATATCTTTCTCGACTTCCTTCCGCTCCTTTTGAATCTTGCGCTCTCGCTTCGTGCGGAATTCGCGCTTTTGCTTTGGCTTCTTTCCGTGGGGTTTTTCTTCTTCTTCCCGGTCCACTCGGTCTCTAGACGCCTTCAAGTGAAACTCGCCGAGCAAACGAAGATGAAGGAATGTGTCCAAGACACTAGGGTGAATATGGAAGTCTCTGGCCTTCAACATCTTTGCTAGCAGACGAACAGCTTCGAGGGAAACGGTTCCATCGTCATCTTTAGCGAAGATCTCCTCCATTGTCTCGCGGCACTTGACATAGTCGGCATCAAGCTGTCTCCGTGCAAGGCGGTTCACCAAGATCTTCAGAAGCTCGCTGCGGAAGTTGAAGTGTGGCACGGCCAAGAGCATAGTGCAAGCCATCGAAATCGCGAAACTCCTCAGTCCAGCATCTGTAGGGGCCTCTCCTTTGGGTGGCTTTACAAGCGTAGCAAGCTTCTGGACATAGGCGCGATATCCTGAGACGAGGGACTGTTCGAAATCTCGGATCTTGCGCACCTCCTTTGATACCCTGCCGGACTGGTCTTCTTCGCTCAATGGGCGAATACGATACCCAGGGATTACATCCTTGTAGACAGCTGCCTGTGAGGCCAGAGCCAATTTCTTAACTGTGACAGGTGTGTTCTTCTTCGACACCATCTCGGCCATTGTCTTGAACAGAGAAATGTGCTCCTCGGGATCCTCGTTGATCAGGGTTGCCATCTTCGCCAAATCTTCTTTTGCCTGTAAGATTTGTTGCTTCACCGGAATCTTGGGTGCTTCTTCTTCGGATTCTTCTCCATCCTCCTCATCCCCAGAGCCATCCTCCTCGTCATCGTCGGTACCGAGAAAGCTGTCAGTTTCCTCGCCCTGGTCTTGCGGCTGGGCTTCGGCCTGGACAAGGCCTTCGGGGGTTTTGATTGGCAATCGTGCGTTCTCGCTGGCTTTTTTCGTGTTTTTGCGTGGGCGGCATTCGTAGTCTTGCTCAACATCCCATTCTTGGCCGGATTTAGAGCGCGATGAGGAGTCTTCACCATCTGCTGGAGGACTCAATCGCCTCCGCTTCACCTCTGGACCACGCGCCATTTTGCAATTGGAGATTAGGCGGGTTGACGTTGAAATTTGCGGAGAACAGTAAAAAAGATCTTTAGAGTGAAAAGGCGGTCCCGAAAATTCTAGGCGGAAAGCCAATAACCACTCTGATTGGCTCTTCATGCTCATTCCGTCGCTATAAATTTCAGGTCCGCTTCTGGGCGGTGAAATATTGCCCGTCTTTGGTTTTTTTTCTTGTGCCTCACTTCCCGACAATACAAGCTTGCTGATAACTCAACTTTTTTTGTCATTTCTTGAGTTTCATAACCGACAATATGAGATCCCTCACAGAAGTATGTACCACTACAATGTCCATTGACTGCTTTGACTAACTCATGCCTCTTTTAGGAAGAGACACGGACGATCTTCACGAAGCTAGCTGCCTATACCGGCCGCAGTCTCAATGCTCTCATTACCCCGGCCGAAGATGGAACCCAGAGTGTTTTCCGTTTGCAAGGATCTCGAGTTTACTACATGAGAAAGGACCTCGCCAACCTGAGCGTTTCATTTCCTCGCGACGGTAAGCTTTTGTTCGGCTTCGTCGTTATATACAATGTTAACAAGTTTCAGCCCTTCTGAGCTGTGGCACACTCATAGGCAAAATGACAAAGGTAACTGAGCCCGCTGTTGCTTTTTTTATTCTGATCAGTGATGCTAATATGCTAGCAGACTGGCAAGTTCCGCATCAACTTGACAGCCCTGGATCTCCTCGCGCAACATGCCCGGTACAAGGTCTGGATCAAAGCAAACGGAGTGATGGTACGCTTATTACGACTTCCGATGCGATCTAATGCCCTTGCTAACAAGCTTTAGCCTCTGCTCTATGGCGGTTCAGTTTTAAAGGCCCATGTGGCTAGATTCAGGTTGGTTTTCCTTTCAATTACTGTCCGTTTACTATACTAACACCCACAAAGTGAAGACTGCCCTGAAAACGCGGGTGTTATCATTTTGGATTCGAATGACGTGCCGCTGGGATTCGGAGTTACAGCAAGATCATCCGCGCAGATCGCAAAGTTGGATCCTACCAGTATCGCCGTCCATCGTCAGGTAAGTGGAGCTTGACTCCGACTTCTTAATTGCATTGGCTAACATAAACAAACAGGCCGATTCAGGAGAGTACCTTAGAGAGGTAAGTTGTATCCATCTACAAATTCTCTAGAGCCAAATTGCTAACATCTATATTAGGAGGATACCTTGTTCACAACTTAAGCAAATTCGACATGACACCGAATCTTACATTTTTGCACCTTGCAAAAGGCGTTTGGGAGTTTCACCTGATCTATTTGATCTTACAAAAGCTGGCTGTACTTTTTACCATCGAATCCTGTGCTCATCCAATGTGATGAATTGATGGCAAAAGTTGACCAACAACTTTTCTGTAATGATTACTATATGAAAATACATACTCTGAATATACATTCAAGCTCATGTCCAATGTAATGAAAACCAATCGTGTAGGCCAGCCTTGAATGTTGTAGTTGATATAGGACTTTTTCGGAATATATGATTAGTCAGCATAATGCCATCAGATCATCCAACCTTGGAAAAGCGCGGAATGATAACTCACTACAGACCTCATAGCCCTGGTGTTTTCTGTATCTTCCAAGCCAAGGACAGCTCCCCTCACACCAGCACTATAAATCAGCTACCCCCGATCCCCTAACGCGTTTCCACCACTTCTTCTGTCTCTCCCCGCGCGTAGTGGGCATATTGCCAACCCCCACCATGCCACCCTACACAGCCACCCAGAAACATCAAATCGCTGAGTTTGTCAGTTGTACCCGGACAAAAGAGTCCGTTGCCACTAAAGTAAGTGAATTGCATACTTTTCAGATAGTCCTTCTCCTGTGCAGTCCGTTTGAATATCTCAAGCTGTTTCCGTCCGATCACGTGGATCAGACTAACTTTCGACTATAGTTTCTTAAAGCATGTGGTTGGAGTTTACCTCCAGCGCTTGATGCGTAAGTGCTTGTCATCACACTTGTGCCCAATTTTGTCTCTTTGTCTTCTCTTCGATTTGTCTCCAACCTCTACCTGGGCACGTGGTGTTGAGCTCATGATGCAAGCAGATAGATAGAGCATCAAAGCTCCAACATCTGTTCTTCTCTTTGCAGGACTTATCTAAGTCTCACTTGGAGGGCACTGCGATCTCTCACTACACTGTCCATGGCCCAAAATGCCTCGCGTGAAGAAGACGAAGAAGAAGTGCCTGCCATTCCCTACCTGATTATCTCCCTTCAGGCGACATCATCCATAGGCCATCTCTGAAACACCCGGAAGCTGACAATTCGCTAAAACTAGATTCTTCGCAGCTGCATCTGGGCACCTCTGCAACTATAACCTCAGAACTTACAAAGATCTTTGAAAGCTATCGAGGTATTTATCCACTCTCGACTGATGATTTTGATACCAAAAGTACTCACATCTCCCCAGATGACCCAGTCGAGAGCCCAGATACCATCGGTATCTCACGAGCAATAGACTTCTTAGGCGATTTGAAGGTCGAGCTCGACGAAGTAACCTGTCTAGCCATCGCCGAGCTACTCCAATCACCATCAATGGGCGAGTTTACCCGTCAGGGATGGATGGATGGCTGGCTGAAAGCTCTGTAAGTGCAAGGTCAACGCGGAAAGAGAAACTCCCACAAACCAGATTCAGCCCATTCTCAATATCAAATCCATGCAATCTAACAACCCACAAGCTGCGACACCATGCCAAAAATGCAAGCGTATGCCAAATCCCTCCGGGAGAGAATCCCCCGAGAACCAGATACCTTCCGACGAGTCTACAGATACGCATTCCCACTCTCACGAATGCAAGGACAGCGTAACTTGCAATTCGAAATCGCCGCCGAGCAATGGCGTCTCTTCTTCACAACTGACCATGGCGGCGTGGCGTGGAACACAGAAACGACACCATGGCTGGATTGGTGGATTGAGTTCCTTGAAGAGCGCGGGAAGAAGCCAGTCAATAAGGACCTGTGGGAGCAGGTTGAGGTATTCATGCGCAAGAGTCTGGAGGATGAGGAGATGGGCTGGTGGAGTCCCGATGGGGCTTGGCCCGGTGCACTGGATGACTTTGTTGCTTGGGTGCAGGCTAAGAGGGGGAAGGGGTCGGAAATGGAGGTTGAATAAAGGATGTTTCTCTGGTTTATTCGTTGATCTTCCAAGGATATGAGGGATTTGTTTCTTCTCGTTTCCGGGTGGGTTAGGGGATGGCTAATGTGGCATGACCGGCTAACTATTGGCAATCTATGTCTACTGGTCACCTTATCATTTGTACTATCCACCTCCATTGTCCCCTAGCACTCTTCCTATGTCTCGGATCTCTTACAGTTACGATGGAATTCACAATGACCACATGTGCTCGTTCTATGTTAAGGGGATTTGTATTCCTTTCGGTCCTATCTATCCCAACTCACATATATATAGAAATGTAGATTGGCAGTAGAAGCAATAGCGCGACTAGCTCAAACGGAGAGAATATATATATAATACCGATCTTCAAAGGTTAGAATTGAAATAGAACAAAGATATAAAGCCATTCGTCATGAGATTGAGTGATAACATCAGGGGGAAGATATCTGCGGCAGTCAAGATGCACGCAGGGTGTGTACATGGATTTAGATCAACACCGGAGAATAATAAACAAAGGAAAAAGACAAATCAGGGACTGCAAACGAGCCAGAAGAAACGACACATATAGGTTTCTGACACATCTGGGTGTGTTTGCAGCCAATTGCGGACTCAGCCCATTCAAGGGTAGTCACGCTTCTCGTAGCCGGGGTCGCGACGCTGGTCGTAACGCTGCCAAGTCGTTAGAGATCAAGCTGCAAGTGTCTGGATTCCATTTAATCATACCTTGCGGAGAGCTTCCAGGCGCTTCTTCTTGGTGTGGGTGTTGACGTAGGTTCCAATGAAGAAGCCGACAATGTTGAAGAAGGGCACCCAGGTGTGCTCAGGGAGGAACTTCTGAGCGAAGGCCAAACACAGGGGCGAGGTGATCCAGCTGACCTTCATGACGGGCATGAAGCCAGCCTTAACGGTAGCGCGAACCTGGTGGATGGTGCGCGCACCGGCGATAACAGCCATAGAGGTCAGGTAGACGCTGTTCTGGATCGGCGAGATCTGTGGAACGGGGATATTAGCAGGTGTCACGCGTGGTCATGTGATCGGACGACACGTACGATCAGATTGCTAACGAGGATCTGGAGAATCTTGGCCTTGAGACTTGTGCGGCCGGCGAAGATCTTCTGCAAGATACCAATGAGGAAGTGGCCGAGGGGCGCACTGATGAACATTCCGTACAGCGACATCTTGGGGATGCGCGAGCTGAAGTAGTGGCCGTGCTTACCGACATCGTGGGCGATCCACGAGGCCAGCAGTTCCTGCAGGCCGGAGAGCACACCGGAGGTGAGCATCTTCGTGCGCAGCGGGTTCTTCTGGAGCTGAAGGAGGTAGGCCTGACGATCCATTCCCCGGATCAGTGTTGATTCGATATTATTGGAGGGGCACTGCATACCTGGAGATACCCAGAGGCTGTCTTTCCGCCGGTCAATCGCTCACCGACACGATGCACGAGGTCTTCGGACTTGCCGCCGCCCGTGACGGTGCGGACGGTCTCCTCTTGGAACTTGACGGACATTGTGATGATCGGAGGGGTTTAGGGAGAGGACAAGGTTGAGAAAGGTTCGGGAAGGCTGAGATTAAACACGCTCCTAGAAAAAGTGAATAATTGAATGAGATTAATATGTAAATGGATGATAAGGTGCCAAGTGGAGAAATGGGAAGACGATGGGGGTGAGACCCTGGGGGCGCTTGTTTGTTTATGTTGGTCCGAGGGTGGCTGGGTTGGGTTATATGGGAGGACAGCCGAGGCAAGATATATAACTTACACAAAATGTCTCCCAACTCTGAAGTCTGGTCGAGTTTTTATAAATAAATTCTGTCGGAAGATTGTATTCAGGAAATGGAGACGGCTATACGAACAATCGGCAGATGGATCCCCGGCAAGATCCATTGGCGGAGCACATCGGAAACCTCCGACGGCTTTTGATTGAATCCGGGGACTTTGCTATCCCATGGTTACCCCTTATATTCTCTAGATGGTCCAAATCCAACATCCATTTTCAGATCCTAATGGTCAGTCTTGAAAGTTTGACTGGTTTCAAAGGTTTACGGTTTGTTGTTTGGGGCTTTCGTGGTCACGGGACAGCCCAATATATCCCAATGTAGACTTCCGGATTGTCGCTTTTTTTTGTATTATACTAGATTGGCTTGGTTACTCAACATTGAAAGACTAAATGAAGTACATCTATAGACTCATGGGACGTGCCAGTTTATCCTATTTGCAACGTATATCTGTGGATCCATTTGTTCACTGGCACGTTATATTTGCCCCGAATTGGTGCGTCAATTACTCCGTACATCTGGGCACATTCATCTTCAAAATAGAAATAGGTCAATACTGTATTAAGAAAATCCAGCATCTATTCTCCTAGCCGTGATTCTTCCCCTAGAAAGGTTCCAGAGGCATGGATGTGAAAGCGAACTGCCGCGTCCCTATATGGCTGTTACAGGACATAATTGTCACTATAATCTCTCAACAGCCAAGCAGACATGAAGTAGGTATTCATGCCACTCAAGCTTTGTATAGTTTGTGTCTCATGATAGTATCCGGCAGATGATACCCCAGCCAATGCATAGACATTTCGGCGAGCAGCAACCGGGTAATATGATAACGGTTCGAACATGTGCGAGAGTTAGTGATTTCGGTATCAGACATAAGCTGCCACGGACAAAAGGACTCTCTTTGCCAGTGGTGCGCTTGATGCGCTGTGCGTTGTAAATGTCTTCAACAGGACCGCGTAGTAGTAGGTTCAACCTGACAAGATATCGTCCCGTCGTCCCGGCGAACGACAATATCAAGGTGCTTGATTGATTTGCCAACCGGCGAATCCGCCGAGTCAGCGACGATGTAATCGAGTCCAAAGGCTGGTTGGAGCTACGCAATCCACACCCCTCGCGGTTTCATCCTTTTCCATTCACCCATTCCATCCTCTCATCCCTTCTCATACTGTTGTTCCATCTCTTTGAGGCACATCAGCATCTTTTCAGCCAATTGCCTAGGTAGCAATCATCTTTCCAGAGTGCAAGCCCTCGAGCGGTGCACCGGTGAGAGACATCTTCTCACAGCCAAACACAGCAACGTATTTCCCCAGTGCCAGTCGCCGGTCGAAGTACAAACCTCTTGCCCCGTGTAGACTTTCTTGCAGCACGCCGGTGAGACCTTACCTTTCAGTCTTTCTTTTTCATTCGCAATCCTCCCATCTCTGTCGGGGACGAGACACCCCGGCGTGACATCAATCATGTCTTTGCGCCGCCTCTTCAAGAAAGCGCGGAAATCGTGCCAGCTTTCAGGACGAGTCACAGCCTCAAGAGACGGCAACAGTCACCACCGAGGAACCTGGTGGTAGTTCAGTCCTAGGGCTTTCATCCCGGCCGAGATTGATACATCTGTTCCGGTTCCCAGAAGCCCTCGTCGTAGAAGATATCTCAATATCATTCGACAATACTTCCCATTACCCCGACGCAGAGATCCTGAACTTGCCGGTCACCATGCTGGCCTTGACGAAGTTAGACCACAGATGCATGGATTCGCCAGTCGCCGAGTCAACGTTGATGCTGTCATGCCACATTTCGAAACCGCCGGTCGCGATGGTGGCCTTGGGTTCAGACAGCAAATGCGTGAATTCATGGGTCGTCTGGTTGGAGGATACTCTCAACATCAGGAGACAAGACAACTCGACAATGATATCGCCAATCGTCAGGACATGAACAATCAAGCACATGTCGAAGATCATGATTATCAGAATGCACATGGGGTCGCCATTCGCCAAGCTTTTCCATCAAGCAATAACGAGATCGAAGGCTACAGGCTTCTACGCCTAACTCCACAAATGCGGATGCTAGCCCGTACGGCCAGCCCCGTTCCCTCACTCAGTAGTAACATCCCATACTACAACACCACAGACGATGAAAACAATGAGCTTCGAGGCATCGACAATTCCGACGATAATCCATCGAGAGACCAAGATTCTCAAGTACGACGCGGAAGATCCCTTCGACGAGATGGAAGCCCTGCCAGTGATGCATTTCCTGCGCCTCAGGGTAGCAACCACCCATCGAGGGATCATTCTCAAGCAAACCGTGGTAGACAGCTTCTCCGAGCTTCAAGCTTTGTCATCGATCCGTGGGTAAGTCTTTGGGGTCCCATCGGCCAACCGAACGAATCGATTACTCGGAGACCATGTGGCAGCACCACACCTGGACAAGCTTCCAGCGTCGCCAGTGAGTCAGCGAGTGACCCAGTTTCGCAAGAACCACGCGGGAGAACCCTCCGGCGAGCTTCAAGCATCGTCAATGACCCAGTGGGTGACCCAGTCGCTCGGGAACCAGACAGCAGAGCACTTCGACGAGCACCAAGCGCCGTCAACGACCCGGTGAGGGGCCCACATCTTCAGGAATCCCACGGCAGGACACTTGCACGAGGTTCAAGCCTTGTGACTGAGCCATGTACCGAGCTATGGGATAGCCTCCACCGAATGGGCGACCCGAATGCCCACCTGCCACGCGGCGCAAGCCCTGTCAGCAATGTGGCTCGCCTGGGGCCGAGGCCAAGAGCCCTTGCTAATCTGCTGCCCCGTAGCAATGACGAGGCAAACCAGCGCCCCCGGCGTCCAGCTCTGCGGCCGCGAATCTGGGCCTCCACCCGAATCGCCAGTTCCACCTCCGCTGTCCAGGAACCTTCGAGCGGTTCTTCGCTGTCTGAGATATTCGCCAGCAGCGAAGAGGTGGAACAGGCAGATACCCGGGTGGAGCGGTGGATCGAGGAAGTCCGTCAGGCCTCCTGGCCCAGGTAGGCCTGCTGGAGGTGATTAGATCTTGGCGGAGCGCCTCTCGGGTGAAGCTCACCAGGAGCTTCACATTTACTTCACATCAGAGAGAGGTGGGTATGCTGGCGGGGATACTGCACGGCCTGCAGGCCGTCGGGCCGGTTGCCATGCCGGCTTCGACGGTGCGAATGACGAGCCGGATGCTCGCACCGGCGTTACGCTGGAGGAAAAAGAGGAGGATGTCAGGGGCGGGGGCGGGGGCGGGAGCCGCCCGCAATTTATATATATTTCACTTGTCCAATTGTGAATTGCTACATTCTCAAGGGGGCAGTGAAGCTGGGGTGAGGAAGAGGTGGAGGTGAGATGAGGCCGCAGTCAGGCGGAGATGAGGCGGCATGTGAGAGGAGGATGAAGGTGGAACTCAGATTCCACATGTGAGAGTATTGGGGAAACTCCCCTAAATCGAAGACTTTTCAAGCACGAGTCCAAGTAAAAGTAATTCAGAAATATGTAAATTCTTTTGTACGAAGTGAATGATATTAAATTATGTATTCTATGCTTCTATGTCCGCGGATATATAACTAAGCATGTAAATTGGATTAAGATATCAAAAAGAACGTAACATATTCTGGACGGGTGATCATGGTTCTAAGGTACTCATATACTTTGTAAGTTTGTAATATACTATAAATTAGCGAGATAACTCCTAGGAAAGAGATATATCAAGGTTGTTGTGTGTTGATATCCAATATGTTTGTTCAAAGAAGGTTGTATAAATTTAGTCATGGAGCGGTTATCGGGCGATGACTAAAATGCGGGATAGCCCTCGGAGATTAGATTGAACTCCCTCCAGTTCCGAGCCTCGGTTCCGTGATTCACCCAAAACTTCATTTTATTTCTCTCTTTCTTATGTTCATCATACACAATGGCGGACGCTGAATATTCTCCAGAGTCGTCTGACGTGGGCAAAACACCCGCCCGGAGCTTATGCGCGAAGCGACAACTGTTAGCCGCATTGACAACAACCGATGTGACAATCCGCCGATTGAATCTGTAAGGCCTCTTCTGGGACTCGACGTGCAAAGCAGCCCAGGAATTTTGCTCACTGCTCCTCTAGACTACTCTCTGAGGCGAACGGACAAGAGCGAGTACTAGCGACTGTCAACTATGTCGCCTCGATGCTCCACTACCTCACTGCTTCAGCACCCTGGATAGCATTACAAACAAGGCTGGGTATCCTTGCACGATTGAAGGGCCATGCAGCCACCAAGAACGTCACTCCTTCGCCATCGAAATCGAAACTCATGGCTCTTTCCTCCCTCGCATCGGAGACGAGATACAACTTGCGCCTGTTCGGCCTGCTTCCTCTGTGGATATGGGGAGTTGAAACCCTCAAATCGCCGCCAGCCGACCCCATCATTCACGCCCTGACTGTCCTGCAAGTCATTTCGAACGTGATCTACCAGCTTCTCGAGAACGTGGGCTACCTTGCTTCCAAAGGGGTCGTCTCGAAGCGCTTCGTGGACAAATACGGAGGTCTTGCTAAATGGGATCTATGGAGTACTCGTGGGTGGTTTGGACATATCTTCTTCCAATTCTTCGTGCTCTGGCGCCAGAGTGTGCTGCGCAGACAGCGATTAGCCGCACAGCGAGCGGCTGCCGGCACGGGCGAGACCAAAGAGACCAAGGCCGAGGACAGCGAGGCTCTACGTTTGGAGATCCGGGCTTGGCGAAAGAGTTTGGTGAACAACACTTTCTGGGCACCCTTGTGTCTGCACTGGTCTGTTGAGAAAGGCATCGGTATTCCCGCTAGCCTGACTGGGCTTATCAGCTTCTGCGCAGGAGCTTGGAGTCTCCATGACTGTTGGGCTGGCACCGCATCTGTCAAAGCATAATTTTTGGATTGCTTGCGGTCCTCGGCCTTTTCCCTTCGTTTTTTTATTTGTACAAATCTACTCTTACTTGCACATATACCTGATGTTGAGAGCGCACGTGGTTTGTTGTTGGCTTTGCATTTTCTAGGTTTTCACCAGTGTTTTGGAATATAAAGCTGCCTTGATATATATACTCAGATGGCTATAGCAGTGCTCTCATTTTCTCTTTTCGATTTAAGCCTTCATTGACTCTATGAGTAAAGACATCATTGTCTTTGAGTGTATGGGGTTTGTCCGGCCTTTGAACGTTCGCACAGGCCAAACAGGTATCTACCCAAGGTCTTCAGAGATTCGACGTTTTCCGGCATTGCTATTATGGTGGCAAGTATGGACTCGTTGATTGGTGAGCTCCTTGCCTTGATACAGCGACCTAGAGTGAAAATCCGATGAATTTCGAGTGAAGTGCGCCATATCCTTCCGTTTGCCATTCAGAGTTGGTGTACTCCAAAACTGTGGTTGAATTATATTCCAACCTCAGCTGACTCTGTTATTGTAAGGACCTTGGTAACCATATCTACTGTAGCAACTATCAGTCCTTGCCCCAGGCACCAAGGCTCTCAATCGACTGAGTTCCATGCGCTTCGTTGTGGCGGACAGTACGATGACATAAGCGGCGGGCTTAAGTCATCATCAGTTGAGCAGAGGTACCTGGGAAGCTCAACATCATCATTCCTGTCACCTACCTCTATCTCCACTTTGCCGCAATCGGATTCGTTTTTTGATTCTGATCTTTCGGTTCTTTTTTCATCATCTGTACTCATTTATCGTTCCCTTTTAAATCCGCGTCTCGCTTCGCCTGTTTACGGGCACTGGACACCTTTGTTCATCAAGCTTGCTTCCATCAACCTCACGACCTCATTTACAGCCATCATGTCTTCTGAGCCGGATCACACGCATGACAAGAAGAGGGTCCACCTGAAGTACGTCTTATTCGAACTATTTTGATTATTGAGTACGCTAACGGAACTGCAGCGACGCCTCTGGTGCTGAGAAGAAGGAGGTAAGCAAGGCTACAGGACAGCTCACACAGGCTTCAGAACTGACAAAAGAAAACAGGAGCTCGACACCTCCACCGCTATCTTGAAAAAGAAGAAGAAGCCCAACTCCTTGATGTGAGTAGCTGATAAGAGATATCTGTCTTGGGAGCAAGGAGCTAACAGTTTTCATGCAGTGTGACTGATGCCGTTAACGATGATAACTCGGTTATCGCCCTCTCGAACAACACCATGGAGACTCTCCAGCTCTTCCGTGGCGATACCGTTCTCGTCAAGGGCAAGAAGCGCAAGGATACTGTGCTGATCGTTTTGGCCGATGACGATCTCGATGATGGTAGTGCCCGCATCAACCGTGTTGTGCGTCACAACCTTCGTGTCAAGCACGGCGACATGATCACTGTGCACCCTTGTCCCGATATCAAATATGTAAGTTGAATATGTCGACGTCATTTAACCGTGATTCATTGGCTAATTCTATCTTCGTGATCTAGGCCAAGCGCATTGCTGTCCTTCCCATCGCTGATACCATCGAGGGTCTGACTGGCTCTCTCTTCGATGTCTACCTTGCTCCCTACTTCCGCGAGGCCTACCGACCAGTCCGACAGGGTGACCTGTTCACAGTACGGGGTGGTATGAGACAAATCGAATTTAAGGTTGTGGAGGTCGACCCTCCCGAATACGGCATTGTTGCCCAGGACACAATTATTCACTGCGAGGGTGAGCCTATCCAACGAGAGGATGAGGAGGGCAACCTCAACGAGGTCGGCTACGATGATATTGGTGGATGCCGCAAGCAGATGGCTCAGATCCGTGAATTGGTCGAGTTGCCTCTTCGCCATCCTCAGCTCTTCAAGTCCATTGGTATTAAGCCGCCTCGTGGAATTCTCATGTACGGTCCTCCCGGTACCGGTAAGACCCTGATGGCTCGTGCTGTTGCCAACGAGACTGGTGCTTTCTTCTTCTTGATCAACGGACCCGAGATCATGTCGAAGATGGCTGGTGAATCCGAATCAAACCTGCGTAAAGCCTTCGAGGAGGCCGAGAAGAACTCGCCCGCTATTATTTTCATTGATGAGATCGATTCTATTGCCCCCAAGCGTGACAAGACCAACGGTGAGGTCGAGCGCCGTGTCGTTTCCCAGCTGCTCACCCTCATGGACGGCATGAAGGCCCGTTCCAACGTTGTGGTCATGGCCGCTACCAACCGTCCTAACTCCATCGATCCTGCTCTCCGTCGTTTCGGCCGTTTCGATCGTGAGGTTGACATCGGTATTCCCGACCCAACTGGCCGTCTTGAGATTATGCAGATCCACACCAAGAACATGAAGCTCGGTGAGGATGTCGACCTCGAGACTATTGCGGCCGAGACCCACGGTTACGTCGGTTCTGATCTTGCTTCCCTTTGCTCTGAGGCTGCCATGCAGCAGATTCGTGAGAAGATGGATCTCATTGACCTCGATGAGGACACCATCGACGCCGAGGTTCTTGAGGCTCTTGGTGTCACCATGGAGAACTTCCGTTTCGCCCTGGGTGTCTCCAACCCCTCTGCCCTCCGCGAGGTTGCTGTGGTCGAAGTTCCCAACGTTCGCTGGGACGACATTGGTGGTCTTGAGGAGGTCAAGCGCGAGCTTGTCGAGAGTGTCCAATACCCCGTGGATCACCCCGAGATGTTCCAGAAGTTCGGTCTCTCGCCTTCTCGCGGTGTGCTCTTCTATGGTCCTCCTGGTACTGGTAAGACCATGTTGGCCAAGGCCGTTGCCAACGAGTGTGCTGCCAACTTTATTTCCGTCAAGGGCCCTGAGCTTCTGAGCATGTGGTTCGGTGAGTCGGAGAGCAACATCCGTGACATCTTCGACAAGGCTCGTGCTGCTGCTCCTTGTGTCGTCTTCCTTGACGAACTAGACTCCATCGCCAAGTCTCGTGGTGGCTCCGTCGGTGACGCTGGTGGTGCCTCCGACCGTGTTGTCAATCAACTTCTTACTGGTAAGTCCCAGTAAGACCTGACCGTGACATTCTTGTCTTTTTCACTCCGAATATTCACTAACGCCCTAACAGAGATGGATGGTATGACTTCCAAGAAGAACGTCTTCGTTATTGGTGCTACCAATCGTCCCGAGCAGCTTGATGCCGCTCTGGTCCGCCCTGGTCGTCTTGACACCCTGGTCTACGTTCCCCTGCCTGACCAGGAGTCCCGTGAGGGTATCCTCAAGGCCCAGCTTCGCAAGACTCCTGTCGCTGGTGACGTCGACATTGCTTTCATTGCCAGCAAGACTCACGGCTTCTCAGGTGCCGATCTTGGCTTCGTGACACAGCGTGCCGTCAAGCTCGCCATCAAGCAAGCCATCTCCCTTGACATCGATCGTCAAAAGGAGCGCGAGGCTGCCGGCGAGGATATCAAGATGGACGATGAAGATGAGGAAACGGAGGACCCCGTGCCCGAACTCACTCGCGCTCACTTCGAAGAGGCCATGAAGTCTGCCCGCCGCTCTGTCAGCGACGTCGAGATCCGCCGCTACGAGGCCTTCGCCCAGAGCCTGAAGAATACCGGAGGCGGCAGCTTCTTCCGCTTCCCATCTGCTGGCGAAGTCCAGGAGAATGATACCTTCGGCGAAGCCGGCAATGACGACAGCCTCTACGATTAAACGCTTCTTTTGCTTCGAGGTGATATGACTTGTTTTTCCTTAGTCCAGCCATGCCTGGTTTTCCGCGCTCGGATTCGCTTATGAATAGATCGTTTCCGTGGAGATGTGGGCCCACTGAGCTTTCATGGGGTTTCCTTTTCGTTTCTTCCTGTTTTTGCCCACGTACAATGTGCCATAATAGCCAATACAGGTGGAGAAATCTCTACGTTCATCGGTGTTCTTGTAGAGTTTATCGTATCATGAATCTACTTCTTTATGCGCAATGGATTTGCTCTTCTCAACATTGTAAATATAATTCTCATGATCATCTAGGCTACATAGGTACTTGTGCTTGTATCACTTTCTTCAAGTCATAAAAATCAAAGTCCAGAGTTTGTCGCCATCACTATGATAAATTTGAAGTGACCGACTTTAGCTCGGCCCTCAGCCCGCGATCTCCACTTTTTTCGGTGCTTAGTTGAGTCCGAGAGCAAACGTTGGAACTGCAAGAGATTTCGTGCTTTGGCCGATTTAATAACTCGGAGTTCTGGCCTTTTTCTGATTACTGTACGGAGTACGGAGTATTTCCGGCTCTATCGCCACATGGACACACCCATAGGGCATCGACATAGGTATCAAGGTTGATCAGGTGCATCCACCCTATGAAAAGAAGGCTTTTATTGGTCTGACCTGGAAGTAGCATGACGCCACCTTAGATGACTGGCATTTTTAGTGAAATACGCCTCGGAGATTGAGTGCATCGCGGACATAGTGGACGAGCGAACGGCCGATATTATACTTGGCGAATAAGCTGGTCTCCACACCCTTTTTTTTTACCAAGCTTTGAAGTCTTTAGCTCGGGATATTCGACAGAAAGAGAAAAACATGTCGGTATATTGCGGTCCCGGGATTCATATAACTTCCCGTCTCGACGGGCTCTTTCCCAAGGTGGTTTTCTCTCATATCACACAACAGTCTTACACATCTACCTACATGTGTACGGGCTAGGTATTTGAAACGATGAATCCCCAGGCATTTGATTCAAGGACGACTACACCTCGCCTCAGCATGGAACATGGTTCCATCGATGCAGGCGCAATCAATCCTATACACGATAAGAGCGAAACAGATGTCGAGAATGCGGTCGACACCCCAGAAAAGCCCAATGACTCCAACAAAGATCCCAATCTTGTCGACTGGGATGGCAAAGATGACCCTGAAAACCCCCAGAACTACAGTAATTTGCGCAAATGGGTCATCACATTGACCATGTCCTCCATGACAGTGTGGATCACCTTTGCATCCAGCGTCTTTTCGACTGCGACCCTCGTGACTGCGAAGGAGTTCAATGTATCGGCGGAAGTAATGATTCTCGGTACCAGTCTGGTTGTTTTTGGTTTCGCTCTAGGTCCTCTGTGCTGGGCACCGCTGAGTGAGCTATACGGTCGTCGTATCCCGCTGTTCTCAGGCTACGCCATCTTTGCAATCTTCCAGATCCCCGTGGCTGTCGCCCAGAACCTTGAAACTATTCTGGTCTGCCGATTTCTCATCGGTGTCTTTGGCTGCTCTCCTTTGGCTGTCGTTGCCGGTGCGATGGCTGATATCTGGAATCCCGTGGACCGCGCAGTGGCTATCGCTCTGTTCAGCGGAGCTACTTTCCTGGGACCCATTCTTGGCCCAATTGTGTGAGTACTCAAATTCACTCTTCATAATTCCCTCGAGAAACTTCCCCCAAAGCACTGCCCAGATACTAATACTCTTCAGCGGCGGTTTCATCACAGACTCTAACCTGGGCTGGCGTTGGACTGCATGGATCACCCTAATTGCATCTGCCTTCTTCGGCCTAGTTGCTCTCTTCGTCGTTCCCGAGACCTATGGCCCAGTCATCTTGCAAAAGAGAGCTGCCCGTCTTCGTACCGAAACTAAGAACTGGGCCCTCCATTCCTTCTTAGATGAGCACAAGCCTACAATGTCAGACATCGTTACCAAGTACCTTTTCCGACCTCTTCAGATGCTTACGCAAGAGCCCATCCTGCTCGCCATCACTCTCTACCTCGCCCTCATCTACGGAATTCTTTACCTCTTCTTCGAAGCCTACCCGATTTCCTTTGGTGAAGTTCGCGGTTGGACACACGAAGGCGTAGCTGCCCTCCCATTCATCGGTATTCTCATCGGCGTCATCCTCGGTATCTGTCTCATCATATTCAACACGAAAACTCGTTTTGCACGCAAGCTCGCAAAGCATGGCAAGGTCGTTCCCGAAGAGCGCCTCGTGCCAATGATGATTGCCTCTGTGTTGTTGCCAATCGGTCTGTTTTGGTTTGGCTGGACTTCAAGCCCACATATCTCCTGGGTACCACAAGCCATTGCTGGTGTGCCTATCGGTCTGGGTATCCTGGTTATCTTCATGCAGGGTCTCAATTACATCATTGATGTCTACATGATGTTCGCCAACTCTGCCATCGCGGCGAATACTCTCATCCGTTCAATTGTGGGTGGTTCGTTCCCACTTTTTGCTACACAGATGTACCGGAATCTCGGTGTAGCTTGGGCATCTAGTGTTTTGGGTTTCATTACTCTGGCTATGATCCCCATTCCGCTTTTATTCTTCATTTATGGTGGGAGGATTCGCGCTATGAGCAAGTTTAGTCCTAAGTTCTAGATCATCGATTTATCTGTCTCTCATTTTCAGGCGCACGATGAATGCAAAGATGATACTAGGCGTTTCCATTTCACACACATCATTACCATGGCAGATCTGTGAAGTTATGTCGCTTTTGTCTCAAAAGAACTATTTCTTTATTTTAGGACAAGAGCTTATGTATGCTAATGACATATTTTAATCAATACAAGTAATATATCTATAATTAAGCTGCTATATACTTGTAATTATCTTAATAGAATGATATTTGAAGCCATAACACGCGAAACTGCGCCATTTTGAAGCCTAAAACAATGTATCTTTGTTATCACTGATAAAACTATGGGTGATGCTTTTACTATTACGTTTGTATGCTCGTCGGTCAAAGTTCTTTCTGTAGATGCTCACAGCGATATATAGAGACTACACAAAGTCAGTTGTGCAGGGTACCTTTTTCTCTCAAAGAAGCTCTGGGGACTTATCTTCCCTAAACCAAGGCTTTTCTAGGTGAGGTAAACAAATGAAAGCCAGGACCCAGATTGTAGTATGACTATGAACTCAGATATTGCATGAGCTCTTTAGATTCGAGATATCAACCAATTCTCATTCAAACCGAATAACTGATCTCGAAATCAACCGTATGAAACCTGTAGTATCGACTTTGTAGGGCAGGACACGGTCCCGTGCGACGCGTCCTGGGCGGTCAACCTCCACCCAAACTCCTGTGTTGAAACTCTCCACCTCCCCAGTCCATGTGAGAACTGCGACCATCCACGATGCCTTCGCGCTCTCGCCCAGGTCCTCCCGAGGTGGAGGAAGACTCGGGGCTTCGCAGTCTGTCATTCAACCAGCCGCTCTCATGGCGCGTGGGGCGCTCCGCCATTCCTATCGCGGATCTCCTCGAACGTCTCCAAACCCTCGCGCAGGAACTCCGCAAACTCGATCAGGAGGAAATTGACAAGGAATCGCTACAAAAGGTGTCTCAGGAACTTGCCAGTGGGAACTTACTTGCCCACAAGGATAAGGGTGTCAGAGCATGGGCTACGTGCTGTATCGTTGATGTGTTGCGACTATGCGCACCAGACGCGCCTTTTACGCGCAATCAATTAAAGGTGCGGCAATTGAAGATACACAGGCTATGTCTTTTGTCTATGCGATCGGAGAATGTACTGACTGAGAACGAATTAGGATATATTCACGTGTATTGTGTCCTCGATTATCCCCGCTTTGGCCGACCCGTCCAACGCCTACAATGCCCAGCATATCTACGTCCTGGGATCTCTTGCTGAGGTGAAGAGTGTGGTTTTGATGGTCGACCTTGATCACCCGGACTCGCTCATTGTCCCGCTGTTCACGAGCTGCTTCGACATCGTCTCGGGTTCTTCGAAAGCATCCACCGGTGAGGAGGTGGCTAAGAATGTCGAGTTTGATATGACCCGAGTTCTTGTCACCGTGATCGATGAATCCCTCGTCCTAGCCCCCGAGGTGGTAGACATTATCGTCGCGCAATTCCTCCGTGTCGACCCGCGAGTGATGGACAACCCCAACAAGAAAGGAAAGCGACCAGATGCGCCGCTTGACACCAAGCAGGACACTCTTCTACTAAAGGACTATCCGGCCGCCTATAACATGGCCAAGGCTATCTGCCAGGCCTGTCCAGAACGAATGACCAGTCACATCAGTCAGTACTTCAACAATGTCATCATCGATGCGTCTGTGCCAGCTGCGCAAACGAATGGCTCTAAGCATGCCCGGAAACCCAATCTGGACGAATCCGATGAGGAGGGAGAGGATATCAAGGAATTGAGCAAGGCACACCGTCTGATCCGGGAGCTTTGGCGTGCTTGTCCAGAGGTCCTGCAGAATGTTATTCCTCAGATTGAGGCAGAGCTTTCTGCAGAATCAGTGGCGCTACGTTTATTGGCAACCCAGACGATCGGAGACCTCGCTTCCGGAATCGGTGTTGCAGGTCCCCCTCCCCCCCCCTATGGACCCAACCACCTACCCCCCAGTGTCGCTAGTGGATTACGACAAAACCATTCCCCAAGCGAATGTTTTGTTGACTCCGGTATCCCCTAAGCCTTTCTCCCAAGTCCACAGCTCGGCCTATGAAGCCTTTTTGAGCCGTCGTCTCGACAAGACACCATCGGTTCGTGCTGCTTGGGTCACAGTTGTGGGGCGAATCCTTTTTACTTCGGCTGGAGGCTCTGGCCTACACGAAAGCGAAGAGCACAGTCTTGTCAGAAATCTGGCATCAATGCTCCGCGACGTTGATGAGAAAGTCCGCCTGGCTGCAGTGGATACTGTTGGTCAATTTGGGCTTTCCCAAATTGTCCACAAACTCAGTGTGGATGGTGGTTGCTCATCACCAGACTCGGTTCTTGCTATTCTTGCCGAGCGAGTGAAGGATCGCAAGCCGCATGTGCGTGAACACGCTATGAAGATCTTGGCTCGCATGTGGGCTGTGGCAGCTGGTGACATTGAGCAAAATACGGAGCCCGTCGTATCCCTTCTCAAAGATGCACCATCTAAGATATTTGATGCATTCTACACCAATGATCAAGAAATCCATATTCTGATCGACCGCGTTTTGTTTGAGACACTCCTGCCACTTCCTTATCCCCCTATCAAACCGAAACTTACTCGTGGCAGCTCAAACCAATTGCAGAAACAGAAGGAGAGCCAGGCGTCTGAACCTGAGTCAGAGACGGATGTTGACAAGATTCGCGTTCGCCGAATTCTTACCCTGCTCCGAGGCTTGGATGAAAAGGCGAGGCGAGTCTTTTTCGTCATGTTGGCCCGTCAGTTATCGATGAGATCGGCCGTGACGCTTTACTTAGAGGCCTGTGAGAAGTACAATGGCGGTGTTTTCGACAAGGACGAAGAACAGATTAAGACACAATTGTCCAAGATCATTGAATCATTATCCAAAACTTTCCCAGATGCCTCTCGCGCATCAGCAGACTTGTGGAAGTTTGCTAAGGTCCACGATCGACGAAGCTACCAGCTGGTTCGCTTCACCATGGCTGCTGTGAGTGATTATCGCACTGTTGTCAAGGCCACGAAGGAACTCCAGCGGCGAATCCAGACTGCAAACAACTCTCCTCTGTTGGAAACGTTGACTCCTCTTGTGTATCGCTGTGGGTCGTTGATCTTTAATCGAAGCCACATCCCGGCGATCATGAGTTTGTCTCGCACAGATGAGAATGGACTGGCCAATGCCGCACAAGAGATGCTGAAGCAAATATCATCTCAAAACCCCGAGGTCCTGGAGGCACAGGTCCAAGAAATGTGCAAAGACCTTGAAGCTCAAGCCCCCAAGGCTTCCTCGGCCGGCGATGGTAGTGCTGAAGATATCTTGAAGGCTTGTGCTGGTTTCGCTAAGAAGCTCCCTGCTAAACTCCCCAAAGAGCGCAAGTTCTTCCAAGCTCTGGCCAACTACGCCCTTTACAGTTCATCGCCGCATTCTGCAAAACATGCCGTCTCCATTCTCATGGCCACGGCCGACCGAAAAGAGATGTATGCGAAAGATCTAGTACAAAAGTGCGTTGAGAAATGGACGTACGGATCTGATCGATTCCTCACTCGCCTGGCTGCTCTGTCGCAGCTGAACCTTCTTGCACCAAGAGAAGCAGACGAAGAAAGTGATGCTATCATTTCGATCGCCATCAACCAAATTCTGCTCACTAATCGCACACCTGAACCAGGCTCTGACTACAACTGGTCAGAGACAGTTGATGACGAGACCAAGGCCAAAGAATGGGCACTGAAAATCATTGTCAACCGCCTTCGGGCTAAGGATGGAGCAGACAATGAAGCTGACTTCAGGGCTCATGCAAAGCCTGTTTACGAAACATTAAATAAATTGGTGGTCGGCGAAGGCGAGATCTCCAAAAAGAAGGATACCCCTGCTGGCCAAAAACCGCGCCTTCGCCTCCTTGCTGCCAAGTCCCTACTAAAGCTGTGTGCTTCCAGCACTGTCTGCGACGGTTTGCTGACGCCGGCCGATTTCAACGCAGTCGCTTTGGTTGCCCAGGATCCACTCTTGCAGGTGCGAAGTGGATTTATCAACCACCTGAAGAAGAAACTCGTACAAAAGTCACACCTCAGCCACCGATGGTACATTGTCCCCTGTTTGCTTGCTTTCGAACCTGTTCATAGTCTGAAAGAGAGCACGCTTACATGGTTACGGTCCCGAGCGGCATATTTTGCGCAACAGGCGCAGGCCAGTGGGAAACGGACAGAACAGACCATGGTCATGGAATTGATCTTCTCGCGCCTCCTGTCATTGCTTGCCTACCATCCTGATTACCCGTCCGAGGATCTGGACGAGGCAACTAAACTAGGCGACCTGACTGACTTTTCTCAATACATCATTTTCTACCTCTCTGCAGTTGCCAATGAGCACAACATGTCATTGATTTTCCATGTCGGACAGCGCGTTAAGCAATTCCGCGATGGCATTACCAAATCAGACGAGATCTCCACCCGCCTCCATACTCTATCTGATCTGGCGCAAGCAACTATTCGCCGGTTCGCAGATATTTACTCCCAACAACACAAGTTTGGCGGTGCTGCCGGTGCAACCAACATCTTGCAGACCTACCCTGGAAAGATGGGCGTCCCCAGCTCCCTCTTCACCTCCATGAGCAGTCACCGCGAAGCCCAAGACGTCGCCGACAAGAACTTCCTTCCAGATGAGTTGGATGATTTGCTGGATCGCGTCGTCCGAATGGCAATGAAGCCTAGGAGTAACTCTGCTCACGGTTCGCATGGCGGATCAAACAAAAAGCGCAAACCCGAGTCTCTTGATGCGAACGGCAAATCCTCGGTGGCTAAAAAGCCACGGAAGGATAAGTCTTCCCGTCCCGCTCGCAAGTCCACATCTTCGATCAGTGCAGCTAGCAAGCCGAAGCGGAGATCAAAGAACGACGACGGCTGGTCTTCCGACGGAGGTGCTGTAGACGCCACGCCTGCTTCGGCTCGCCGCCGCAGCGTCCGAGGCACCACGAAGGCGGAAGTCAGCTATGTCGATAATGATAGCGATGATGCCGACATGGAGATGGTAGAGTGGGAAAATTCTAAAGAAAAGGAAAATGGCGAAGATGAGGCCGAGGAAAGCGAGAACGAAGAAATTCAAGAGTCAGATGATGACCAAGAACTCTCTGAGGCTGATGAGCCCGAGGCCAGCGAGAAGGAACCCACGCCGCCTCCTGCAAAGAAGCGAGGTGGAAAGGCCACTCCTGCGAAGGGCGATGCTAAGAAGGCCGAGACAAAGAAACCGGCGACTAGCGTGCCTTCACGACGCTCTTCGCGTCGTGGATAAGAACCTCTCTGCATGGAACATAGCATTGCCTACCTATGTGTTTACATACGGGCCTTGTCTCTCATTTCGTCCAAGATACACACACCTCCAATGGTCATTTATCTATGAGTCCTCAGCCAAGATCTTTGGGCCTTGGATGTCTGGTCTCTCGGTGCTGTTCTCAAATCCAAATAAGTTGTGCGACTACTGCACGGATCGTTCCATTCATATTCATATTCATATCCTGATTCCCATGTTATTTTCATTTATGGTTTCACAATTTCGTCCCCATTCATCTGTTTCCTTGCAGTCAATGATGGTTCGAGATGTATACCCCATCTGCCGATTTTCTTTTTCTGAAGTTTGCATCGGTCTTATGCCCGAATTTTCACGAATATCTTGTCTCTTTGCGTATTCCCGTCTGATATATGCTTTCTATGTAAATGAATTGAACTTTGTTTCAAATTTACCTCTTGACATCGGAGTGACTCTGTTAGGAACTATTTGGAGTCCATTGGAGACATGATAGAAGCGGTTCGTAATGAAGAATCAAACCTCATTTTGTCGCCCAAAAGGCATCCAGGTATGTGTGATTTTGAGTAGTGAAGACACTATCGAAACTATACGTAGAAATTCACTGCAACCCAAATACTAAACTGTACACATCACTATCCAGCAGGAACTGTCGCATTCCCTTCCAACTAGTGCCAAGTTCCACTACACCCATGAGAGTCACATAGTATGTACTCCGTACGATGTATGCCAGTTCTATCCATCGTTATGGGCACACGTGATATAGACCCACCTTCCCTTTTCGGAAGCATATGTTGCTATAAATTGAAGACAAACACAACTTCCTCGACCCTCCCCCCCAGTGGCTTAGCGGGTTCACTCGGCTTAAACATGCAGGTAACCCCGGCTGCCGGCGTTCGATCTGCTAAGTCCACGCTCATAAAACCATTCCACTTATGCATTCCCGACCCCTCGGGGTTGGGCCGTGGCCTCGGCATAGGGTACTGGCATGGGAGATATCACAACCTTTTTTTTTTCTAATAAATGTCTCTCTTCTCAGCACCTTTATCCAAGAGCATCCGTACAACCTCAACATGTCAGACTTTACGATAAGAAGTTGAAGTTTTCACATGTCCTCCAAAATTGCTTTACAGACGCCCAAGCTTTTGTAAAAGAAGCACCATCAGGGGTCAAATGCCTTGCTCGCAGTGGATCAGGCGCGTACATTGGTCGACTATGGATGGGATTGTTCACACATGCCCCATCCCCGTCTATATCATAGGTCAGCATGTTACTCCAACTGATCCTGCACAACGACCAAGTGACCTACCTCTCAATTTCTCTTCGGGCCCACCAGAAGGAAAGGAAGAGCACCTGCGGTAGGGCCATGTAGAACACCAACACGTTGAATAATCCCAAAACTACACTGGTTGTGCTATGTTCAGCGGCCAGCCGAAACAGCCCCTTCTCCCCATTCCTACCTTCCGCATCCCTTCATTTTGCCAGCTGCCATGAGCATTACTGCTAGAAGACATGTCAGCATCTTACCCTCATTTGTCCTACACAGCGAGCCGGTGACATACCTGGTAATATCCAGTAGGGATCGTTAGAATAGAAGGTAGATGCTCTTGGTGACCAGAACGCAGGCGAGTATTGCCGAAGTTAGGGTCATCATGGCGGCAGCTGTCATGACATGATGGTCATTCTCATCTGTCAGCCAAAAGAGTCCAATCATCGCATTCTCCTTTTTTGGGCGGAGAAAGGGTTTACATCTAGAGACATGTGAGAATAAGTCCAAAAAGAGGCCAGGAGAGAAATGAAACATACCAATCCGTGCAGATGTCGAATCAGAGATTGAGAGGCTTTTGTGAAGAGAGATTTTGGTAATAATATCGATCTCACTGGACGATGTGAGAAGTTCTTCTATGGGCAAAATTGCTCGATAGACCAGATGTATACCTAGAAGGGACGGTTCCAAGACAAGGCATGATGCTGCAATAGATATGATGGACTACACTTGGAAGCAAATGATGGCGATAGAGCATTGATTGGAAGAAGCGAGAAAGATAATAGCAGCAAAGACATACTGGTTCTTGATATCCTACTTGGTCAATCCATAAAATAAAAATAGAAATATGTACTGAAGCTCAACCCGTCTCTCAAACTGCTATTACACATGGTCCAGCAAAGCAAGAAAAAACACCCTGGAGAAACATTGAGCGCCAGCAGGATAAAGATCGCTGCACCGCGGCACTGAGAGACTAAAACCTATGCAAGACTGGCAGGAGTAAATGTGACAAAAGACTTCCTGGTATGAAGAAGTAAATGGATTGAATTGATCGAATGTGTAAAGGAATACAAGCGATCTGAAAGACGCCGCTGTCATCACTTCATGAACGAAATTGACTATGGCTGAGATCCACTGGCTGAAGAGGGAGAGGCACCATGGACTAAAGCATTCCCGAGGGCCGGACTTGCGCTCGCGGGCATTCTAGCCCCAGGGGCCGGACTGGCACTTCCACCATCGGGGTGGGTACCGCCGCCACCAGTCTTGGTGAGCCGCTCTTCGACGCGCTCCTTGTGCTGGCGGTTGCGGAGATGCACTTCAAAGTTGTCCACTGTCATGCCCGGGCCGGGGGTATACAGCTTTCCGGGGCAGTCGTGGCAACGAATACGAGGGAGGTATTGGTATTTGATATTTTGACCAGCCTGGAGGTTGTTGGGATTGGCCACGGGAGCCAGGGTTTCAGTATCGACCGCGGAATAACGCATCACACCTTCGAAGGAATCGTTGGGATGAGATTGTTTCAACTTGCTGAGACCAGCTGCCAGCCAGTTGGGTGGTGGGGGCTGCAAAGGCACAGAGTCAGCCACGGGCCAAGGAAACTGGGGTTAAAATCTACTCACGCCAGAGACACCAGGTTGCGGAGGGTTTGGTGCGTCAACAGCACCGGTTTGTTGAGGTCGCGCTGGAGGATGAATTCGGGATTGTTTATCAGATGGAGGTGCCATCGAGCGTGATGCCTGTCCTGCGCTGGATTGAGCGGAGACAATGCGCCTTCCGTTCCGTAGATCGACTAGCTTGTCACGCGAAATCTTAAATCGAACTATCAACTTATCAGAGTCATCCACACTCTCTTCTCGGTATTGCTGTCTTCGGGCCGAAACTCGGGGCTCGTGGTACACTGGTTCAGGGGTTGCAGATTGTCCAAGGCTGGCACGAAGCGCGGCATGGGCTGCAGATGCTGCGCCTCTCATGCCACGAGTACGAGCAGTGCCCTGTGCAAGGTTTGGTCCAATTGCAGGAGAGCCAACAGAGGAGTCGTCGCTGTCAAACTCGTCTGAATCATCATCTCCCCGGTGCCCAGTCATTCCACGACGACGGCTGGAACCGGTACGCTTGATTACATTGCTTTCATCCATGGAGCCTACTGAGTTGGGTATCACAGATGAAACAATCATGGTACGGATCGTGCGTTGACGGTCCTTTAGATCTGGCAAAGCAGGGCCACCACGACGGTTAATTGACCGTTTCTGGCGACGCTGCTCTCGAGATATTGAGATTTCGGTCCGTTCAAGATCTGCCTCGTTCAACTCATACAGATAGGGTGTATGCTCTTTGGCGGATTGGTATGGTCTGAAGGCGGAAGCCACTGGGGTGGGGAGGAACGAGGTGTGGAGGTCTGGGTCTTCGATTGGACGCCCATCGAATGGGTGAGCGACAATATACAAGGATTTGGTGAAGAGTTGGGCCTGTTCGCGGATTGAGTGGGCGATGGCGGTAGTGAATTCACCAGAGAGGGATAAATCATCCGTCATGCATAATGCAAATTCTTCGGGAGAATTATTGGGATCATTGATGTCCCACTCGAACTGGTCAATGAGGGTGTGTTGGCCAATGGTGATGTTGAGCTTGACCGAAATGCGCATCTCGTCGTTTTTGTACGCCGTGTAGGGTAGCTGGGGATCAAGAGGGTCTTCGTGTATGTTAAGGTGCGGGTAATAGTCTATCACCTGCTCCTGGATGCTCTGGGAGATCATTCTTATCAGAGGGACGGAGCTTTCTACTGCGAGACCCAAGTCTTCGACTAGCTTCTCTGCGAACAAGTCCGGAGACACAACACGGTCATGAAGGTTCCATGTGAAAGTGTCGCGAATCTTCACTTTTTCCCAATCAATGTCCAAGCGAATAGGGACCAGATCCTCCATCTGTTCGCTTTGTGTTTTTGCGTCACGTCGTGAAATGCGTAGTTCTCGCGTCTTTCTATTTCCGGGTCTGCGTCGATGGGTTGGGTAGAGAAGCTGAGGGTGTTGATTGCGAAGATCGGTACGGGGGTTTCCAAATCCCTCATAGCCCACACCGTACAATGCAGCTGGGTTTAATTGATTTTCGCGCCGTACTCCCAAATAAAAGTCGCGTTCCGCCCGCTTATTCTTTTGTAATTCCTGGCTTGGATTATGCCAGGCAGCTGCGGCAGAGTGTTGGAATTCACGCTCAACGTACTGCGCCAGGAGAATCTTCTCCAGTGGCGGTTCACGGGCGCGTACGGCCATGGTCCCGGACACATCTGTGGATTGGACAGCAGATCCATCATGAGATCGCTTTCTAGCGGAACCATGTGTCCCGTTTGAGCGAGGCGTGCCATTGGAAACCTCACTGCCGGGTTCTGACGAGGATGACACTCCAGAGGCAGCTAGCATAGCCTTTGCGCTTTGCTTTCCTTCTGCAATAGAATCTGGCGTGTGACCATTTGTTGATCGGCTTGTCCCAAGGTCGATGCTGTCTGGACCTTGATCCCCCGTGTCCGACGCGCCAGAGCTAATCTGGGCACCAGACTGAGGGTCCCCGAATGATTGCTCTGAGGGCAGGGAGCCACCCGTCACTTCAGGGGATGGCATTTTGGATGGTCTATTAATTGCGAAACGAACGTCTGATGCCACTCGTATAATCTTCGAAGCTCGGAGTGGCTCTCAACGCGACAGGGATAGGTTCGGGTCGGTTACCGTAG